ACCATGTTTATGAGGATTTCTTAAGCGATGCTCCGCTCGAGAGCATGCAATAACGCAGGCGTAGGTAAAAGCTGGAACCTGTTCCCTTGTGGCGAGAAAAAGTGGTCCGATGTGTTCGATCGGCTTGCAGATGTCTCATTAGCCATCCTGGCAGCAGCCGGAGCATTGGACGAAACACGAGGAAAGAACGAGAAGAAGAAGAAGAAGAAGAAGTAGAAGGAAAGAAGAAGACGGGAACGAAATGACCTCAAGCACTGGCAAGGGCAGGTAGGCTGTCCGCGGTACACATGCGGCACATGCGACTCATTGGTTATTGTTTGATGGGATCGCGGACTCTCTCCACCGTCTCTGCTGTGGTCCTTTTCCTTTCCTGTCTGAGAAGGGGAGACGGGTTGAGAGAGAAGGATTTGGCGAGGGCTTCTGGAGGGCTTCGCTGTAGTTCTCCGCTAACGACGTTGGGTGCTTTGGGCGCAATGGGCCGGTTTGGGTGCCTGTGCGGATGAAGGCATTGGCCGGGCTAACGTCCGCCGTCGCTCCCGCTTATCCTTTTGATCTCGTGTTTTGTCTTTGGTTCGAGTCAATATCCCTGGAACTGGAGACGACTTGAGAGGGACCGATGCGGCATCTATCGGCGTGCGGCTGCATGAACGGCGAGCTTGATGCCGGGGAGATCTTACATTGTGAGATGAGCGCAGGACAGAACAGGCCAGGACGGGCCAGGAGTCCAGGATTGGATGCAGATGGTCGGCGATTCAAGTAGGCGACGGAGCAGCCAAGTACTTGTAGGGATATCGCGACGAACTGCTGTCATTTCGTTTCGAGTGTGGAGAAGCGTTTGTGTCAGTGAGTGATGATGATGCCGATGGCTTTTGGACGTGCGAGAAATTGGACCGGAGCGATGACGGAGACAAGAGAGGAGGGCTGTGAGTGGTTGGTAATGGCACGGGCACGGGCACGGACAAAGGCAACGAAGGCACAAAACAATAATGTAGATACACGGATAATGGAGTTAGCTCGTGTGCTGTGTTCCGTAGAGGGTAATAGGCTATGGTTGGAGTTGAGTGATGCATTGAGCGAAGAATGTACGGAGTAGACAGTGCTATGGAGACATCGAGAAAGAAGATGATGAAGATGACGACGATGATGATGATGGACGTGATGAAGACGATGAGATGTAGATGGTGAAGGTGATGAAACTGATTATGACGGTGATGGTGAGGGAAGATGATAGGACGAGAGTAAGGAGGATGAGGATGAGATGGTGAGAGTACTCCGTACATACATTATTGGAAAGGCGGGGGATGTGATTGGGGGATTGGTTGGGGGGGATTCGACCCAAGGGCATATGCATCCCTATTCGGGAAAGGCGTACATGTAGAATATATAGCATACAGCACATCCAGCGCACAACGTATAGCGTACGGCATTCAGCATACAGCATACAACATATGGGCGTACATTGTGGGAGCCGGGCGGCTGCATGACCGATCGAAAGGAAATGCAGCTGTACGAGGGGGGAAATGGAGATGGCAGAGATGGGTATACCGTAGGAGCATGGTTATGGGTATGGGTATGCGAATGTGTACAGGTATCACGCAGGGTGTCAGACTGAGATCCATTCACTCGGGTTTCGGGCAAACCACGACGACGACGACCACCTGCAGACAAGATGGGGATTGTAAATTTGTGATCACCCTGTGGCCATGCGGTCATGCCTTTCAGCCAGCTCGCTCCCAAGTTCCAACATACGAGTACCTCGTACATGGACATGGAGAGAGTTGACGAATCCCATGATGATTCTTGTTCTGATCCTGGCTCTGGACCTGGTCTCATGCACAAGACAAGTAATGTTCAATACATACCTACCGTACAGCAGCAATCCTGAACCTGGCGTTCCGAGGCGAGGCTCTAGACCTGTTTTGCCGTCGTCACGCCAGGGCATTGGTTTGGTCGTTGGAGAAAGAAAACTAGGCAAGAAAAGTGGGCATGGAGATGAGATGGGAAAGGGAAGCAAGGCATCACATCGCATCGCATCTCATCTCATCGTGGTTAGGTCAACGGCATGATGGGGGCGCGCGTCGGGGAGTTGGTCGCGGAAGATGGTTGGATAGACCAGACCGATGGAGCAGAGTTAGGGTCGACTGCGGGCTGCTTAGTAGTAGTGGGTAGTGCGCATGACGATTGACAGAAAATGCAACGATAATGGGCAGTGCTAATAAGTGCAATAATGACAGTGCCTACCCGTACTTGTAGTTACGAGGTTGAATCTTCGGAGTGCTCCCGCTCCCACCCAATTCCACAGCAGGTACGGAGTAAATAAGACGCCTCTGTGCTAGACTGGCAGACTGGATCGTGGTGGAATCTCGAATGGCACGAGGGAGACAAACCGATAAGCTCGTTTATCGCCATCTCAGCTTTTCCGCATGCGCCCTAAACAAGTGTTAGGCCTATTTATTAATTATTGGTATTGTTACTATTATTATGATTTGTAGTGGCATTTTGTTGCATCGAAATGGTACGATGTGATGCGAGGCGAGGCGAGGCAGGCGATACGATACGATGCGATGCGACACGACGATTTAGTCATTAGGGATGTCGACTCCGGATGTGAGTACTGGATAATAACTTAACGAGTAGGTGAAGTAGGGTATGGCTCTTATGAGACGATTAGTTAAACGGTCGATGGGGTGATTATTGCTAGTATTCGCCGTATTGTGGATGTTTGGAAGTTTGGTAGGGGGTTGAACGTGGCTATTTTCCATCCTTTATTGAGGGTGAATGGGAGGGTACGCTACTCGTTTTACCACATGGCAATTGACGGATTTAGAACCTTTTAGACCTCTTAGATCAACGCTACCATCTCCATCTCCATCTCCATCTTGATATCCTCTGCATCTTCTTCCTATTTCTATCATTCACCCTCTCCTTTGCGCTGAACTATGATATCATTCATACCCTGGATGTGGAGATGGCATCAACATACATTCCTCGTAACAAGAGATCTCCGACTTGAAACTTTAAACACCCCATCCTGCATCATAAAAGAGAGAGATGGGGAGAGACATTAATAACATGTTCCCTGATTCCCGATTTCCCACCAGATCTAACGCAGATCGCTACCGGAATAGGCAAATCGCCTCATGCTTTGTCGCCCGATCGTCGGTTGTATTGCCGCCGCCGTCGTCGCCGCCGCCATAAACTCATCCCATCCTTCCACCGTCCCATGAGCCATCCATATCCATGATCCTATCCCATCCATGATTCCATCCAATCCACAGAGTCATCCTTCCATCCATCCATCCATCCATCATCTCATCTCATCTCGCTCTTTCGCGCTCTCGCTCTCTCTCTCTCTCTCTCTCTCTCTCTTCCATCCCATCCCATCCCTAGTCCTGTCCTGGTGCTCTCTTCCCCCTCTCCGCCATCGTATCGCCCCCTTCTCAACATCCTTGTCTCCCTTTTCCTTCTCCTAACCCAGTTTGTATGTATTTATCTATCCGCGTAACTTTGGATCTGAATAGTAATAATAATAATAATAATAATCAAATCAAAATCAATCTTCCCGCATCTTTCTTTCGTTTAGGTAGTTGGAGTCGCCGTTCCCTCGAACCCCCCCCCTCCCCTCCATCCCTCCCTCCCTCCCTCCATCATCCCATCACTCCCTCCCACCCCCGTCCCCCTCCAACGCCCCCCTGGTCCGTCACACATAGTCTTTTCTGTATGTACAGTGTCATATCCCATACCCACATCCCATCCCGGTTCAACGATTCCAGTGTAGTATAGCGTTGCTGCAGAAGATCCTTGTCGAACAAATGTGACTTGCCCTGATCTCCGATCTCTCTTCTTCTCTAAACCCTAGTCCCCTAGTCCCTTGTTCCTTGTCCCCTACCCTACCTAGTCCCGTCTTTTCGAACTCTACTCTCTCGAGTCTGCTACTCCAGCTCTGCCGTAACTCTACTCTACTCTACTCTACTCTATTACTCTACTCTACCTACTCGTACCGTACATCTACGCATCGTCTCATACGGCATACCTACCCACTCGTACGGTCCAGTTACCTACTCACTAGGTAGACCACCACCAACCACCATTACTTTGCGGCGTCCTACTCACAGACGGTAGACCCGTGAGCCCATCCCATCCTATCCCATCCCATCCTATTCCATCCTATCCTATTCCATCCTATCCTATCCTATCCCACCCCAATCCAACACTCCACTTGCTTTGCTTGCTACAACGTCGCACTGCCCTTTCTCGTTTCCTCTTGTCCTTTCTCTTCTCCTTCTCTTCTCTTCTTTCTCACGTAACTTTACACAACACATACATACATACATCCACTGTACGGAGTATTCTACATACCCTTTCCTTTCCTTCCTGCATCCGAACACAGCGTCAGATCACGTGTAACCGGAAATCTCACGCCGTGTTGCGCTGGCTGGCTGATCTCTTCATCTTGCTTGTTTTCTTGTCGGTCGGTCCATGCATCCTCGTCCAAAGGTTCCCTCACCACCAATACCGATACCAATACCACTACTACCACCGCTACCACTGCCACTACTACCGCTACCACTACTACGGCGACCATTCCCTTGAACCGCTCCAAAAACACACCACCATCATCGTCATCTCCGTCAACCGTCCACCACGCCACGCCCGCAATACACATACATACACCCACACCCGCTCCCGCTCCCGCGACTTCCAATACACAAACACATATTCCCTTCCTTCTCGAAAACCCGCTCGCTTTTCTTACTCGTACATGCACCACCTTTCCGTTTACGCATCCTCGTCCTCGTCGCCTCCGTCGCAGCTGTAAAGAGGTGGATCATCGGAGTTGACACACGATATCGTCCCATTGCCAGTTGTGCCCGCCCTCGCCATTACCAAAACATCCATTGCATGAGCAGCCGCGACTACAACCACAACCACAACCACAAACGCAATTGCCAATACTCACCCCAATCGCTCGATAGATAAATCCTTTCCCGGACCTGGGCGAATCGCTACTCACTGGATCTATCTTTGGTACACACTGGCGGCGCAATATCTCCTACTGCAACCTCCCGTGGAACACCAGTGGGGTGGATTGTAGAGATACTGTACGGATACCCGCGCGGTGGTCGGGGTTGGACCTGGTAGCATCGTTGCGCAGCGAACCACCCCTAGCTTTGTTCGCGCTGTGAGATATTGCTTTCGCGGAAAGGTGCAGCTCTTCCTCTGTGGAATTGCGAACTTCTACATTGGTTTCCCCACCCTCGCGACAACCATAATCGCTTCACCTACCCATCCAAGCGACCACAAGTATCGGTCCGAAAAAGCTCTCCGACTCCATGGAAACAGTAGAAGCCCCTCATAGGCAGAGGTATGTTCATTCTCTGTCCCATCTATATCTTCTTGCCCTGGCGATTCGTACTCACGATCCGTGTATTCCTCTTGCTGACTAGATATACAGTATTGGCTTGCCCCCAATCAGCCAGTTAGGTGCCGACAAAATCAAGCGAGAAGAGATGGATTATCAAAGGAAACATTCCACGTCTTCCATGCCCAGCCCGTTACATCCCTTCAATAGGCCTTCAAACGCCTACGGCAATCACCAACCATCAAATGCGGTCACACTTCCTGGGGCCCTAGGTGGTCTGTTATCTCCACCCGAATCACGAAGAACATCAGATAACGAGCAGAAAGACCAACGACCACCGGCACGACAATCCCTCCCATCCATCCATGAAGCACTGGGATCGGAACAGCCCTTGCCGTATCCGCCTCTCCCTCCTTCTGCGCCTGAAACAGCGCCTCCGCCTTTTCCTCCCCCACCTTCGACCGCAACAACATCGCCGGCTGAGCCGAGAAGTCGAAATTTCTCCGTTGACCATGCCAATCATCCTACCGGTCCTCCGAACCCTTTCTCGCATCCCCGAAGCCCTTTCATGAACTCGAATTCTACAGCGCCACCTCCACCTTCGGATCCACTGGCACGATCTTCATTCTCATCGCAACCTAGTTCCAAACTCCCTACTCTTCATCCTCTGCGCACAACTCAATCTCCTACGGGGACTCCACGGCCTTATCCGCCTCCGCAACCATCTTCTGCGCTCGAATCCGGTGCTCATTCGGCAGGACCCGCAAACTCGCAATATGGCTACTCGCAATATCCACCCAACTATCCCCTCTCTGCACCTGCCCCCACCGGACCTAATTCTGCCTATCCTGCGTCGGCCACTGCCTACTCAGCTCCTCCGCGCTACCCTCCCCCTTCATGGAGGGACTCCAGTGATCCAAACCGACCCGAAGACAGAAAATTGGGAAGATCCAATCTAGCGCCGTTCGGTGAATCGGTGAAGCGACATCTCGACAGCTTTGATATGGAAGCTTCGCTCAACCAAGTATGTATTTCTCTGCTCTATTCCGAGTAATTTGTTGTCTGACATAGATAGTTGGCGGAGGGTGCTGGCCGCATCACCGACTTTTCCAAAGTGTACAGGCAGCGAGCACACGAGCATTCTCGCACCGGCATAACCCCGCAATCCATGCCTAGGCTCGAAGAAGTGGATGAAATGGTCAAACAGGGCGAACAGATCCAGCTTTCTCTCCAGAGGATGCGTGAGATGGTTTTTAGTCACCAACAGGCGAGCCTTGTAGAACCGCCTCGAGAGGCTCATTACAGGCCGGTAAATAATTTCGATCACGAATCACCACACAATGCATTCCACGAGGACACTAAAGCCGGAGGTGGATTTGCAGGAGCAGAACTGAAGAAGCGCCGGCCGGTAGGCTTATCCCCTATGAATAATTTGACAGCGGAACTGATCCGTCGTACAGCGCGCCGCACCTCCAGGCAGATGCCATAGCTGCAACCGCGCAGAGACTCCAGAATGGCGTCGAGGTCCTGACGGAGCACGGACACTCTGTAATGCATGTGGATTGCGTAAGTGGGACCTTATCCACCAGAAGACTATGAATTCATTAACAATACCTAGATTACGCAAAATTGACTCGCAAGATGGGTGGCAACAAGGCCATGGCGAGCTCTAACCTCCGACCGAAATCGTTAGGGGAAGGATCTCCTGCTGCGTAACGCAACTTCTACGATTATCACCGCATCGTTCACTTGACTTTTTTCCTTTTACACACAGTTCTGCACATTGCATCGATACACCCTGCCGCACATATCCATTACATCCACACGAAAGTTGGATACATCTTACCACTGTTGATGATTTCACCCGCGATATATCGCCCTACGGCTAGATGGACGAACACCATACTAATTCTAACGTCCTATAACACCATAATCATACCATCACATGGCCACTACACATTTACAACCTACCAACATACCACCGACTTGAGGGGTTTCGGCGCAAAAAGCATCATCGATACGATTTTCTATTCCCAGGCTGGAGCCAGGGCTCCCGGCAGATTTGTCTTATCAGAGACGAGAGGCTTCGTAAAGTAATCTTCATTATATTTGTTGGATCTGGGTCTAAGCTACCCGCAGACCCTGCATCTTTCCAGTTCCTGCACTCTGTACCTAGGTTTTGTTTTCTTTGGTGTGATTTCCACCAGCAATAGTTGCATTTTGGCACATGACTGGGGGCTTTCAGGCCACCAGTACCAGCTATGGCGCTGCACTGTACTCTGGGTTCCTTTCCACGGCGAGTTATGATTCTCGGTCCGTTGGCGGTTGGCGTTTTTGGGCGTGCGGATACATGCAGTCCGGGATACATTGGATCATTTTTTTCCCTGTCGAGGGCATCGTTCTGTGAGACTTGATTGCTTTATCAGAAGCAAAGGGAGGGGGGTACGTATTGTATACAGTATGTCGGAGAGCAGCAATACCAGCACCAGTACCAGCATGACTTTGAGGTCTGCTGTGACGAGAGAGAGAGAGAGAGACAGGGATTCTTCCTGAAAAGAAAAAAAGCGTTATCAAACTGTCCCAAAAAAATCTTTGCACGATCGTATGATTGACCTTGTTGTTGTAATGTACGCAACACAACCTTGCTGCAGGTCTTCCATTTGTGACACTCTCGGAACCGTTGGGTTACGATCGACTCGCTCCAAATTCCCTAATCGGTACGGCGCGGAGGTACAGCGTCCAGCACAACGTCTGCGATCTGTGCAGCGTACATACATATTACATACGTGGTGGAGTAGTGGCCGGGGGGGGGGGGGGGGGGGGGGGGTTCAATAGCAGAGAGAGTACTCCGTAAAAAGCACCCGCATGCCGCATCTGGCCCTAATCACCAACAATAAAACTGTCAAACCAGCCCCAGCCCTGTCTCCTCCGCGCCCGCGCCCGCGCGCTCCCACCCCCCCGAAACGACAGCCATTTTCTCGCGTAGTATTGTACGACCATGGGCGTCATGCAGGCCGCCCGGAAGAGGGATTCAGGACGATAACTCTCAATGCCCAACGATGATGTTGGTGTGATCGCCGACAGGCCACTGGGCTGGAGAATAGGGTCTTTGGGATCGTCCTTTTTGCTTGACAGATACGTACAGCATGTGGGCTCTCGCAGGGCATAGCGAGAAGCGGCGAGCGGGCGAGGGGCCGTTGCGGCGTGTATGTGTCGTGTGTACGGAGGATGTTTGGCTTTTGCAAGACATAGATAAAGTACGGAGGGCTCTTTGCGTTCCGTGTATATAGGTAGCTAACGTCTAGGTTTCTAAACGGAGGGGGTGGCTTTTTTCTCAATCACCAAAACATGCATTTTCCCATGGCCGTTGTGCCTCAGAACTCGATGTGTGTGTTTTTTTTCCCTCGACTGATTCTCAGTTAGTTGGTTAGCTGGTTGGTTAGTGCTTTTCGAGACAAAACGTCCCGTCCCGTGCGGATTTGCATGAAACCCATCCATTGAATGGCTTTGTTTTGGTGATGGTGGTGGCGGTGGTAAGAGGTAGAGGTGGTGTCGCCGATTCATTTCTCTGCGTCTTGCGTAAGTTTCGTTTCGTTACACCCTCTTTCTTTTTGTTTTTCTTTTCTTTTTCTGGTTCCTTTCGGGGGGGCAGACGGGCGGGCGTGTGATGTGCTGTGTGGGCTGGCCTGGCTGGGGCTGGGGCTGGGCTGCGTACTGGGTACTGGGTACATAGATAGATCCCTGAAGCCGAATATCCATCCATCTGCACGTGGGCGTGGGCCGCGAAAGACAAAGTTACACAGGCCGGCGAGAACGCAGCATATACATACAGGAGTCTCAGGTCGTGCTACGTGCTGCTGTCAAATGGTTACGGAGGGGGGGAAGGGTTTCGATGCCGTACGTCGTTGCAGGGGTGGGCAAACGAAGATTGCCAATCGAGACAAGCATAATTGAAGTGAGATGGGTGAATGAATGAATGGTGGATGGAGGAGGCATAGATGGATGGATCAGAACGGCGACTAGACAGACAGACGGGACGGAAGCAACGGTTTGTAAGAAAACGTCGTCGGATCGAAGATGTGTAACCACACAATTGTCTTCTCCATGCAATTGACTGAAGGCATTCACATATTCACACTTGTTCACACGTACATATACATGTCCATTCACCGATGATGAAGAGTGTAGTGTGTGTGTTAAGGAAGGGAGTTCCGGAAGCGGGATGCGAGGTGATGGCCAGACGTCAGTCGAGGTGGATGTGATTGGACGGAGCTGCCGTAGTCGGAAAGCTTAATTTTTCTTCCAGAGACGTCTGGGTATTATTAATCCATCCAGGACCTGCATCTGTATTATCATTAGTTAATCTACAGATCTACCCAAAGGAAGATCTTGACTACCTAACATACACTCACTGAGCGAAAATACTACGTCTCTCCTTGGCAGACGCTTTCCTCCTCTGCTTTTCTTTTCAACCATAGAGTCTACTGTCTCTATCTAGCTGGAGATTGTCGTGGTGGAGAGTGAGATCTGCCCGCCGAGCGTGACTGAGACTACTTCAAGACCATCACTTACCCCGCTAAGTTTAGACGATTTAATCTGCTGCTGTGTACCCCGAGCCTTTCACCACACGACAGCCACTCGCGCTTAGAAAACCCTAAACGGCCACTCACGCGTCCTCTGTATCGCTCGTGTCTCCCTTCTTTTCATTTCTCGAGGGCTTTTGAGGGTTTCTTGCTTGCTGCTGCTGCTCCTGCCTGCGCCTGCACGACCGAGACCTGTCTGGGGGAATGGGCCTGCTGTGAGACATGTGCCGCCGCCAACACCGTTGTACCATTCACTAACCACTTCTCGTATCAAAAACAGTGCCATTGGAACTCCCCTGGAGTGGCCAGAAGCCAAAAAGGTCGCGGGCCATGTCCGATCCTGGGGTATAGAAGTACGACTTTCCGGCAACATGCTTCCTCTATCTTGAGTTTCCAAACGGGGCCCCCAGCTAACGTGTACTGCAGCAATTGCTTGCCATCTGGCGAAACGCAAGGGGTAAGGAGCGTGATGCTCTTCTCTGGGGTGATGAGGTAAGGTGGCGGCGGTGCATGATTCAGTGCAAAGTTTTGTTCACTCTTTTCGTCCGGTTCTAATGTGTGTGCTGTCAAAAAGGTCGAATATCTAGTCGTAGCCTACGATGACGAACATCGCAAGGTCCGACTCTCGCTTCGGCAAGCAGACATCCTAGCGGCTTTGGCTTCCGATGAGAAACTGCTAAGCCAGGGAGGTGGTGTGCCAGACGTCGAGAGGGGTCCGGTCCAGTGAGCTCATCAGTATTCTCCTCCCTGGTTCCTGTATTGATGATGCTATAGCGAGAATCAGACTACCGCCCCAGTCTTCCATCCCGAGTTCGGGCGCTTCATGCTTGAAGCTACGCCCGGAAAGCCATGGGGAATCGGCTTCAAAGATCTTCTAGATGTGGAGCCGAATATGAAGTGGCGGTAATGCCAATCGTTCGCCGCAGGCATGATCACGCTTAATTTACTGACGAACGAGTGCAGACGAAAGATCGCAAAAGAGCATATGGCATCTGAAGAGTATCCCATCACACTGACTACATTCCCACGGTTGGGCTCACCGGACTGCACTGTACCTTCATACGAGGTTGCTGGACCCAAGCTTCGGTCTCATTATGTCCCTGACGAGATTGCTAATCCCCACATTCGCTTCCCAACTCTAGCTGCCAACATCCGCTCCCGTCGAGGCAGGAAGGTCGAAATCAATGTGCCCGTTTTCAAGGATGAAAAGACCCAATGGCCATGGAAGGATCCAACAGTGAATTACGACCTACACCGCTGGCCTGAAGATGACGATGTCCGCAATGGAGCTGCTAAAGCTAACTTCATCTACATGGATGCTATGGCTTTCGGCATGGGTAGCTGCTGTCTTCAGATTACCTTCCAGGCAAAGAATATCGAGGAGGGACGTAAGATGTATGACCAGCTGAGCCCTCTTGGTCCCATTTTGCTTGCCTTGACTGCGGCAACTCCGGTCTACAAGGGTTTCCTCGCCGACACCGACGTCCGTTGGAACCAGATTGGAAATGCAGTCGATGACCGCACCCCGGAGGAGCTTGGAGAGAAGGTAGGCTCATCTGGCTCTAGACCTAGTGATCGTATGAGAGTACTGACACATAACAGCCTCTGAAAAATGACCGGTGGCGGCTGCCGAAATCCCGTTACGCCTCAAATTCGACATATATTTCGCAGGACTCGCGCCTTCGACCAGAGTATCTCGACCCAAATCTGATCGTCGATGAAGATCTCAAGAAACGGTTGGTTGAAGGCGGCATGGATGATCTCCTCGCCACGCATTTCGCCCATCTCTTCATCCGAGACCCCATCGTCGTCTTCGCGGAGGATCTTGAGGAGCTCGACCTTACCAAAGCCGATCACTTCGAAAACCTTCAGTCCACCAACTGGCAGCACATGCGCTTCAAGCCTCCGCCGCCAGGCTCCGATACGGGCTGGCGAGTCGAGTTCCGCCCGATGGAGATCCAGATCACCGACTTCGAGAATGCCGCCTTCTCCATCTTCATCGTGCTCATCACCCGCGCGATCCTCTCCTACGACCTCAACTTCTACATTCCCATCACCAAGGTGTCGGAGAACATGGAGACAGCACACATCCGGGACGCCGTTTCGACGCAGAAATTCCACTTCCGCAAGAACCCCTTCTCTTCGCGACCGGTGCCCGCATCTCAAAGGTCCACAAACGCCAGCGGAACCGCCACCCCCCAGGACGAAACCACAACCAACAACCACGCATCGACGCCATCTCGACCCGGCACGCCCCTCGGCCCCGTCGACGACGAATACGAACTCATGACCGTCAACGACATCATCAACGGGCAGCCGGACGGCGGGTTCCCGGGGCTGATCCCCCTGGTGGAGAACTACCTCAACAGCATGAACGTCGACGTCGAGACGCGGTGCGACCTCGCACGCTACCTCGACCTGATCCGCAAGCGCGCCGACGGCACGCTCTGGACCGCCGCGAAGTGGATCCGGCATTTCGTCCAGACGCACGACAAGTATGCGAAGGACAGCGTCGTTGGCGAGGACATCACGTTCGATCTTGTCAAGGCGGCCGAGAGGATCACGAAGGAGGAAGGTAGAGACGGTTTCGGGGTGGAGATGCTAGGGAGGAGGAGGTAGATCTCCCCTTATCTCCTCGGTCACTCGACGATTCTCATCAAACCTTATCTCCTTTGTCCCCATTGACGTCGGTGGTATGTTTTCAATGCATAAGGGGGGCGGGCTTTTCAACACCATAAGAAGTGCAGTGCATGGGTGCATATATACGTAAATAGATCGAAGGAAGTATGTGGCCCGGAGTAGTGTCTGGCCGACAGGTACACGACGACAACATAAGTTTCCGTGGAGATGATAATGTAGAATTGCATCTTTCTTCCAATATCGTCTCCTATCAACACTGAGCCTATTAAAATATGTGAGAAGCTTTCTTCGATCTTTAAAAGTCTACGATGTTGTGATTCTGCTTGGAAGTCGCAAGACAAGAGACAGTTGGCTTGGGGGTACAAATCACCTTAAATCGATTGTTTCTAAGAAGATCACTTGATCTAGTATGATTTTATATGCTATGAGATGATGCTATTCCGTTGGTTCATGTAGCAGCACCCTCCACCTGTTTATTGCTTACTATCCTAGAGAACGATGAGAGGATAGCAATCTGCCTCTAGCCTACGTATATATCTGTACTAGGGGCTGGCCTCTGTCTGCAGTGTTAGAACAGAATTACATCTCATCTCAAGTTCAAACATTTCCATATTCGCCAGTGTACGTGATCGTACGTGATATATATGTTTCAATGCCTAATCGATGGAGTAACGGAACATCCTCCTTGCTTTGAACAGGGCAAGACATCAACTGTGTCGGATGAGAGAGAAGGAGCAAGAGAGATAGAGAACGGGAGATAAAGAGGGAAACCGTCGAAGTGCTGTCAAGATCTGATTGTACGAAGGCAAGAGACCGGAATTATAGCACTTTTGATTTGGCATTTGAGGGAATGATATTGAATGTGATTGCACGAACTTCATATTCTCATTTACTCCGTCTGTTCCCGATTTTTAGAATCATGGAGAACGACGATGAGATGTAGCTATATAGCACGCTTGCTATATGATGGAAACCGACCAGAAAATCCCTCCCAATAACGCCCCTTTTACCCCTTTCGCTTTGCAAAAATGAATGAGTCCAACATGATAACCACATAACAGAGAACCAACACGCCATGGTCCCCAAGCCCTGACAAACATAAGTATCTTTCCTCCTCCAACCGATCTTTTCAAACCCACAACTCATCACCTCCTCGAGAAACTCGCCATAGTAGGCGTCTTCGCATGCTTCCTGGAGCTGCTCTTCCCGGCCTTCGCCGCCGCGGCACTCGCCATCCTCTCCATCTTCTCAATCGGGATGTCGAGCAGCTTCGGCCGCTTAGACGCCGACGACGAGTCCTTCGCCCTGCGACGCTGCAGGATGTCCGAGAAGCTAGCACCGACGGGGAGGCCGTGGCTCGCGCTGGAGCTGGAGCTCGAGCGGGAGGATTGCTTTGCTGGGGAGGCGGTGCCGCTGCTGGGGAGGGGGGATGCTTTGCGAGAGAGTTGTTGTAGCGGGTGGTCGGCAGGGCTCTGCGAGCGGTGCGATCGTCTTGAGTGGGAGCTGCGTGGGCGTTGATCTGCCGTCGCCGCCGCCGCCGCCTGGGGAGGAGAGGCAGTGGCGTAGGAGGAGTGCGAGGAGGATTGGGAGGAGGAGGACATGACGGAGTCGCTTCTTGCGCGGACGGCGGCGAGGCGAGCCTTGACTTGCTGTTCTTGTGCTTGGAGCTCTGCTATGGCTTCTTCTTTTGCTTGGGCTTTGGCTCGGGAGATTTCGTCCTTGGAAGAGACGGTGAGGTCCATTTTCTCCGCGACGATCAGGAAGAGGATGCCGAAGAGGATCAGCTTGATCGGCAGGATGAGCGTCGTGTAGAAGTCCATGATGACTGCGGAGTCTGTGTGCGTAGGGCGGGCAGTGATTGTTGATTTCCTGGAAGAAGATGTTCCAGGAAGTGGGGGGGGAGAAAGAGGAGGTGGGTTGGTTATCTCTTGTGTTTGACTTTGTACGACGGACAACAAGATAGACCAGAGTGAGGGGCGCGCCCGTTGGAATGAAAGGTTGTGTTCCCAACCGGTCGATATCTTGGATACACAAAGCGCCTTACACACGCCTATCTGATGCTTTTCTCCCGACTCTTTAGCTACTTTATCGCTGCACCTAGAAAAGGGAAATGCTCCTGAGTGGTGCCTTCGTGCGTGTCCGGGCGTATGGTCCTCGTGGATTGGGTCGTTTTCTTAGGAATGACACGTGCTTGTGGTGTGACCCCTTGCTTCGAATATCTTTCTTTATGTGCTCAATTGGAAGTGAGGGACCTCGTTGCTCGCGTATCGACCAGCGACCCGATCAAGAAACTATACAAGAGACGCGGTGATATGAATACAGCCAAGGGAACTTGGGAAAAAGATGACAGAAAGGTTGATGGACGAATGAAACGCGACAAGATGAAATTGATAGGAATAGAAAAAGAAAAGAAAGTTTGGAGAGAAAGGAAGAAAGGGAAGGAATTTCCTACAGGCACAGCAGTAGTAAGATGGTGTAAGAAATGGAATAGACGACGGAGTGTGAAAAGAGTCGTCGTCGCAGCAGATGGCGCCTGCGTGCGCGCGATTAGCTTGTCTGCCCTGCCCTCAAGAGTCAAGACGCCATAATAATGCATCTTGGGGCCGCGATATCGTTTCAGGATTGCATCCCCCATGTGCCCCCCCAACTCCGTGATGAACGCCTGCCTCATAGAGTCGCACTTACGGTCGCAGCATTGCAAGGATGTCCGAAACGCTAAGTTTAGCATCCATGGGGCCGTCATCACATGTCGGTCTCGTGTGTTTCGTTTCCCACAGACGCAGGACTCTGATTGGTCTATTGGCAATATAACCCTCAGCTGGCCATTAACGCTGGCCGTTCGGGAGTTGTTGGCGATGCTTCAATCTTGCTTCCTGGCTGGCTACATAATGGAAGTCACCAATACTGCTAACCTACTTACCGATCATGGGCTGATGTCATCCCAGGCGGGTTCTACTGTTGGGTTCGAGTCAACGTTGGTGGAGTCGAGACGAAGGAAGGATCATGACTGGGCGGATGGTCTGCATCACGCACATGGATATGCGGAGATATACCTGCTTACCATACAGCCGTGATCGTTCCCATGCCGAATCCCAAGGCATTGGACTCGATGGACTGGGAAGGAGTGGGTAGAAATCCTCTTTCGCAGCCAGAAAGCTGAGAGAGTATTGGGCGATAAGCGGGAAATAATAGCCATGCCTGCAATGCGATGCACGGAATCGCAGCCATCTGAGCTGAGGTGAGAAAGCTTGCTCGCCATTCGGCGGAGATCTATCCATTGGCGTGCGAGAAGAAGCACAGAACGATAGTTATTCCCACAACTACTCAATCAAGAACAGTTCGCATGACATGATGGGCCAGAGTGGAAATTGATCGGATCAACGGCTTTTGCCTTCGGACGTCTTGTCCGTAATCGCTCGTGGCATAAATGAATGCATCATAAATCGTAGGAGCATACCTATATCACCGTTTGGTGCTAGGTAAGAATAGACGGCGGACGTGCCCGTCTGTCGGCCTTGGAGACACGATGAATCGTTCTGGAGTTCCCCGTACCGTCCCGTCTCGGACTTCCTATCCTGGAAATCGTGAACATGTCCCTCCCGTTTATGGAGTGGAGTAACTGTATCTATTTTGGAGACATTGCCATTGTGGAAGAGCATATCCAGACGATAGAATGTCTATGCGATGGCGCTATTCGATCACTATTCTGGAAGGTGTATTGCCGTGCCATTTACGTTGATTCCATCGTCATATATGTCCGATGGACTTGTCCTGGACCGCGAAGGCCTGAGTTCACGGAGTGCGTTCGATGCGAAGCTCTGTTGACGATGAGCACATTATCATGTGTTCAGGCCGAGAAAGGCAAATCAGAAAAGTATGTGGGGATTGATGATCTACGGGAGATGAAGGACGGATAGCATCGATAAAGTAGCGAGCGCACAGAACAAGTACAAGTGGATATCGGTCCTGTTGATACAAGTAATTACTTGTAGTTATTGTACTTGTATCAGTTACAGAAGCGAGAGAAAGACAGGAAAATTGACGAGCGACAAGTGGAGAAGCAACCAAGCACCACCACTGCTTCAAATATCATCCATAAATTAAAGTCACTAACTAGTTGCAAGGGATGAAGTCACTGTAACAGTCAGTGTGTATGTTCATAGTGCAATAGCGGATTCTTAGCTAGGAAACAATTATTGCAAGAATCACCTATTCGCACTATTGGATATTTCGTTGGGTCATGGGCCGGTGTCCGGATCCGTGGAACATCGTTCCAGTTCGAGTTCGAGTTCCCGTTCGAGTCTCTGTCCCTGATCCTGTTTCTGTTCCTGTTCCTGAATGAACCCGTTCATTGTCGTTAATTAGTGCAAACCTAGCTCGAGCGAGCATGCTTGCTTGCCAGGCAAGGCGTGCCAGGGGCCTGGACTTGTCCTGTCCTGTCTTCCACTATACTGCATAGGTTGTAATTTATTCTCTACCGAGATTCGCACGGCCTGGGTTGGTGAGACGAGTTTCAGGGCCTTGCGCGCTGGGCATCCCCGGCGATGAAACGGGGCCAAGCGGGGCCTTTGCTTGCACTGGCATGGGAGGCAGCACGTTGGGGGAACGAATACGGGACGGGGGAAATTGGACTCGGAGGCAAATCATTTTGCCTTGGTGGGAAAGGAAGGGAGGAAAATTGGAGCGACGCGTCGACTTTTTTTCTTCGTGCGTTAGCATCGCAGGCAATGGAGCGAAGGAGACGAAGAAGGAAAAGTCGACGGTGCATCGGGGGCAAGCGGCGAGCATGTTCTGCGCTCGTACAAGTATCAACTACTCCGTACAAGTACACGGTTTACAAGCGATAGAATACTGAAGAGAAGACTATCCAGTCAGCAGTAGGAAGGATGTTTATCAGAAATCCGTACTTATGAAGTAGTCAAATGGATGCATGAATAGAGACTTGCACCATATCCGTAGCGCTTTACATGGCGGTACCTATAGAAATGATCCTTTAGTTAATTAACAGTACTGTAACTATATTATTCAGTACGAGTGATGCTGAAGTGGAGTGCGCAACCGTAATCGTAATCGCAATCGCAATCGTAATCGCAATGATCACAACACACGGCTTAGGATGATCCTCTGTGCATTGGATGGATACTCGGAGTGTTGATCCTGGAGCACGCGAAGGCACGTACTTGCACCTACACAGTGCACACCCGGAGAGCTGACGGACGGGTCGCAGCTGACGGACAATAATGAATGGATAGAATATGTTGAAAATAAATCTACCATTATGCGCGCGCTCTTCTCCAGCTATGCATGTAGTGAGTAGCGGCGTCTTTAGAAACGCGACCGGACAAAGAGGATGCGCAGAACTTCCTGAGTGAGGCAGAATGATGGTGATTATTGATGGCGGCATAAACCATTACCAAGGTGTGCGGGCGGACAAAGCACGAGCCCCACGATGGTATTTTATTATTAGATTAGATGATGATTGATGGCTGCAGGTCACAGGTGTTGGTGCAGATGCAGATGCAGATGCAGAATAGAGGCAGAGACCAAGGAGAGGCCAGAGACAGAGTGACTGGCCATCATCAACAGGCCCGAGACGCCGCTCTGCATAACCGCCGAGGAGACACGCAGGCACGCAGGCACGTCTGTAGGCACACTCAGATAGACAGACCCAGACGGATACACGACAGACAGGATCGGCATACGCACATTTGGGGGCCCAGGGCGTGATGGGACATTATGGGGTGTGAGTGGCTCGTCTAGACGCTATTGGAGTGGATGACCCCTCAGTGCGTTGTGCGGCGCGGAAGGTCTGTCGAGCAATGAGGGGAAGAATACTCGTAGGAAGACGAGCAATCCAATAATGGAGATGATCGGATCAGGAACAGTTCGTAGTATTAGTGTAGCTAGTTGATGCGTTGTTCGCTTGCTTACTATCGCTATTTTCCTTTCAGCGGCTGGCGGGCAGAGAGGTCTCAGGAGAAGGACCACAGGACTGGATGTTTGTGATTGCTGCATCTTCATGGATGATGTCTGTAATTGGGTGTTCACTGTTGAAGACCGGGTTTCCACAAGGAGGGAGGAACGCAACGGCTGCTTACGACGGCGCGACGGCGCGATGGCGACGCCGGACTGACGGCGGCGGTGGAGTGGGCCATTTCGGTGGGTTCGGATGCTCATTTCAGGGCAGCTTAGGTAGGGAGGAAGACATCGAATGGCGTAGTTGGAAATCTTGGTTTTCATCTTGAACCTTCTTTTCCATCCTGATTTTATTGTTTTAGATGTGGATGCAGTCTGTAATCGAGTATCTTTGATATGGATGTTTTAGAGGGAAGTGAAGTGAACATGGGAGTGATGCTGAAGTGAAGTGAAGGGTGAGGTGAAGGGAGGATTCGAATGGGATGAAAACATTGTGATTGGCCAGTCTAACCGAGCCTGTTTCATTTGTCGATGAGTGATGGGTCGGCCATACTAAGTTGGGACTAGCACCTGATACCCCTGTAGTGGTAGTTGGATTGGACTTGGATTGGACTGGACTGGACTGGACTGAACTGAACTGTTTACGGGCTAGACTCGATTAGACTGAACTAGACACGAATGGACTAGACCAGAATGGACTGTGACTGGCGTGACTGGACTGGGCGGGTTTGGCTGCTGCAGGGGCCGATTCTTGTGACTCTTCCGTCCCCTATGAGAGAATTACTGTAATGGAGATTTACCTGTTCCTTGTTAAGATGTTTGTTACTTGTAACTTGGTAAGTCGTTATCAATTGTTTAGTTGTGACTGTGCGATCCTGGTATTCCAGGTCAATTATGGGTTGGTTACAACTTACAAACGAGGTAGGTAGATGGTTCTCGGAGTATGCGGAATCTGATGCATGAGTGAACGGTTGATCAGGATGACCCTCAATTATGCCGATGTCAAACGTCCCCATCTGCTGTCTGTCTTCTGTCTATCTGTCCACATCTGTCCATCTACATTCTGCAGTGACAAGTATCAGTCGGTTTCGTCCGAGATGTACGGAGTACCGTTAGATACTTTAGATTAGGTGCCTTGTACAATTAGAATACTCAATGCGGAGGATGTGGTTCGAGCAAGCACTCATTTCATTCAAAGGCTTCGCGTTATGGTTAGCTCAACACTTCCCACCTAATGATGAGAACAATAATAGAATCATTACAACAAACAAGAGACTGACTGGATTGAACTGTTCTGGTAGAGACAAAGATGCAATATTGAATATTTCGTACACCTACTCGTACCAACTGTACCCCTAGTTGACGTTTGATGCTCATTGCAGCCCCTGACAGGGACCGTGCGGGGATATCACTCACCTCACATGTACCTCGTAACAATTCTCATACAATACGCACGCACACATGCACGCACGCCGCACGACGCAGCACGCACTCCCCATACCGTTACAGTTACAGTTACTACTTAGGTTAGTTGATGTGAAGGTGATGGTGAGGACAAAGGTGAAGGCGTAATTATTGTATACTGTGTACTCTACTCTGAGACGTTCACTCTCAGCCCGAATTCACCTCAGCTATCTACAGTACCAAGTAGCAAGGTCATTAATTAAGTACAAGTAGTAGCAGTGTAGAGAGGACTCGTAGGAGGACTCGTAATGGTAGACAGCTTCCCCGATTGGACTGCCCTATCGACCTCTTACCCATCACATCCCTACCCAGCACCCACCGAGTCACCAATCACATCTCCCCCTTCCCTTTCATATTGTTATTCGCCCTTTGCTTTGCCCGTGGCTCCTGCCCTCCTTTGCCCCCCCCTCCTTCCTTGAATCCTAACCCCTAGTCATCCACCCATCCCTCCATTACCCTCCTCATCCCTGCCCATTCCCTCCTTCCCTCCCTCTCTCATCCTTCTCGGGCTCTTCTAGCCTTAACCCATCTACCCATAACCACCTAACTACACCTAACACCACTAACAGTCCCTACCTACGGGCCTACGCCTACGCCTACGCCTACGCCTACGCCTACTTACACTAACTGTTGCCTCCAATCCCCCCCAATTCCTAATCCCTAATCCCTCCTCGCTCTCTCTTCTGCTCTTCTTTTTTATTACTCTTCTCCCCTTCCCATCTTCCTCACTTTCGTCTCCTCTCCCTCTTCGTCTCTCTTCTTCTTCTTCCACCTCCCACTCCACCCATTTTCTCTCCCACACCCCGTCCGCAATTCCACACTCCCTCTTCATCTCTCATCCACATCTATTAGTCGTCGTCGTCAAACCTTCACTTACTACCTACTACTAATCTCGCATCCTCCATTCGAGCGCGCCCAGTCCCGTCGCTCCTTGTTCCCACATAGATTCCTATCGCAACTCGAGAGAGCCCGCAAGTCGACTGCATCCGAAAACCATCAACCAACAATCATATCAACAAAAAACCCCATTCAACAAATTCTTCTTCTTGTTCGAAACAAACCAGACGCAGCAACACTGCCTGCTCCAGTCCCATCCTTGACTATTATCTGTATTCAGCCCTCTTTTGGCCTTTGTTCCTCAATCGCCGCTTCCCGCTCACCCAGACTCGCGCCTTCCCTCTGCCACTACTGCGCTGCTATTCTCGCTTAGCACCCGCCCAAAAACAGTGAAGCGCGTCCACCGACACTGAGCTCCTTCGTTGTTAATAGCTTCCTCCCCTTCCAAAAAAGAACTTACACACTGCCCGTCGGCCGGTTTACGATCGAAATTCCATCATCTATCTATCTACTACTTTACGCCTTCAGGCCTTACCGTCCTTAATCTTCTAATCCCACCACACCATCCATCCCTCACGTCCGACGTCTGCCTAACACGCACACGTTCACCTTTCACCGTCAGACGCTTCAGCTAATTCATCCTCGCGTCTCCGACATTCTTTGTACTCGCCGTTCACTGATCCTGATCCCTCGGACTCGAGAATTTCACTTCTGTATCCTCCCTCTTCCCGGTCTGCGACATTCATCCTCGCAGCTTAGTACGCTTTTATCCACATCCGCCTTTTAGACAAAGCAGATCATCAATATGAGCATGGACGCTGGCGGTCTCGCTCAAATGACTTACAACAACAATAACAACAACTTTGGCTCCAGCGGTGGCATTGGCCTGCCCACGGCCGGCTTTGCTTCCCGCGGCAAAGGTGCCTCTCTCAAGCGCCTGAGCCTCGCCTCTCCTCCCAAGGTCGCCTCCATCGCCGAGAATGGTGAGGTTCAGACTCCACGAACAAGCCGTTCCCACCTGCTCGCCGGCCTTCGCACGGCTCCCAAGACTCCGTCTTCTGCCCAGCCGCCTGCATCAGCCCCCTATGGACAGAACCAGCACAATCTTGGTGGCATGAACCAGGCCCGTTACACCAGGCAGCAGCAGAACTACAATGCCGTCCCGCAGACTGCCACTGGTGCTGGCTTCGGTGGTGCTGTTCGCAACCAGTACACTCAACAGCAACAGCTCCAGCAGCAGCAACAGCAGCAGCAGCAGCAGCAGCAGCAGATGCTCTACAACGCTCCTGACCAGATCCTGGCTCCCCCTTCGATCCAATACGACGACAACGAGCTCGACCCGAACATTGCGGCCCAGCTTTTGGCCACCGAGCTTTACCTCGCCCAGAGGCAGCAGCAACTCCAACAGCAACTTCTCAACCTCACTGTCCAGCAGTTCGGAAATGTCAACATGAACGGTGGCCTTCGCCAGAACCAGCAGTTTACCTCGAACCCCAACCTTCAGCAGGCAAACGCGTATGGACAGCAGTTGCAGGAGACTGGCCAGCCTGGCCTGTATGTGGTCTACAACCCCCTCACTGGCCAGTACCAGTACGCCATGGACCCCAATTACCAGCAGTCCCAGCAGGCAATCGACGATCTTGCAGTCCAGATGGTCGAGTCCAATCTGTCTCACTCGCCCCCTCCGCCAACTCCGCGCTTCGCAGGCTCGCCCCCAAAGATGAACACGCCTACTGTTCAGGTCTCTCCCCCGAACGAGATCACTCCCAGCCCATGGGGATCCCGCAGTGCCTCTCCTCCCAAGAAGTCGTCCACCCCACCCCAGGAAGTTGTCCCCCTGCCGCCCCCATCTGCCAACGCTTTCCGCCGTGGCCACAAGAAGCAGCCTTCTTCTCTCGCCTTGGAGGGCAAATCGGAGACTCTTGAGGGCCCCAAGTCGGCGCTCGTTCGCCCCGTCGGCTTCCCAGCCACCCCAAGCACTGGCACCTTTGGTCCCGGACAGGCTCGTGCTGGAGAGCATCCCACGCGCCAACCTCGCGGCCCACCCCCGCTTGAGGAGCTCCAGGCCAAGCCCACCACCAAGCACGAAGGCAGCAAGAACTTTTCTGCTCGTCAACGAAGACAGGCTGTCAGCAACCTCGTTCGTGCGGGAATCGGTCGTCGTGGGGTTCGCACTGGCAGCAATGGAAGCATGACCCCAGTGAGTGAGACTGAGATGTCTTTCCCGAACTCCGACAACGACACCGATAGCGTCCACAGTGCCGGTAGCGGAAGCCTCTCTGGCAAGCCCAGCATCGGCAGCCTTCGTGCTGTTGCCAATGGCGCAATCGGCTCCGAGAGGAAGGCTTCCAAGGAGCGTTCTCGTGACAGGACCTCTAACAGCGGCTCTTATACGGCCAACAGTGTCAGCAGCGAGGAGGGCTCCTTCGGTGGAGGCCTCGTTGAGATCCGCGTCGAGGAACCAGAGCGCCGACAGATGCCCAGGCTCGTCCTCACCAGCGCTGAGAAGCGAAAGAGCACCATGTTTTAAGTCATTGAAACTTGAACGATGGAATGGTCGCTACCTCTCCCATGAACCCTCTATTTAGGTTCTTTGTGCATATTTGGCGGCGTTCCACCTGGACCTCCGCATGTTATTACGGCCCCTTACGACTTTTTCCTTACTTTTTTCATTTCTTCTTTCTGTTGTGTAAGGAATGGATGGTTGCATTGGGTGGCTTTTCGCAGTGGTCCATGTTATTCTTGCAATTCTTTTCACCTTCGTCGCCTCGTCCGCAATGGCGTCTCGCCGTTTCGGTCGAGGTTCCTCTTCTCGGGTTCGATTTCTGATTCTTGCGAATTGCTTTCTAATGAGCACCCGTCCGCTTCTAGCTTATGGAGTATGGCCATCACAGAAGGGACGAATGGCGTTTTCTATAACACTCAACGAACCATCGAGCCTGCGGCTGATGGGTTCCTTGCATTCCTTGACCTTTTCAAATTTCTACCAGAAGACATCCAATGAGACGGAAAACTTGATTACACAAGAGTGGATGAGAGATGGGTGGATCATGTAGGATGAATTAACCTAAATGCCTTCATATTGGTTACAAAAACTTAGTTCCACTCTGCACTGTGATGTACATGGACTTGACGTGAATTTTTAAAGAACTTGAAAGCATTCTAACCGAAATTGAGATCAGCATGATTGCCTCAGTACTCCCGCACCGTTGAAAGTTGTAGTTCAACGACAACACGCTACTAGTTGGCTGTAATTGCTGATCAGTATCGAGTCTCCAGTCAAGTATGTGGCTTATCGATATGGTGTGTTTCCTTGATCTGGCGGGGTAGCTTCAACTTCGCCAAATCTTTCCACACGTATGAATGCACCTTCACAACACAACAACTCCGTACCCAGTGCACACCAAAAGGCCAACGAAAGAATAAACCTTTTATAAATCGGTGTAATTCTGTCGCTACCACCTTTTCGCCACCCACATCTCGATCCCGGGCCACCATGGCGCTCCCCGCCGCCTCACAAACGGCATCACCCTCAACCACCACCACCCAACCCTCCCACATCCTGCCCGCGCCCTTCACAAACTCACAACTCGAGCTCCTGACGCAAGGCGCCGAAGCCCTCGTCTACCGCACCCACTTCCTCACGCCCAACACGCCCGTAGTCCTCAAGTACCGCCCGCCCAAGCCCTACCGCCACCCCATCCTCGACAAGCGCCTCACCAAGCTCCGCATCCTCGCCGAGGCCCGCGTGCTCGTGCGCGTGCGCAAGGAAGGCGTGCCCGTCCCCGCCGTGCTGGGGGGCGACTGGGACAATGGGTGGCTTATGATGGAGTTCGTGGAGGGCAAGACGGTGAGGAGGGTTCTGGACGAGTGGGTTGAGCGCGGTGCGTTCAAGGAGGAGAGGAGCGCCAGCATTCCCGAGGAGGGGGAGGGGGACAATGACGCAGGGAAGCAAAACCAAGGAGGAGGAGGAGGTGATGGGGAGATCCTGGACCTGATGCGCAGGATAGGCAGGGCGGTAGCCAAGTTGCACGATCTAGCCGTCTGTCATGGGGATTTGACAACCAGTAATCTCATGTTGAGGGCGCCGCCGCCGCCCAAGGAGGAGGCGAGTCCCGAGGGTTCGTCACAGAAGCCGTTGGCGGGCAGACAGACCGTGTCGACTATGCGGGAGGCCGCTATGTCGGGTGAGGAGCCACCGGTAGCGGCGCCGTCGAAGGTTGAACCTGCGCGGGATTCCTCGTTGGCGGGAGATATTGTGCTGATTGATTTTGGTCTTGCGGCGCAGGCGACCAAGCAGTCACAGGATGAGGACAGGGCTGTGGACTTGTATGTGCTGGAGAGGGCGTTTGCGGCAACTCACCCCAGTGCGGAGTATCTGTTCCAAGAGGTGTTGAAGGCGTACGGGGAGAGCTTTAGCGACGCGAAGAGAGTGCTCAAGAGGTTGGCGGATGTGAGACTGAGGGGGAGGAAGAGGAGTATGATTGGGTAGATTTATGCTTTTGCGTGAGAAATACAAATTACAACTTAGATGAATTCTACGATCGTTGCATCTAGATAGCGCAGCATTCGCTACAGTTAAGTCGAAGCTGTGAATATCGAGCAAAATTCCGTTAAGACCTTCACCTACACTATTTCTGAGCCTCGAAACAAGGAAATGAGTATATGATCCAGTTCGCGAAGAAATTCGAACTTCGAAAGCCTGATCGTTGGCTACGTCACCTCTCTTGCTGCTCATATTGTTCCAGCTAGCATTGTACCGTCACCCTCACTTAGGGTTATACTATTGTTCCATCACCACGTCTGCGGAAGTTCGGTGCGACCTTGCATCCGAACTGATTCCTGGCCATCTACAACAATACCAATCCGAAACGAACAATGACATGTCCGGTTCGAAGTGCCACATGCCCTACGCAACGAGATTGTTCGGGACATGGTCTGTCACCCCCAACCTGTCGGGACGGTAGCAAACAGTCGATTGCTATTATTCAATTCGACAGGCTTCCAGCGAGGTACTTCCATGACTCCCATGCTGTGCTGCTATGTCCAGAACAATGGGGAGACGGCGTAGATCCAACGCCGTGTCGCTCTCTCGCATACAAGCGACACAATGGACGGGAGGGGATAATAGTAACATGGAAGAGATACATGTCTCTCTCCTTCCTCGCTGATGGCCATCCTTTTTCTCCTCTTCTTCCATATCCTACAAATCTCATACCGCTCACTACTTGTCAACTCCCTAAACACATCGTCAAACAAGTTATCAAACTTCTATCGTTGACCTGCCTCCAACACACTGCCAACAAACACGCAACCACACTCCTCATGTCCATCAAGTCATACACAACAATGGACCCAGCAATCCACTCCAAGCCATCAGCACATCTCCGCTACGGCCCCGATGTCTCCGTCGCATCCGCCCTGATACAACTCATGCTGAACGACTTCACCAACATCTTCACACCTACCAGACCTAACATGCTCAACAATCCATTCTCAATCCTGAACATCTCTTCTCGGAAACTCCAGCATCCATTCAAGGCCCCATCATCGCCATCGCCAACATCGATCTCCACACCGCCCATCCAGCCAGTCCAACCCTCTCGATACACCACCAAGCGAAGCACAATCGAGCAAACAGCCAACCATCGACGTGGTGATAGGGACGTACACGGCAACGATCCAGATCACCTGTCCTTCAGCTCCTCAGGACCCATCGGTGGCGTCCAGTGTGCTGTCATGTGAGTGGCTTCTTGGAGTCAGGGCTGTCACTTCAATGAGAGATTGCCTCAAACTCATTTAGTTGGATCGATAGAGGATCTGAGTCTTTTCCCTCCTCCGTCTCATACAGTCAGTAAGGTCTTATGGACTCGCTTTGCACAGGCTTTCTACAGGCTTTATCGAACGGCGGGAATGTACACACGCATGATGTACATACTTATCCTCTTAGTCGATTTCGGATGATTTCAGTATATTTAGATGGGTTCCAAGTATCTTCTTTGCTTGTCTTTCAAAACGTGGGTGGGTTATATGGTCGGTGTTTTCTTTTCCTTGGGAGTTTCTCAGTATGATGCTTCCCCTTTTTCAATATGAGTGGAGGCTACATTGCATAAGAGGGAGGACTAGTATATCTTATCCAAGTATCTCTTATTACAAATCATTCATTATTCATTACTTGTGTCGAGACGCTCATTGGTGAGGATGTTACTTTCTTCCAATTATACTAGATTGGTATCACATATGCTACTTCTGCCTCAGATGAGTAGGAAACCTGCCCTCACATAACGACGAAAACGCTCGCAACAAGAGCCACGACGAACGTCCAGCACCAGCTCTGCCCTACCCTAACACTAGAATTAGGATACGGGCCGGTATAGTTACCACCCTCTCCCCCAGAAAGCAGGCCCCTGCCTCCCGTACCGGCCTCGAGCACCAAACCCTCCACCCCGCCCTCGACGCCATCCACCGGCGCAACAAGCGCCATCTGGCTCCAACTGAACAGCGTGTTCCTCCCGCCGAACACGAAGACTTCGAACCGCCCCGCGTACGCGCCGCCGACCCACACCCGGCTCCCATTCACGACGTCCGTCTCGATGCGGATCTGCGCAGGGAACTCGATGGCCACGGGCGCGTGGGTGGAGCTGCTGACGTTGGACCAGATGCGGCCTGGGTGGCCTGGGTCGTGGCCGTCTGATTCCGACGTCGAGCGCAGCGGGTACGGGAAGTTGTCTGCGGTGGTGAAGACGAGGGAGGTGACGGAGGTCTCGTTCGTCGTGACCGTCTGGATGGAGAGTGAGGTGTCGGGTCCTGTCAGATTGAACGGCGAGGTGGCGTTGATGGACAGCGTGTATGGAGGACCGTACGATCCCTTTCCTAGCGAGGTTGATTGCGCATTGCTGGAGTTCGACGACCATGATAGAAGCGGGGTAGCCTTCGATGGGGATTGCAAGTCTGTGAAGCGTCGTTCGAGGTTCTGGCCCGGTGCCTTTGGTATGAGGAGCTCGAGTGTAGAGGCGAGCGTCGATGCGGTTATGTTGACGCCCCGTCTGCCCGACCAGCTGCGCGCTGCGACGACCGGAATCCCGTCGCGCATCGCGTAGTAGCCTTCAAGCTGTGTCGTAGCGTCCGGTCCATTGTCACTCCATGCCGCGAGTATGGCACCACGGTTGCCACTTGCGCCCGGCTCAAGCTGCTCGGTCTTGTTGACGAAGTTGAAAAGTGAGGGATCCCATTGCCAGCCCTGCTCGTTGGCGAAGTTGAGCGTCCGCGTCACGTTGTAGAACTGTGGGTACGTCGCCGGTAAGATTGGGGTGTGGTCGTTCTTCAGGCTCATGTACGCCCACCAGTCCTCCGAGTTGATCAACGGGTATCCCTCGTCCTGTAACTTCACAGGGTCTGACTCCCCGTATTGCCAGTGCTGGATCGTGATGTCAGTTGACACGGTGAAGTTCTCGGAGGGTTCGTTGGTGCCCCAGATGCGAATTCTCTTGCCTGAGGTAGTGTTGACCCAGTCGGACATCTCGTTTACGAAATTGATGTAGACGTCGGCGAGCTTTGAGTCGTATTCGTCCGCGCCAATGTGCACTTCTTTTGTTTGGAACCAAGGCAGGAATTCGGCCCAGAGTGCCTTCACGGTGGGGATCGATTCAGGATGGCTCAGGTTGAGGAGATCCTTCTTTGGCAGTGCGAGCTCTGGCTTCCATTTCGTGATGGCGAGACAGTGGCCCGGTGCCTCGATCTCCGGGATGACTGTAACGCCTCGTTGTGCGCAATGCCGCTGGAAGTCTTCAAAATCCTCCCGCGATAGCGTCTCATTCTTGCGCTCGATGATACCTTGCAGATTTTCATCCTCCGGATAGAGCGAGAAATGTGAGAAGACCTTGTTCCACGTCTCGTTATGCCCACGATTCAAGGGATAATTGTCACTCGAGTGGTAGTGGAACTCGGAGATCTTGAAGAACGAAGCATATGTACATAACTCTTTCAGAAACTCCGGCGTGTACCATTTGCGTCCAGCGTCCAGCATGTAGCCTCTCGTGCGGTAGGCCGGTGCGTCGATCACACGGCCCGGCGTCAGGGAGGATCCCTTTGCAATCAATAGTTCTTGGAGTAATGTTCTTGTGCCCCAGAACATCCCGCGGGAGCCTGTACCACCAATGAAGATGCTATCTGCACTGATCTCTAATTCGTATCCTTCTTCCGTTTCGACTCCATTTTCGTACTTGACCTCACTTGTATCGCCCTTGAAAGATCCTAATAATATGCCGGTCGACGGGAGATTGTCAACGACCTCAACTGTCCAGCCTGTTCCAAATAATTGCTCCAGATCCGAGCGGAAAGTCTCAGCAAACTCTTTAGCTGTGGGCGGTATGAGCGTCAGGCCAGTGGTATCAGTGCGGTCTGCGAAAGCGCTGTCAAGATAGATAGTCTTGGGCGCATTGCTGAGGGAGAAGCCAGTGGACGAGGTATTGTTGGATGTCCACTTGATAGGAGGCAAAGGTTGCAGAGCGGCTGCAACGCCTGCAAATGCGGCCAGACACCGAATCCACATCGCTACGTGAGATTTCCGTGCAGATAGAGTTGTCTTACGTCTGTAAACATGGCGGGCTTCCTTGGTTTTGTAGGATTCAGGTACATATTCAACCGGGGATCAGATCAGCAATTCCAGTAACCCTGCACTGCCAACTAGCGGGCCGGTACCAATCGTAGTATTTTCCCCGCATGCTCACGTCCTGCTCAATGTAACCCTCACGAGAGCCAAGATGATATGAAGCATGTTGATGTGAGCTTACACGGTAGGCAGCTGGCCTGCTCGTGACAGTTACGGGAGTATCTTTTACGAGGGGTGGACGTGTTTAGGTTCCCGTGGTAGGAGTTACATCGCGGGGCGGGGGGCGAGAGCACCCGCCCTGCAGTTGCGACTCTGCGGGACGTTGCCCTTCGTACTTCGGGTTGCTGAATGCAGGCATCCGCGCATTCAATAGAAGTTCCGTCACCGCTTCTATCTAGCGGGTAACTGACTGAATTGTCGATGCTTCAACTGGCCTAAGTTATTAGACTACAGGAGAGTTGGATCACGGTGACTTCGATATGTACCTACAGGACAGCAAGTGTAACATAGTTGCGATAACACTAGCCCCGCTTGTTACAGTATGGATCTACGCGTTGACGGCCATCTTTATCTGTACCATTTTTGTACGCATGGGATAGTTAGTTGACGCAAGGTGGGTTCGCTTTTCCGGTTCTCAGGAAACATCAATCGGGGTGTATGGGTTGAGGTGATTGAAGTCCTGCTAGATCGGGTCATAGCCATGTACAAGTCGGGATCTATTCGTTGCACATAAATGTCTACCGATACAGCAGAAATACAGTTGTAAAATTAATACATGGTAACCAAGAAGATCAGGGAGCCTTGCGAGAAGCTTCCCAATGTACAAGTGGATCTGTGTTCTTGATAGCGTGTAGCAGCTTGCTTGCCGTCTGGCGACCTTTGCTGCTTTGATCCTTTTCAAACATGGTCGCAGCCATTTTCATTAGAGCAACCATGCTAAATAACGCATCGCGACCAGAGACATGCCATCCTGTAGGACGGAATCCTAATCCGTAGCACAGTTCACGCAACGAGTGACCGTGCTTCGGTTCGCGCTGGCGCAAGAAATGGCGGAGAGCCTTTGCGATCTCCATGGTGTCTACATATTGCACAGGTGCCTGTAGTGCAAAACCCAACCTTCTCAATATGTCCATATCACTTCGGATTCCATGGCCAACTATGACCAATGGGCGCCATGTTTCGGCTGGTGGAGTCAATGTATTTCTTTCGTTGTCCAGCCTGAGTATCTTGAAATGCTTCGATCTACAGCAAGCATGCGTTTGTTCCGTGCCATACTCATGGCAAAATATTCGCTGTAGTAGTTGATACAACCTATTGTAAGGAACAACAGCCCTGGCATTGTAGTCGAATTGGGATGCCGCGCGCCTTTGCTTCCTTTTCCACATGCATATGGCAGATTGTAGTTTGCTTTCTGGAAGCCCTGACTTAATTGGCAAACCTATGACATAATTGTGAGATTGGATAAGGTGGTGGCAATGTACATCGATATCATCTCGAAGGTAGCGACTGTCCATGTATGCTGCACCGATCTCGATAACGGTTTTGGTTGATTCGCAAACTGAGATGTCGACTGCTAGGAAGATGGGATCGGAGTCATTTGGCGCAGATTGTTCTTCAGAGTCATCGTGGAGCTGTGATGTGAAGATGTCGTACAGGTGGTTCAGCTTTGGTGGCAATCTGTGAGATGGAAAATGGAGTGGTCCCCTCGTGATTATCTTGTGCCGGAAGGTATGCTGCAGCTTTGGTAGATGGTGTATCATTGGGAGCAGCCTCTCGTAGATAATGAAATGATGAAGTCGTTCATTTGTTCAGACCCATGGCTTGACGATTTAGGTTGTGCGGGTTCTAATAGTGACACGAATTGTTCGGAGGAAAAGTCTCAATGAAACTGGGGCCATGAAGTCCCCTTTCGAGAAGTGATGTTGATTACTTTTTATGGGCGTATGTTAGAAGGTTGGTCACGGTTGGGAACAGGCCAAAGCTGCAGGACCCACCGAACTCGCTCAGAGGGGTCGTGCGTGGACACGAAACCACGAGGCATAATTAAGGCGAATCTATCAATTGCTTGCTCTGCAAACAGAAACTCCAAAATAAATCTGTATGAGCATAATAGTTATCACAATGAGTACCTCTCCCACCCCAAAGTCAAGACAACATATCTTGGGTGGAGCCTGTACTTTTTGGAAAAAGCAAGGTCCTATAGATAAGTAAATGTTGAAATTCTTGAGCTAGCTATCATCGATGCTGAGATATGTCTAGTTACGCTAATGCGAAATAAAGCAACTACCCATGTTGAAATACGAAATTGGGTATCATCGTTGAGTTTCCTTACAAACGCCAAAATGAAAATATGCCCGCAGTGTTGAAGCAGGACGCCATAAAAGTCGTTGTCGCAAAATTATGCCAATGGAGTAGCAAGGACTAATGAGCCTTCTCTGCACCATAACCACCCTTTCCCTCCAGATTCTCATATGCCTTTCCCTCAGGCTGCTTCCCGTTTCTTGGGCCACGTTCGTCGAGATCTTCCTGTAGCCAGCGGAGGACAAGTTCACCAAGTAGACTGTTGGCAGACACAAATCGTGTGTTGGGCTCTGCGAGTACGTTCAATTCTTCCATGCTTCCCCACTTCTTCACTCTGCCCAAGGACATATGTACGAGATGTGTTGGCCATGTAGCAAGATTGTCCAATATATGCGTGGCATATACGATGGTGCAGGGGCGCGTCTCGGTTTCCTTCTTCAAGAAGTTTAGGAAGTTGGAGCGAGAAAGAAGGTCCAGGTCGACGGTGATCTCGTCCAGCAACAGTATTGACCATGGTCGGAGAAGCCCCATAGCAAGTTGTACTCTTCGTCGCTCACCGTCAGACACAGCATGCATGTGCCACGAGAGATCGATATCCAAGATTCGGATGAGTTCATCGCGCCTCTCATGGTAGTAATCGCCACCGACGGAGGACAGGAGGGTCGGTACATCGATATCAGTTCGTACGATGGGGTTGAGCACCCATTCAAGCCCAAGGTATGTGACGCCCTCTAGTCCGAATTTGAAAGGGTCGACACCTGCAATCGAGACTGAGTTGGCTGGGGCCATCCGCTTGCCAGACAGCAGACGCAATAGTGTTGTTTTTCCAGCACCGTTGGCTGCACGTAATAATTAGCTCGCAATCCTATTGTTCAGACATGTAAAATCTCTCGAGTCATACCTCCTACAAGCAGCGTTCGGCTTCCTGGAGGCAATCCAAGGAACACGTCCTTAAGCCCTGAAGAGCCATCAGGGAAAGCGTAACTCAGATTTTTTACGTCAATTGAAGGTGCGATGGAGTTGTCGACCACCTTTGAATTGGTTTGTGCTTCCGCCATTGTTCCTCGAGTGTTTGGAGAGTTGAGATGTGCGGATAGCCCGAATTATATTTTCAAACTTTCGGAATGCAACATCAGACCAGCGGTCGAGCTATTTCATGACGGCATCTCGTTGCGCTAGACCATAAATAGAAGGCGCTTCAGAGTCATTTTTTTCGGCACTTCGTTTCTCCACTACGCATTGATTCTCGGCCACCGCCATTATTGAATGCATGTTCGTGCGGTACGGCTTCTGTCCTCATTCAGGATGGCCTCACGGCCTCAGGTCTTTAAGCCTCTGGTGACAGTCATTGGCGCCACAGGAACAGGAAAGTCGGATGTACGTAAACAACATACATCTACCAGAAGGACACGATAGTGATAGCTGCTCACAACTATAAGCTAGCAGTAGAATTAGCTCGCAAATTCAATGGAGAGATCATAAATGGGGATGCTATGCAGCTTTATCATGGCCTGCCAGTCATCACAAACAAGATAACGCAGGGTGAGCGAAAGGGCATTCCTCACCATTTGCTGGGCTGCATCGGGCTCGAGGAAGAGACATGGTCTGTGGGAAAATTTGTTGAAAGAGCCTTGACAGTAGTATGATATTCGGCACTATGACAGGCCTTCTGCATAAAGATTGACATTTTCCAGATTGAAGAGATCAGGAGCCGAGGAAAGGTGCCTATCTTAGTTGGAGGTACACACTATTATACCCAGTCTCTCCTCTTTCAAGACACACTCTCAGACCAACCTCTGCTTGATTCGGAAGATCGATCACAGCAGTTTCCTATCCTTGACGAATCGACAGATGTCATTCTCCAACGGCTTAAGGAGGTTGATCCGGTCATGGCAGATCGGTGGCACCCCAATGACCGTCGCAAAATCCAGCGGTCTCTGGAGATATATTTGCGAACGGGAAAGCCTGCATCTCAGATATATGATGAACAGCGATCAAAACGTGCTAATCCGTCTAGTACAGCGGAGTGCCCGGGAATGGAAACCACAGAGGAAGAAACTGGCCTGAGATTTCCCACTCTTATATTTTGGGTCCATGCTTCTAAAGATGCCTTACATCGTAGGCTAGATGCTCGCGTTGATCGAATGATAGAAAACGGGCTTTTAGACGAGGTACAGATGCTATCAGACTTCAAAGCATCCCATGAGACCCAGACAGGCCAAGCAATAGATCAGACACGGGGAATCTGGGTATCAATTGGCTATAAAGAATTCCTAGAGTACCAGGCGCATCGATTGGACTCGCATATACCAGATAAGGTTCTTCAAAAGACCAAAGTCACCGCCATTGAGAAGACACAAGCGGCCACACGACAATATGCAAATCGCCAGCTAAGGTGGATACGCATTAAGTTTCTGAATGCGCTATTAAGCGCTCGTCAGAAGAATAAATTGTTTCTTCTGGACGGCTCGGATCTCTCGCAATGGAATACACAGGTCATTGCGCCCGCCTTGGATGTCACAAGTTCATTTCTTTCGAACCAACCGCTTCCCGAGCCTACTACTCTATCCGAAACAGCTTGCGAGCTACTCAGCCCTAAGAGAGACTATGATCTGGGACAGCGTCCTGATCTTTGGCAGAAGAAGACATGCGATGCATGTGGAACTGTGTCAGTTACCGCGAATGATTGGCATCTGCACATCAAAAGTCGGGGGCATAGGAGGATGGTAGCAGCAGAGAAGAAACAGAAGCATTTTAGACAAGCAGGTGGGGAGAAAACAAATGAGGACATGCTGGACCTTATGGAGGACTACCAGCAATAATGAGAGTACCAGATAACCTAGACAGTAAGAAAAGGATCCGTGACCCTGCCAATACTACATCATCCCGTTTGTGAACAGAGTGCACGTTGTCTGTCTGTCCTGTGCTTTTCAATTTTACCATAGACAGTTCTTCATGCGCTGAAATACCAGTAATTCATACTTTCTGAGCTTGTTTGTGAGCCGATTGAACGAAAGGTATTGCAATGGTTCGTTGCACTAGTTATATTGCAAGTATACAGACGAGACCATTCTTGTGAAAGAACATGCAAATCAATTTACTCTAATCATCAATCTTTTAACAGAAACGATTCTCCAGTACCTAAGCCCTGCTTCTGGCCTCACATGAATGCCCTTCCGAAGATTCTTGCTGTGCTTGCATTAGTCGTGTCAGTTTGAAACTGGACAGATGTTGAACCCATGCACGGACCCCCAATCGCTTCTTTCGATGCATACTAAACCGACCTTAGCCCCGCACTAAATAAATGATAAGCGAATACCCTCAGTTCCCCCCAAGACTATCCACAACTCTTCTCACCATTCACCCCTGCATTCTTCTCATTCACGTCCTCTTAAGACCCCGGGAGACACCCCACTATCGCATCACGTCCCAGTAATTCGAAATGCCTGCCCCCAGTGATATCTTGTCGGACCCAGACATCGCCCAGGCGTACGAGGATGTCCGGTCCGACAAATCAGAGACGACGTGGCTAGTCTTGAAGTACGCTTCTGCCACTTCAGATTCACTGAAACTAGATAAGACGGGCACAGGTGATCTTGCAGAGATGACCGAGGCACTGGGTGACGACGAAGCCGCTTATGCGTACGTGAGGGTCAAGTTGGGGAACGACGAGTACTCTGAAAGAACCAAGTTCGTGTTTGTTGTCTGGGCCGGTACGTAAGATATATGAGATAGATGGGAAATGACATGCGTGAGCTGCGAATAGTACATAGCTTTGGTATTGACTTGCTGTCTACAGGCCCCCAGACGAAGGTTATGCGCAAAGCCAAGATGAGTTTCCAGAGTGGTCAGGTGAAACAGGTCATTCGCACTTATGCTGTCGAAATTCAGACAGGAGACAAGAAGGAATTGGAAGCTGATAACGTAACCATGAAGCTGCGGAGAGCTATGGGCGCAAACTGTAAATCCACCCTCATTTCAATTTGTTTTTGAGACCGAACTAAGCCAATCTAGATGATCGCCAAGGGAGCAGTTATTAAAGGGCAACGACTTTGTACCCGAATTGGACCAAATCAACTTTGCATAAGGGATGTTTTAGAACATATGAAGATACTGATGAGGACTAGAGGATCATGACGAACATTGAACGCGTTGAAGCGATCATGAAAGCCACTGGTGCAACTTCCAGTAACGTAGATTTTGCATCTATAAGTAAACTCATAGTATATGTTTTCTTCTTTCTTGAGCCTGGAAGTCCTCGTGGAGACTCAGTGAAATCACAATCAACATCTTGCTAAAACGAACATGATTAGACAAATGGCGTATTTTGACCTGTAGGTCACTTATTTCATATTCGGACATGTAGCGCCCTCTCACGTAGGATCAAAAATCATTCGAATCAAAAGCACTCTTTTATGGCATCAATTTGCTGCTTCGATTGCTCCAAAACCTGCCTGAACACTAGGGTCAAGTCTTAAGAAAACAAAGGCGGACCTATTGGGATAAAAGTCGACGTTTGATAACCCAATAAAACTGCTTTCGAAGAAATCAGGACATAGATATTTGCACACAATCTAGTGTACACACAAAGGCAGAGTGCGATGCAGTTATCTCGCAAACGCGCTTCAGCTAGATGTTGCGGCATATCAATACAGCAAATTGTGCATGCTCTGATTAGCAAGTACGTGAGTTTTCCCTATCAGGCCTAGCCGAGTCTCAACACCATGAACGAGAACCTGGCTCGAATGACATGCCTTTCCGTTTGTCAAACCTCAACCATATCATCCGCATACCAACACTACATACGTTTGCCAATATCTATTGAGCCTGCCTCATCATTTGTATCAAGCAAGTATATTGCAGTACCCGATAAATGAGCCCAACCTAAAATAATTCTGAGCCCCTTCTTAAGCATCAGAACGATGTCTGGAAACCCATTACCCTTGTTGTTGCTCTCCGAAGGTGTCTTGAAAGTGATCGGGGGTTCTGTTTTCCTTTTCTCGCCGACCACCATCCTTAAGAATCTTCAGTCAGCGCCATGTACAGCGACATCCATATCACTCATCCGCAACTTGGGAACGCAAACACTAGCATTCAGCATCCCCCTATTCCTAGCCGCGCGAAATGATGTTGTTAGCATAAAGAGTAGGCGGCTGGTGTATTGGACGCTCTTGGGCAGAGAGGGATTGCTTGCGCTCGGTTTATTGGGGCAGATTGGCTGGAGCCATGTTGGCCAATGGAAGTCTCCGGTCGATAAAGGAGCTGAAGAGCGGGAAAGATTGTTGGAGGAGGGTCTTGGGTACGATCTCAAAGGACGCGATGAGGACGTTCGTTGGGACGAAAGGGTGCTAAGAAAAGGGTTGCTGCTCTGGGTCGCAGAACTGACGCCTTTCATTTTGGGAAGAATTTGGATTCTGACGATGAAGAAAGATTGGTTTGTCTAAGCCACTGTGCAACGCATTGTCATTTGTCAATCCATCAATCCCAATGTATCCGCAATATGCCGAGTCATGCTTGTTAGAGTCGCAATAATATCATGCGCTGTATGTAAAATGACCGTATTTGTTCAAGGTATAATCTATCTACTTGCATGCATAGACTCCAACCTACGCCCAATGTCGCTGCACGCTACAAATGAATCAAGAAAACTGCCAAGTTGAAAAGAGTGCCCAAGAGTAGATGTATATAGAAAATCATAGAACGTTATATGAACTCATCTAAGAATGTGTATAGCTCCCATCAAACCAGATCCTTTTCTAATCGGCGGGATTGATGTGGGTGTCACGTAATTGTAAGGGCTGAGGACCTCGTTGCTGCGGAGTAGCTGTGCCCGATGTGGCTTGAGGTGTGCCCAAACCAGGGAACGGGCTGACAGTGCCACTTGGTGGAACGGGAATCTGGATATCTTCTGGGCTAGCCGGTACCATTCGTTGCGGAAGGCCTGGAATCTTGATACGCTTGGCAACATTGTTGTAGCTCGATGGAATAATCTGCAGGCGTTAGTTGGAACTCTTCATTGAACAAAGCCTTGCAACATACTTCAATAATTTCATCACGTGGAAAGTCGAGTTTGGGTATATCCGCGGCATTGCATGCCATGAGATAACCGTAAAGAACACGCAGTACGGACTCGTGAGCGATGATGAGCAAATCATTCTCCTCACGCTCGAGCTCAAGGATGATCGGCTCCATTCGAACAGCTAAATCGTGATAAGACTGCAAGAAGTCAGTATGATGGTCACGCTATCAATTTGGGCACTGACTTCAGCTCTAGGATATCGATGATGGTAGGGATCGGCTTCATGTTTTGCGACCTCGTCGGGAAATTCCTCTCGAATCCTTCGCTCAGACATTTTCTCACATACGCCAGGGTTCATCTGACTCATTTGCGATCGCTGGCGCACGCGGTAGCCACGGGATGCGAGTTGATCTGCGGTTTGCACAGTACGCCGGCGGGTGGAAGTCCAGATCGTTAGCGGTTTAAGAGCAGCATCAGGGGCGCCCTGCTCTACAAGCTTTTGCCTTTCTTCCTCGCGGTACTGCAACAAAACTTCGCTCATCTTCTTCGCGTAATCATGCCCTTCTTGGGATAGTGAGGCATCAGCCTTGTAAGAATCTTCTTCTCGTGCAGTTCCAGCTCTTGCAAAGTACGTTTGTCGCGATTTGATGTGCAAGTTGAGTAGATAGAAGACAATTCGCTGCGAAAGGTATCCAAATGCACAGTTGTTCACCACTACTCGCTCACCGGCGTTGATCATCTTGATCCAATGCAAGTCTTGCTCTTCCATAGTCTCAAAATGGGGAATTCGTGAGTTGATCCGAGCCAAGTAGTCCTGCACAGCATCTTCGTCCTTCCAGTCTTGATAATCCGGCGATGAGATCTTTACGCGCCGGACATTTTCCTGGATGATGCGCTCGTCAGTGCAATGGGACTCGATAAAAATCGTCTGGATGCCATTCTTGGCAAACTCCTTCGCAAGGGACTTGCGCCCTGCAGAGATGGCGTTGACCGCGTCGTATATGGCAACCTGTCCCTTCTCGTGTTCCAAGAAGTGATAGATATCCTCACGACATTTCTTCAAAATTTTGTTGCGAAGCAACACTGACTGTGGAGATGCATTCATGAAGAAGTAGTCATCAGGAACATCCTTTCCAGGGCCTAGAGTGGCTCGCCGGTAGTCACCAAGGTGGAAAACGTGGGTTTTTACACCCAACCACCGAAGGTAGCGCGCTACAGCAACGGAAGTGTGGGTTTTGCCTCGTGCTGGGAGGCCAACAGTCGCAATTACAATCCGTCCCGAATGGAAGAGTCGGCCAGATTCAGTGCTGTACAATTGGGCAGGTGCCATTTCCTCCTTTGCTGGAAGATCGTGAATAGCATCCACGAACGTACTCGACCGCCGCCGAAAGCGGGGTGAGTTGGCGTATATCTCTGCAGTCCTGTTCATGGTGAATATTGAAAGCATTGAGATGTTCGGCGATAACTTACAATAAGGTATCCATGACTGCACTGCGATCTATGGAGGTCTATGAACCAGAAACAAAGGTGAAAGGTATTTGGAAATGAAGAGAACTCTAATCTAATAGCACATGAAAGAGATCCGAAGCCGAAGCCCTCGAGTTGGTAAATTGATTGATCTTTACTCCAGGTCCCAGGTCAATAACGGAATGTCAAGATTCGGGCCCGGGCGTGGGCGTGCCAGGGTGTCGGAAGTGGTGGTCAGTTCCCGAACAAGTTGATAGAACTTGTTGAGAAGTACTACCAGTATTGGTCAACTCGGTGGTGTGACCTTATAAGCTTACTTTTGACGACGACTTTGTCACGTATAGGTCAGGAAGGGTACGTCCACAGTGCTTGGTGGGGATTGCGCTGCAAGAGATTCTCAGGCTCTTGATCGGCGTCGTCGTCATTGTCGATGGCTGCTGTGAGAGGTAGTGAGAGAGGGCGTGCGGAGCTACGTAATGCCGGTCCGCGATTAGCGTATGCTCTGCTTAGCACCCTCCTCGCGAAAAGTTTACGATGAGCAGCCTGTTCGACTGGCATCAAACGTCATTTCCTTCCTCCCCTACTCCATTCCTATCGTCAATTGCGGTTTCTCATTCGAAGAGAAATCTGCCCCGAAAACCACCAGCGCCTCTAATACCACTGTTGCGGCGCCATGGAGCTTGATCAATTGAAAAAGGAACAAGCCATCTCGCAGCTGTTCACCCAAAATGGCGTCCTCTCACGGCTGAACGATGTATATATGGCATTCCATGAGCGGAGAGAGGCATTGGGATTGTCCAACCCCGGGACTGTTGAGAACATCGCAAAGGAGGTGCAGCGTGATGTCTTCTTGAACAACTTGAGCTTCTCTGGTCTCCGCGCCGACCTCACCAAGGCTTTCGGTGTTGCGCCGCTCTTCCAAGTATCGCATGCGTTATCTATGGGCTCGCAAGCTCAACCTCCATACAGTTATGGTGTTCTCTATGGATCACCCAAGGTTGGTTTTATTCCTCTAGCATGGCCAATATCATAGGCTCACCAACTTAGGTCTTCCTCCAAGCGAACCTCGATAACGAGCTCCAATTTTCTGGCCGCTTCAACTGGCGATGGACATCCGCTCTCGTCAGTAAGACCTCGGTCCAGCTCACATCACAGGGCAACATGATGTCGCTCGAGAATGATTACACAGGAGCAGACTTTTCGGCCTCGCTAAAAGCCGTGAACCCCTCTTTGCTCGACGGTGGCATCACCGGCATGGTTATGGCAAGCTACCTTCAATCCGTCACTCCCAACTTGTCGCTCGGACTTGATGCCTTCTGGTCCCGCCCAGCTATGGCATACCCACCAGATTTGAACGTTTCCTATGCAGCGAGATACAAGACTCCTGAGTGGATGGCCTGCGGACAGATTGTGCCGGAGCGTGGAATCGAGGCCTCGTACTGGAAGAAGCTCTCCGAGAAGGTGGAGACCGGTATCAATGTCAATTTGGCTTTCGCTGGACTCGGACCTGCAGGCCCCATGGGACCCATGGCCAAGGAGGGCAGCGTGACGATTGGCGCCAAATACGACTTCCGCACCTCGATCTTCAGGGCACAGGTGGACAACAGTGGAAAGGTCGGATGTTTGTTGGAGAAGAGGATTGCACCGCCGATCCAGCTCACTTTCTCTGGCGAGATCGATCACAAGCAGAATGCTGCTAAGCTAGGCCTCGCTGTATCCATAGAAGCAGCGGATCAAGAGGTGATGGAACAGCAAGAATCAGCAGCAGCAGCCGCTTCTGACCCGATTCCTTTCTAAAGAGGACAAATGAAAACAACTAATAATTCCCCACTTCCAGAGTTCTAGAACCCTTCTCTTCGCTGTATTACCACCTTGTTTGGAGCGAGCGCAGAGCCTCGCTTTTCAAAAGCGTCCATGTTCTCCTTCAACAGTTTTGTCTAGGCGCATCTTGATTCCATAATGGGTTACGGCTTGATAGAGCGGGGGCATGCGGCGGTCTTGTATCATGAGCGTCATAGAGAAAGGGATATGATGACTCACCGTGTATATCTATATGTTCTTTGGGCATCCATAAAATTAAGCCGTAAAACCACTTGTTCGAGTGTTCGGATGAAAGGTTAACCTATGACGTGATGACGATGGTAAGGTGAGAACCAACCGTTAGCGCGGTGCAGCGACGGACATTTTCATTTTCATGATTTCATTAGATTTATGAAATTTTAAAAGAAAGAGCATTGCCACTGCCGGATATTCCTTTTGCAATGGACGCTATTAGAAGAGTTGGGAAACCTAAAAGTACATTTCATTGGGCACGATTGGGTTGCTCCCTCTCCACGTGGATGCAGCCGTTGCGTGCCCCATCCGTCTCCCCATTCCATCCTCTATAGTAAAACAAGTGTACATGAATCGAGCATTCGGGCGCTCACTGGAGAAGCCTGTTTGTCCATCGATGAGCCGCATTTATAGCGATGCTTGGGCTCCTTGAGGAATCTGTGGCTGCGCACCAGGTGTGAGGAACTAGGAATTTGGTGTTAGCAGATGGATCCATTGATGAAATCATCCAGAAAGAGGGCGTCAACTTACTTCGTTCGAACGCTGTGCCATTTGCATCTCTCGCTCCTGCTCGACGAGCATCTGCTCTTCACTGTATGCCAACGCCCATGGCACACCCAGCAAAAGTGCGCTCGTGCTCACCACCCACAAGGTCTTGCCACCCAGCGACAGGCCACTCTTGACCCACGACGAAGCCGTGCTGAATTTTGAGTTGATCGAGCGTCGAGTCGAGGCGGGTATGATATCTTGCAGCGCTGTGATGCGCTCGTAAAGTGTCTCATCGGGGGTCACGGATGCGACAGAGGAGGCATCGGAGTCTGATCCATCAGATACGTCAGCGTAAAGTCCAATATTCCGAGACGCAGAGCACAACTGGCGGATTCGAAAATTGACGGAGTTTGTGGTGCTGTTGTAGACCTACCGCTGTCTGTGTCCCAATCGTCGTCATCCTGAGGTCCGTCTTGTTCGCGGAGGAATTCTTCGTCAACGACTTCTTCGAGTTTGACCATTGTGCCGATTTATGTTTTTTAATTCTTTCAATAGGATGTCTCGAGACGGATTGAGTGCGGCAATTGATCGTGATATTGCTCGAGGTGAGGACCGGACGGTGGGTTGATTTTGATTGTCAAGGACGTCGTCTAGTCGGCTCTTTGGAGGGTTCACAACTTTTCGAGCTTGGGCCAAGCCAACCAGCCAGAGGGGCCTTGACCAATCCCGTCGAAAACAACCACGACGACATGCTATCACAAGACCGCAATAGTTGAACGAACATGGTTCGTACGATTATTATATGAGTGCTTCTATTGACAATCTACAGGTCACAAAGAAATAGCAAGACTCTAACATACAGTACAAGGCCATCTTGCTCCTAAATCCTCTAGAGAAGATGTGCGTGTTATTGTATTAAGATTTGGAAGTATTCTGCGAAATGATATGCAATGCACGCCCGACCACGCTCTTAATCAAGGTGCGTAGGTAAGAAATACACACGAGTCCTACCCATTCCCATGCCTCTGGAGAGTTGGACACGCCCATGCCTGGCTTTCCACTCTATAATCTTTCGCTCTCTCGCTCTCTCGCTCTGCCTTCGTGGATGGTCGAATCCCAAAAAATACACACATGAAGGGAATCCAACAGAGACAATAACGAAACGAAAACGTTGTATCCAAGAACGCCGGTGTACATGATATAGATCCAGGCATAACGCCGCCTTTTATCTGGCTTCAAAAATCGCGCAGACACATTGCTGTTCTTCATCATCGTCCTTTGACCCATGTCATATATTTATCACCGTACCTGCGGCGTCAACCACGTCGCCTCCTGGCACGTGTCATTGATGTCGCTCTCCTCGTCCACCTTGAAGCCCAATTCCGCCATCTTTCCCAACGCCCAGCCACAAGTGAATTCACCCTGTCCGCCGTTCTCACGGTCAACGGCGTTTCCGAGCTTGATGTAATTTGCGAAACGACAGACGGTCTGCGAGTAGGACCATTGGAGACAGTGGGGGTCATTTTCGCACTCTGACCCACATGACCCAGCGTTCTTGTGTGCGGGTCGATCGTTGGGAACGGGTGCTTCAGAGAGGTTGTCCCAGAACTCGCGCGAGGGGCCATCGCGAAGGAAACCGTGCGTATAGGCTAAGAGAGACGAAAATACGAGGGGTTTCTGTGCATTGAAAAAATTAGTCAAAGTGACCACACGGAGGGATGAAATTACACTGAACATACCGGATTGTAAGGGCGCGTACGCTCCCAGTTCCAGAGTGATTCCATTTGTTCGGGATTCAAGCGGTGAACGGACAGTAATGGCACACACCACCTGTCTCGGTCAATCTTGAGGTGTTTGAGTTCATCGCCAGAGAATGTTGGGTAGAGGGCCTCAAGCCTGGTGCCAGTGGAGTTGAGAATGGCATATGCAAGTACGGCATCTCCGCACCTGTCCTCTTTGACCCACTGCTCGTAGCGATGACTGAGTTTCTCAACACCACCGCTGGGCTTTGGTGGAAGGAGCCGTTTCATGAGCCCGGATGACAGTACAAAGCCAGCGCCGCCATAGGCGAAGTAGCGGTCATTGGAGCCGGCCACGGGCGATCCCATGTAGTGAGGCTCAGTGTGGTCGTGCTGGTCCAACAATCGGAACAGGGTATCCCAGAAAAAGTATACGTCGGACTCCACGAAGACATACCATTTAGCCTTAGGGTTGACCTCGTAGGCTTTGTCCACCATAGGCAAGAACTTGAATCGGTCTAACTTCCATCCCGCGGCGGAGTATTTGATTTTCTCGCCTTCGGCCGATGCCTTTCTGTGTTCCGCATACGATTGGAAGTCGGTGTTATTAATGGTGTATGAGGCAGGCAATTCGGCGAGGATGTCGATGATCTGTCGGTCACCAACTTTCTCCTCGTGGTCGGAGACGATGATGAGATTCGTTATGCAGGACGAAACGGTAGCCAGGTGGGCTTTATTCCTCTCTGCATCACCGGCACCAGTCTTGAGCACGATCTGCACATCCTGAAGCTGATCTGTTGGGAAATTGTCGCAGAAGTTGGAGCCCTTGTGCTTCTGGGGCGGGAAATAGCTCTTCGTCTTGGTTTTGTAGTATACGGCGGATGGCTGCTGAGGTTGCCGCGATCGGGAGAGGTGGAGAGCGAAAAAGAACAAAAGGAGGACGGGGAAAAGGAATTTCCACGGTCTCCTCGAGAGCCGCAGGAGGATGAGCCGCAGCATGACTCTGGGGGAGGGGGATGGGAAGTGAAGAGAAAAAGAGCGCGAGGCCCTGCAAAAAGGCGAAGAACGAAGTCGATGGCTGGAGAGTGTCAGGAGTGGATCCTCGGAGAGATGGTTTCAACAGGTATGGACTGGGGAGGGGTTGAACATCGCCGTGTGTATATTCGAAGGTAGGGGTAATCGGGATTGGAAGTGACGGATGGTGTTGATGGTAATTGTAATGGCAGCAGCACTCAAAGGAGCAGTGCGGCGAGGGTTGGTACACGGAGGTAACGAATTGTTGGTGGAGGCGACGGTTGTAGTAGAGTAAGGGTAAGGGTAAGGGTAGCGTGTAGTGAATGGTTCAGCAGAAGACAGCAGCAGCAGCCCTGCCTGAGGTTTCGCGGCGGCGGGTGAGCGATGCCATTGTAGGTTAGCGGCCTAGCTAATAAGAAATTAGACAGGAGGGATTGGTGGCGTACATTCCAGTATGGGAGACCGCACATCCTGGAACGGGTTTTCGGGGGCTGATGGACTGCAGTATACGGAGCCCATATGCCATATGAAGGTACTGTGGTAGGTTATGGTGTACGGAGAATTGAACTTATGTGTGTATTGATTTTGATTGTACGCGGTAATTGTACCGTGTAGGGGTCTCATTGGGGGAGGTACAGAAATCAACTGACCTAGTAATTAGTTATTCTGACTCCAGCGTACCTCGTATGTACATACGGACTCTACTCCGTACATACAGTACGCAGTATGTTACTCGTAGGTCCACTGCATGATGGATCATAGGCTAAGGGCTGTCTCTCTTTCTGGCCTGGCTCGGATAATGGCACCCTATCTTGTTTTGGGAATTGCCGTGAAGAAAGGGGAAAATGCCGGATACGTAGTAAGCATTGGGACAGTCTCCTTGCCTTGATTATTACTTCATACTGTCTCTTGGTACTGATAGTCCTGAGCGACAACCTTTTTATTTACCATGCACGTTGAGTACCATTCTTTATTATCACCAAGCCAAAGAAGGACAAAATCCTCATATACTCAAGGAGTGAATACCAACCAAACATATCGTAGGTATCTCGCGACGATTCAAGCGCTACATGCTTTCTAGTGAAGGGAGAGAATAAGAAAACCCACAGCTATCGCAATAGAACGCCTTTCCCAAACTCCTATTCAGGCGCTAAAGAACTCATGATATCCCCCTTACATTCAGAAACTACCAGGCAGACCCCGAAGTTCTGGGTTAAACAAATCTTCGTAATACCATAAACAGCAATGCGGCCACAACGCCATATATACATGCGTCGATCCAGGCAAGACCATGGTCCGCATCCCGCCGGAAAGCTTGCGATTGGCCCCGTCGAACTCGTGAAGTCTGCGTCGTCCGAGTCGGACGAGGCGCTCTTGAGGTAGAAGCCGCTGTTCTCACGGGCTGTTCCTTTGCTTGTACTGTCGCGGGTCGTGGTTGAGACGAACTATCGGCGTTGACCTGGCCTTCTGAATCTATCGAATTCGAGCTCGTGGCCACTGCCGCACCGGTTGACTGCGGGTCACTCTTGCTGTTGCCCAACTCGTCCCTATATGCAAGCCGTAGCTCTTCAGGTACATCCTCTTCCTTGTGTTTCCCCGATGTGGCTTCGTATAGCTTTGCGGCTTCTTCCCGTTCGGCCATGATCTCGCTGTTGGACCTTCCACACGCCCCACATCGGAATGGACCGCTCTCTGCCGCCATCTTCTTCCTAACCGATGCGCCGCAGTCGATACCACCGAGTTGACCCTTTGCGTCCGTATCCATAAAACTCCGAATAGCCACTAGCGCCGTACGTATGCCCCACGCAGGTTGCCATGTCTCCTCGTGGTGTCCCGATATCGATAAACAGATCTCGCGATTAACTTCAAAACGTCCCGTGGGCGTGAGAAAGCGGAACGACGGTGGTCGGAGAGGGTAGGCTGCTGGTAGCACTATACGGCCGTGGTAAATGCCGCCATCGTAGGGCGAAGGTTCCGGAGGCCCTTTCAACGTGAAATGCCATTCAAAGAGGTTGTCCTCGAGCGGTTCAGCATGATAATCTGGTGAGGCGTTTGAGGCGAGCTCTGAAGCTTCTTTTACTGTCACTGCGAGTAAGTATTTCATCAACTCGCGATTGGTGTCGGTGTCAACGTACAGATGCGCTTGATCGTTGGGTTCTTGGTGTTGAATTGTCCCCGAGTGGACATCTTGCGCGGCAAGAATTACGTCTGTAGTGAAGGCAGCGATCCCTGTGAATACTGCGTTTTCAGAACCGGCACTTGAGCTGGGCAGAAGGTTCGAGTGAGCGATAGTCCGAGCGAGCGATATCCCCGAACTTGAAACGTCGATGTCTACCTCCACGTTGACGTTGCGACTGCGCTTATGGCATGACTGTGTCGCCGTAATTAGCCGCCGATCATGTAACCATTGTTCCCCACGTGGGTTATCGCACGTGCACTGTGTATGTCGAGTCAACTTTATTCCCATGTGCCTGGTTTCAAAGGGTAGCAACCTTCTTCAATATTTAGCTTTGTTTTTCTGCATTTACATAGCATGATTGTTGGTCTCAACTGTGAGGTTCATTACAAATGCGACTACAAAAGTCTTTAGGTGATTTAGCTAACTGTAGGTGGGTATCTTTCAATAAACAGTAACACCGATAACTCCCGGCTCGGAAAAGTGATGCTGCTGTGATACATGCAAACATACTCCGATGACGTCCAAACCCATAAAAGTTCCACTATCCAACTATTCGCAGAATTGCTACACATGCTAAACAGCCCAAGGCAACGACTGCACCCGTGACCTCAGGCCTCTTCAACCATGTCTGTAGATCAGATGCTTTAGTGACTTTCAAGCTTGACTTCTGACTTCCCGCTTCGAATGTATGTTTCGTATCTTGCTTTTTCGAATGTGCCTCATGCGGCAGATTCTGAAGCTGGGTGCCTGCCTTGGCGTCGAGCTCGTCGACGAGACTAGCACTGAGAGCGAAGATGGTTTTTGCTTCTTCAATTACATCAATACGTTCGCTCGGTGAGAAGAGTTCCTCTGCCGCGGCCAGCCGATCCTTGAAATCAGACTTGATGTTCTCGCCATCGTGGGGCCCATCGAAGTACCAAAGCGAGAGTCCACGCTCCGATAGTGGAGCTACCTCGTCCCCGCCAGCACTGTTGTCATCGCTCGTTGGTCTTTGCCAAAAGTCGTCCCCGCCAGCTACGAGTTGAGCTCGTATCCATCGTCCGCCAGAGAAAACCGCCATGTAGTAACACCAGGCGTACGCAACGAGGACGTGTGGCTTGTGTCTCACGGCCTTGCGAATGTGCGCGCAGTACTCCTCCACCTTCTCTCCCGGGTATTGTGCCAACAAAACGCTCAAGTCGGTAGGATGTAATGCGGTCAAAAACCCCAGGTCGTTCTTGAGGCGCGCTGACCTCGCCAGGCCTTTCGGTCGTAATGTTGTTAAAAACTGGAGCATCTCGGCAGAGGGTGGCGTGCTGAAAAGTTCTGGGCTATCGTATGGATTTACAAGCAGGAAGGACAGTAGAGGTGATGTGGGATCATCGGATGGTGCCTGCGTCAGATCGGCCCAGAGCGATTCAAAGGTGAAGAAGACATGGGCGAAATGGAGAAGGCCAGTAGCGTAGAGGCTTGGATCTGAGGCGTGCGGTGGTAGGGCAAGAGGTAGCCGCGAGGTTATGAGACGATTGAGAGTGGTATGGAGAGACCTTTCACCTTTGTTAGGAAATTCAAAGAGAAGAGGGATCAGAACAACAAAGTGAGTAGTGAATGTTTACCTTGTCGCCGTGTTGATCTCTCCAGAGAGTATGGTCTGGGATGGTTGTTCTGACATGATAGACTACTAAATCTGAATGAAAGAGTATTGACCTTTACACAGCAGAGTGGACGTAGATCTGTGGAGGGTTGGCCTGCTCAAGCAAGAACTCAGAAAGCAACGCGTGGGGAAGTGGAGTGAACAGTATGCGAAACAGTGGGTGTGGGAAGTGAGTGGCTTAAGAGCAAGTTTTCATGCCAGGCAGCGGACTTTATCGCACTCCGTTTCTCGCAGCCTGTCTGGACTCTGGACGATTTGCTTCACGAGACCAAGGGCGAGTGCAGCCTAGTGACTGGATGGAAAGCCTCGTGGCTGCCCGCTGTCAAGCACGCGGCGGAGCGGTTTGGTTGTGTTTGTGAAAGTCCCATGCTCCTCAGAGTAAAGCTTGGGGTGGATGATCGCTTGCGTTAGCTTGATGATGCCATAGTTCCTGGTGCCGTGTGCACCTAACCTAGCCATGCTGCCATGACAGGGGAGGGGCCCAGTCCAGTCAAACGATTATAGCAGGAGTCATGGGAAACAGGCTGCCAGACGTTTGCATGAGAGACATGGGTTGTTATGTCTGAGGGGTGACTCTCATGCTCTGTGACCTGTTCTTGAGTCGTCAGCCTACACAGTTATTCCTGGTACGTGGTAAGAATGGAAAAAGGGTCTGGCCGGGTCATGTGCCATTACCAACTTGTTGGGCGATCAGATAAGATGAAGTAATGAGATAAGATAAGATACGATGAGACTAGGGTCGCATTGAGATACAGTTAGGTAGGTGGTAGGGTTTCAACCATTAATTACATTTTTAAACTTCACACTACTCCGTACAAGTTTTTTCAATCGTGGCATTTGATTTCTTCAAAATAGTTTGACACCTTTATACGAGGTTGCCTGCTCATTTTTCTTTTTATAATGCGGGAAGCGACTCACCGACACCCTTCTGCTGCGCCAAGTTGACCAATGCTTCGCCAATGGCCAGATCCATTACACCCATTCCAACACTCTTATAAATGATGAATCCATTCGTCAACCACCTGTCCAATGATGGATCCTGGGCCTCTTTATTCTTCTGAATGTGTAACAACTCGCCAATCTCTACGATATTCTCTGAAGGTATCTTTCCTTGAATAATCTCACCAGCTTCCTGGAAGGCACCCTCCTTGGTATCCACTACTATAACACCCCCGGAGCCTCCCTTGGGATGACAACCGGTCTTGGATGTCACGACATTCTGGAACAGTCCGGGGTCTAGTTCCTTCATCTCCGGCTTATAAGAACCGATTGCTCCTATGTATGGTCCCTCGCCTCTTTCCACGGCTTGATCAAGGTATGACGCTGGGAATAACGGCGAGGTAGCAGGCGTAGTGCAGAATATGACATCCGCCGCTCCTACAAGCTCTTTCAGGCTCCTGTCATACCCCTGATCAGAAGCATTCAAAGCCGCAAGGCTAGCTCCCACCTCCGAGGTGAAGGGCCTCAACTGCTCAACGAGCTCTTCTGATCGTTGCGCGGAACGGTTTACAACGGTCATGCTCTTGACATCGGATCCGCGAAGTAGAAGCGCCAACCTAGCGTGCCAAAATGCCTGTTTGCCGGCACCAAAGACAACCACATTACTCACGCGTTCTCGTCGCGGGAGTAATGTCATGGAGCCCAGGGCTGTACGGAATCCTGTAACCTCTGAGGCATTCAGAATTCCTCTCGGATTTCCTTCCGTGTCGCAAAGTACTAAGACACCAGCCAGCGTTTTGCCTTTGGCGGTAGCTGGCGGGATGCCAATGATCTTACTGCCGACAGATGTGCTTGAAGTCGCAGGCATGAAAAGAGTTGTGGATCCATCCGGACGTGTTACAGATGCTCGATGCGGCTGATAGGCAGCTTCGTTGTTGACAGAGTATTCGACAAATGTCCTATTCAATGTGCTCTGAATGGCGAGGACGTCGGTACGGGTCAGGCCAGAGAGCAGTGATTTGACCGCCGTGTTGGAGATAACCGAAAAACTCATGTTAACGTCCACAGGGATTCTTCTTTTTGTATTAGGTTTTTGTCCCCAAATTGTGCTTGGTGGCTGTTGCGCAACACTACTATACCCTTTCCGATAATGCAGCCTGCGATAGATTTCGTAGAAGCGTTCGAATGTGAGCGTATATATAGCCCGGAAGAACTTGCTCGTTCAGTGAACAGCAATAGGCTCTTGCTCCGAAAAGCGGTATTGTTATCCGACGGGATCTGATAAGTATCATACAGAGTTGAACGTAAGCTTGCCTGCACCTTGTGATGCTAGGCCTTCCGACATCGCGCAAAACTAAGGCCGATGGTAGGCGGTCCCGCTCTCTGCCTATGTATGTATGTATTCATTCAACAATGCCAACGTCTTGACCTGTTCCAATTGAGAGTGGCATACAGACTTCCATATTCATAAATTATTTCACGTGTATTGTTCTTTCTTATGGGTATGCTCAGCGGGGAGAAAAACATATCTCAACGCCATCAATTTGCGCCTATACCAGTCCAGTGGTATCACGTTTACCAAAGCGCTGCGTCCTTGTCAAACCTCACCAGCTCCTTCCCGGCATCCTCAACATCCTTCCTTGCTTTCATTCGCATGTAGAAGATTGGACAATCTCTACTCGAGCAAATTACCTCACAGTGGATGCTGCCTTGACACCTTTGACACTGTGTCCACAATCTGGCGAACCGCACTTCCAGCTCACTGACTTTCGTCAACGTCTTTTGGTAAAGCTCCCCAATACGTGGTCTGCAGTTCTCACAAACAGCGCCGTCCTTCTCGGTCGCATTGACCAGGGGTTTCTTGCAACCCATGCATGTCTGCGTTTTCTTTGCGAATTTCATCAGACCACCCATTGTTGGTGCAGCTACTGAGATAGAACGTGTGTGTTCGCCAGTGAGCAGCTGATTTGCTTTCTTTTCACCCAAGATGGGTTCGAAGATGCGTCCTAGCGGTTTTGCCAATTGATTGTCAAGGTAATACCGGGTGTCGATTGGGATGTTGTTCTCCAATACATATATGGGATCTTCGGACTTCTCGTAATTTTTGGCGCCAGTGGCACCCTTCACCATAACGTATGCCACACGGTCTCCGAGGGCAGGAGCAGAGCCTGCATCGCGTTTCTTCATACGCTCAGCGAGCTCTACATGAGCCTGTTTGGCAGTGTATCCACCGTTGCCCTCCTTGTCTTCCTGCTTTGTAAGGGCTTTGGTGATCACAAGGTTGGACATATCAATCTTATTTTGAAGCAGATCCGATATTGTCTCTTTGACGAACCTGGTGCTACTTAGCGAAGATCATCACATGGAACGACTCTGTTACTTACTCTTGAGCCCCCTCCCTGTCTCTCTCGATAAGTAGCATGCGAAGGCATGTTTCAATGACAGATTGCACAAGGCGACAATTGTCACGGCGAACGGTCTCGATGCCCTTGGTGTCCATCTTGTCCCACTTGTTGGGGTTGGTGTAGTATAGTCCAGCGTAACGTTTCTTGTTGATGAGTAGATAGGGGAAGTAGACCTTCTCGAATTCAAGCTTGATAGGTTTGATGAACTTCGAAGAGACGTAATCGGCTGCTTCTTGGCCAAGCTCCATAGCTTTTGCTAGCTCTGTGGTGCCGAATTTGACCATCACAGAATCCGTATCACCATAGATTACCTCTGCGTCATGCTCGTATCCATTTGCAATCGTGTACTTCGCTTCAACTTCATGCTTGGTCTTCTCGATCATTTGACGCCCGTAACTAGTAGTGCTACTGGCAATGGCAAGGCATGGCAGTTTTCCCACCGTAGCACCCGTGAGACCATATACTGAATTTGCACTAATCTTCAAAGCCAACTGACGACCATTCAGGATAGCTTTGCGGAATGGATTGGTCTCGACAGCCATTTCTTTCTTTGCCCTCTTTCGAGCGCCCAAAAGCTCCTCCAGAATTTGAGAAAGGAGGCCCTTTCGAACTTTGGTCGTGCAAAAGGCATCGCCATGGGGTGTAACGATGTAATCTTCATCCTTGATCATCTTGTGGCTGTCAATCATCTGCTTATTGAGGAGCGTGGTGTAGCAAAGGTTGTGCGCTTGCATGATACTGGGATATAGAGAAGCAAAATCAAGGGTTGCTACAGGGCAGTCGTAGTACCCTCGTTTGGGCTCAATGACAGTGGCGCCCTCATATTGATCACCGTCTCCTGCACCAGCCGGGTTGCTGAGATCTGGGACGACAAGAGATTGTTCCAAGCATTTACGGAAGAGCTGGCTCAGAAACTTGACTTGTTGGCCACGAGAAAGTAGCAGATTGAAGGGAACCCCCGTGACTCTTGCCATCTCGGTAAGGTTGACCAAACTCATCAATTTGTCCAGAAGACGCTGTGGAAGATATGCGTCTTTCAAGCAATAGACCGCCAGTCTTCGTCGGGAATTGGCATCACCGTTATACAGCTCGGTGATCATGCTGTGGTGGACGTCTTCCTTTTGCTCTTTTAAGAAATGAGCGCAGACAGCGTTGAGAGTATAACTCCTCAATTGGTAATCGCGCTGGACGACTTGAAGTAGATCGAGCTGTATACGTCCGTTGGTGTTTGTCGATTTAGTATCTCGATTGCCCATTTGTTTACTGCTGAAGTTGGTGGACTCAGCGCGGGACTGCACATTTCTGAGTCGTGATAGGAACGGAAATTTCCCTGCCTTCAGGTGTTTCGCACGATCCAATAGGTAGGGGAAGTCGAAATTCGAAATATTGTAGCCAATGATGACATCTGGATCAACTTCTTCAACAAAGTCGCGCCATTTGAGAAGCATTTGGTCCTCCCGGTCGAACGAAAAGATTTGCGTTGCCACAATCTGGCTGCATGTATCCATACAGAAAACATTTCGAACGAATGGCTTGTCTTCTCCGTATCTCGTAACAATGCTGGCAATTTGAATGACTGGGTCGACGTCCGCCTCTGGAAAGATACCTTTACGGCCAGCGCATTCGATATCGAACGAAAGCACGCGGAGAGGTGCCATCTTAGCCCACTCTCCCTCTGCGGAATGGGCAATCAGGTCGGCATAATGTATTTGAGCTTCGATCTGGCAGTTGGAATGGCGTTCGCGGGGATTTATCAATTTGTATTTTCCAGCCGGAGCTTCGACCCATGACATGCCCGATATGTGCGTATCAATCATGAACCGTAGCACGTACTGAATGTTATCGAATGTCAGTAGTTTTCCGTCTGGCGATTTCCACATAGATTTCCAGTTCGCACCACCGTCTTGTACTAATCTTCGCACACGAGCAATGTATCTGGGGTCGGTGACTGAAATCTTGAGGTATGGGCTCTGCTGGTTTCCTTGGAAGCCAAACATGTTCTCTTTCATTGTCATTTGTACCGAATGTATGATAGCGGAATGGACGTTGCCGGTTTTCTGGGCCTCGTGCTCGAGAAATATTTTGAAGGCATCGCAATCCGATTTCTGGAAGTTGAGGGGGGCTTGAACGTAAAAATAGTGTAGAAAGTGGGTAACGTGAAGGAGGACAGAATGACCAGCCTAAATGGTAAATACGTTAGCTCATACAATCACACCCCAGAAATTTCCAGAGATCCTACCTCTGTGATGCCAAAGAGTTTGACTGTAGCCTTGCCACCGTTTAGCACACCTTCCTCGGCATCGATCTGCTGGAAACAGATGTTTTGTGCAAGCTCATCCACCTCATCGAGATGGGGTCTTCCCCATTGCTGATCCTTTTCGGTGCTGTTCTCTTTCAGGGTTTCCATGCTTTGTGTCAACTTCTCCAAAACCTCCTCCTCAAACTTGCTCTTTGGCTGACTTGAATTGAACGAGCCATTGACGCTCTTGATTAGAGGGCGTCCATTTTGATGTGTGGTATTATCGAGTTTCAATTTCTTCGCAGAACGAGGAGATTGAATGCTGTTACGTGCATTCGTGCTCTCCGTGAGCACACGCTTCACGGGCGTTGCGGATGGCATGGGGGGCAACCGCTGGGGGAGACTGGTCGAAGGGAGTAAAAGAAACGCTAGGTCACTGCTACTTTGCCTCTTGGATACCGGGGTTGAGAGAGTGGCAATAAGAGAAAGGTTTGTTGTTGCAACAGTGATGAGAGCTGCAGAGAGATCAAGAGATCAAAGTGACAGAAGTAATTGTGTTGGTCGCGTCCACGACGCGCACCCTGGTCTGGCACGTCTAGGTATAGCTTTCACGTGTAATATGGTCTGTGCTTTTAATCAGCTTTCCATTTCGAGCCTAACATTTCCCAGCCAATCACAGTCGTCTCAAATCTCAAATCTCAGAACGAACGGGTTGTTCCTTATAAGAGTAGAGAATAGAGAATATGCCGTCTGCTTAGAGGTCGCTCCAAATCAATCACTATTGGTGCGACAGTGTAGATACACATGGTCGGCCTTTGCTCTGCAGGTCTCTGCATGTATCCTGCCTTTACATCCAAAAGCTGCTTATCGTGTCTCCGATAATTGGGTAGACGGGGAAAGATTTGTCTTCTTTTCTTTAGGAATACAACTCAAAAATACGGGGAACTCCGTACGGAGTACTCGATGACTATGTGCGTTATGTCGAGGTTGGCGGGGATTTGGGTTTGTAGAGTAATTTAGGTACACAAGATAACCAAACCTGTCAACCGGCCTTCCTAATCCGATCGGGTCAACCCCGATATCGTCAAGTGCGGGGCCATACGATAACAAGTATCTGCCTACCTAGGTACTTATTGCCTACAAACAAACCTATCACTACCTAGGTACGGAGGTATTCCCTACTGATTACCATACATAAGATACTACAGCTAGGTACCTCCTACTTTGACACAAATCACGACTTTGGCCTTTTCAACTACACTGCTCGTTCCAATAACAAGTTGCTGTTGCAATCCAATCCAAGCCCAGTATGACAGTTGTTGACATCCATACTCATGTCTACCCTCCAACTTTCATGGAGCTCCTCCGCTCACGAACGACCGTACCCTATGTGAGAACATTTCCAGACGCCCCGGATTCCTCGCGTTTGATTATACTCCCGGGTGAGGATGATCCCTCTACTCCTTCAACCTCAAGAGGCCGTCCCATTGGCCCTGAATATTACGATATCGCTCAAAAGATAGCATTCATGGATGCCCATAAGATTGACATATCCGTTATCTCGCTTGCAAATCCTTGGCTCGATTTCCTACCTGCAGAAGAAGCGGGCGCTGCCGCCAGGCGAATCAATGATGATGTCGACAGCATATGTGCTCAGCACCCTGGACGGCTATATGCCTTTGGAACCCTCCCTCTTTCCGCACCGGCTGAGGTTGTCGTTGAAGAAATTGAGCGACTGTCTAAATTGAAGTACATTCGGGGTGTAATCATAGGAACTTCAGGCTTGGGAAATGGATTAGATGACCCGGCTCTGGACCCAATCTATGCTGCACTCGAGAAATACGAACAAATCATCTTTCTCCACCCTCATTACGGTCTCCCTGCGTCGGTTTATGGGCCTAGAGCCAACGAGTACGGCCATGTTCTACCTTTGGCATTAGGTTTTCCTTTGGAGACAACCATTGCGGTAACGAGGATGCTGTTGAGCGGCGTCTGGGATCGTTTTCACAACTTGAATGTCTTGCTTGCTCATTCTGGGGGTACGCTGCCGTTCTTGGCTGGAAGAATCGAAAGTTGCATTAAGCACGACGGTCATTTGAAGAATCACGGGAAGACAGAGGGCAGGCGCACTGTTTGGGACATCTTAAAATCCAATATCTATCTTGATGCTGTGATCTACTCAGAAGTTGGCTTAGGGGCAGCTATTCAGGCATCCGGATCTGACAGACTGATGTTTGGTGAGTATGAATAATTACAGGTGATTATTGTTTGCGGTTCTGACAATCGCAGGTACCGACCACCCTTTTTTTCCCCCTCTTGAAGAGGATGTCACAGAATGGCATAGTGTCAATGCAAATTACGCTGCAATCTCGGCTTCTTTCGCAGACAGCCCTACAGGAGAACAAGATGTGTTAGGCAACAACGCAGTTCGGATCCTCAAGCTGGCGTGACGCGACTTCAGGCCGAAACAGCGAAACTCTCCAGCAAATCAGAAACTGTTAGGTTGAAACTATATTGCCAATTGAGCCGAGTTGTCTGGGTTGTCTGGCGGATCATGATAGAGTCGTAAATATCACCATCCTACCTAAAACAGCTAGCGCAGGCTATTCCCAAGGCGCACCCTATTCTTCAATGCACCGATCACTCCAACTCGTTCATACAAAAGGCCTCAAATGTATGAAGTAAATAAAAAGCCTATGTGACTCTTTCGTTCTTATAATACCTTCGAAAATGTTGACGGCTTGCGCCTTACTCGACCTCCCTCTGGATGTCTTCATTCTAGTCTGGGATCTCCTACCCCTTTATGCTCAAGTGAGTCTGGCTTTGACCTGCCGTCCTCTATATACAACATACGGTCCCGCCGCGTTGTCGCAACTAAAGGAGACGAACGAGTCAAGTCTGGCACAGAAAATGTATTTTCTACGCCGTTTGAAGAAAGATGTCAATGATGGCTCCCTCGTGATATGTGGTGGCTGCATGAAGCTACACTCCGTACAGCTTGACGAATCCGACGGTGTTTATTCTACCAACGGAATCAAAGCAGCAGATCGTGTGGCGCGAATAGCTGGTATTCCTCATTGCAACTCTTCTTTTGCTAGAGCACTTCGGGATGTCCAGGCCCGGCTCCAGGACGAACGCGACCTAGGACCATCATATTTCTCAGGGAAACACAAATCCTTCACGGAAATTCGCTATCAAATTACGGTTGATGTTGGACGAGAGGGTCTTTATATGCTCACGCAATACGATATTCAAAAGAATACACCAGGAAAATCACATCGGCTCTCCGAAATTAGAGGACCAGGATTCATAGCAGACGTGGCAGAACTATATCGCACAACCAACATGGACCTCTGCCCCCACCTTTGGTTCGGGGACGACTTTACCCCTGGTGATGGAACAATGAACGATCAGCTTGAATGCTGCATTGATGATTTTTATCGATCGTGGCCCAGGGAACGTGACAGACAGCCTTCATACACAGGGAAGAGCTTCGTAGAGTTCTACTGCGAAATATGTCACGTTGATATCAAAACGAAACACTGGACAACAAGTAGTCTGACCCTTTGGGTCTGGCAATACTTTGACTTTCACCGACTGGAAGCGTCGGAAAGGCCTGCGAGAACTACAATACCCCAGCACAACTCCATATTACTTGAACCTGAAAGCAATACAAGTACACGTCAAAAAAACCATGCGTGGGACCGAATGTTATCATGGTGGCGCAGAAGGACTTCTTGAGGATAGGCGGCGATTCCACACGAGATCTATCAGTGAGCATTCAGACATGTTTAGAGTGTGATATGTTAATAGTCCCATTCCATATACCCGAAAAACACCATACACTTAGTATGTACTCAATTTTCTCGGATTCCACGAAGGTTGATGACACTCAATGTTATATTGGATTTCTTCCAGCGCTTTTTGACTGCTGATTTTCTAAGGCCTTCTATATGAACGGTTATCAAGGTGCCAGTAGACCTTCTTTGGCGCTGTGTATGCCTATATATCGTCGCCACCATAAATGTACGGAGTATTTGCATAAAACACCCCTGGAACATACTCTAATCTTCAAGCTCTCACGATAGAGGCGAATTCACGGTGATCGATATGGAGTGGATAATTACAACGCGCTGTCGTTGTCAGAATAACGCCTTGACTAAATAAACTCTGACCGATTGATTAAGTGAACCTTATTGTATTTTAGTTCGTAAATCTTTAGCAACACCAGAATCAAGCACTTTTTGGGCATTTGTCACCCTATGTGCCCACCAACGGAAATCGCGTATTCCTGGGGGTAATGACACTTTGTCAGCAGGCAATACTCATTGTGTATCATAAACACATATCCGAATAGCGACCAAAGGGGTGTGTTCATTTATATCCATGGTTCAATTTCCAGTGCACGATTATTAGACTCACGACTGGATGCTTGATGAAGGTGTCATAATACCTAAATGCGTTTACCTGCCATACCCATCCGGAAAATGTCTTCAAAAATTGTACGTTTTAACTAATCATAGATCCCTAGTCATTTTGCGCTATAAAGGAGCGTATAGGACCCGAGTGGGGGTGATCAAAGGACCAGCAAGCACGATGACGTTCGCTTGTGCTTCCCCGCAAAGTCAAACGTCAGCCCCAATGATTCATCATCTAGCCATCTAATATAATTGACGAACCTATTCATATAATTTCCTACTTTGGGTTTGTATTTGCTGCCGAGACTTATCCTTCTAACTCATCTCTTTTCCCATTATTTGGCTCACTCAGCATCGTACCCGTCTCTGCAATGTCTAGTTCAGCTGAGTATGCCCGACGACTGCTTGACGCCCACTTGAGGTCTCTAACCATGTAGCAGTCTCGTTCAGTTAGCTCAGAAGATCCTGTCTGAGGGGCCTTTTCGGCAGTCATCTACGCCACGTCGAGTACGCGGTCTTTTTAATGGCAAATTTGTTTTCGATACTGTAAACGCAGTTCACGTCTGGGAACATCCATACTACCCCCAATACTACGTGCCCATCGCAAGTTTCACACCAAGTGCATCCCTTGAAAGAACAGCACCCATCGATGGTTCCAATGAAAACGGTACAGCACACCTAGGAAGACTTGCGGTGGGAGACCGGAGCACCGATCGAATTGTCATCTTCAACACTGGGACCTTGCACGAGCTAGTCAAAATCGACTTCAATGCAATAGATCAATGGTTTGAAGAGGATGTACGTATCTACACGCATCCAAAGGACCCTTTCAAACGTATTGATATATTGAACTCATCGCGGCGAATCAAGGTCACACTCGAAGGTGTGACCTTGGCCGATTGTTCAAATCCTCTTTTCCTTCTTGAGACGTCGCTCAGGCCGCGGTATTACCTATCGCCTACCAGTGTGATGTGGGAGTATCTCACAAAGAGTGAGACTGAGACCTATTGTCCATACAAGGGAAAGGCCAATTATTACAATGTGAATATCAAAGGAAAAGTTTACAAGGATCTCGTGTGGTATTATACATACCCAACGGCCGAAAGCGTAACTATAGCCGGTCATCTATGTTTCTATAATGAGAAAGTAGATATTTATGTGGCAGGTGTGCAAGAACAAAGATGAGACTTCCGATCTGGAACTGGTTTCATCCTCACATGGAGGCGTTCTCGAAATTGGAGAAGAAAAAGAACAATAGCAGAAATGACAGAAAATCATCATTTTCTCAGCCGTTGAAAGTTGATACTCCTGTGATAATTGCTGGTTGCCGCCTACCGTTTGTAGAGAAATCAATGACCTACTCCGTACCTTGACAGGCTTATTGATTTGTGTTCCCAACAATAGCTTCTTAAGAAGCATATGCTGTGCTTTCGTGTCATAATCTGTACCTAAACAGAGAGAAGAAATGTTTTAATGGAAATTGACCATCTATCATGTACCCTCGTTTACTCGTAGCAGCTACAGAGTAGATAGGACTCATGTAGTTGGTCGGATAGGCACTCAAGCGCTGATCAAGGCACCATTCTAATGGAGCATGCAAGAATCGAAAGTTCTACCGTTCTCTTTGTGGACCGGGAACCTGGCCGCTCACATCTGGTGCTACAAACTGCAATTTCCGCTGACTAGTTACCCTCCACATTGTAGGATGTTAGTCCATGTTGACAGCTTTATTGTTTCACAAACTCAACTACACCCGATACTTGGTCCCTGCTCGCATGTCCAAGGACCAATCAGAATGACTATAACTCCCGAGAATCTTTACGTTGTACAGATTATATTGACGAATACTTTAAGCGATTCCGATGCGGCCTCTTCAAGTCGAGCGGGGTCAATTAATTTCCCCCGTATCGTTGATGGAAGTTGTGACCGATGAGTTGAGTATCTGCTCCCCCAACAATACTATGTGCTTTCTTCGGATGTTGAACGTCCCAAAGCTGGAAACTTTACCTAAACGTCTAGCTAGGTAGGTTACAACTATATGTTGGCTCATAGCGTTTAGCGTGTTTTGCTGCTTTAGAAACATACCTAGTTGTTGGTCGCGCGTTTCAATAAACAAGAACATGCCAGCAGGCATGTTGCCCTTCAATCCAAGAAGAGTCAGGGAAAGTATATCAACACCAATAAAGGTTAAGCCTGCCGTGGGAAGTTTCCGGAAGCGAACCGGGTGAAACTGGACGTAGCTAGATTGGGGAATGCAAAAGGGGCCGATCGCAGGGAGTGGGTCATTGAGCATCCCCTCCATAGCTTCGTCCAGTAATTAAGTTCACCAATAAATATTAACCATCTAAGTATGGAGTACTCCGTACAGAGTACCTTACTCTAAGCTGACTAGGTAAACAATACGCCCACGATCTTCAGTTTTCATGCTTGTACGGAGTATAACAACAAACACCGAACCATGAGCACATGGGGCGGTGGGCAGGCTTAACGCTACTAGGCAGTGCAACGGACTCTGGGCGTGCTTCAGCGTGTGGAATGGAATTTTTAAATTCATAAGGTGAAAGCTCACTCCGTACATTCTCTGCCATGCTCTATGCTACGAACATGGGTCTCTCAAACGAGAGAAAAGGGGTTGCAGACAGAATACAGTCAGACTCCTCTGAACTGAACATGATTTGAAGTTATACAATTTACCTCCGCTCTAATATAGAGCAAGTCATTCAACGTGCAGCCAGTACATCAGCGTGGAGGTGCATTGTCTAATTGCGGAGTGTCCATAATTCTCAAGGAGAAGCACTCACTATTGTCGCAGTCATGCTCGGACCACATTGGCAGAGCAGCCAGGCGTGCCAACCAATAACAGCAACTACGAGTACTTGTAACTACGGAGTACATGAAGTAATCGAAGAGACTTGGTTATTTGTAGGCATGTACTTGAAATAGTGCATTCGGATCGGCATGCGGGAAGGCTTGCGGGATATCGTAATTGCTGCTGGTATTGAATCGCCCGCTGTAGCTTAGAAGCATGGAATTTCCTGCAATAGCAATAACCATAACAACAATGACAATACTCGTGATAAAGATGAGAACAATGTCCCGCAATAATGAATTATCGCGATTGTTCCGAAAAATACGGGCAATGTGTCACGATTGGCGACAAATGTCAGTGTACGGCTGTGCATTCTCAACGAGCAATTATTGGGTTGTGGATGATGGCTTGGAAGGACAACGAACCAGACGATAAGAACAGGCAATAGTTGCGCTGCATCGGCCTCGTATGAGGCTGTAATACATGTACGTATCCTACACGCGCGTGATGTGCTTGAAACTTTGTTCGCGCCCCAATGTACGGAGTATTGTGATTCGTGACTCGACAAAGCTGTCATCGGCTTAATCTGCTGTGCTATGTATCTGCAGCTGATTGAGTGGATAGCCCTTCGTACAAAGTACCTACGGAGTAGAAGTGGAGCGTAATTGCTATTTCATGCCAGGGATCTCTCGTGTATTGACTGAAGCGTAAAAGAAAGAAGGAATCTTGGAAGGCCTTCGACGATGGGTTGCGATTCCAGCCGGTTGGTTGGGATGAGAACTCTCAATGCCGGTGGGGTGGTGCTTCTTCGTGAGTCGTACCTAAGTTGAGGCGATAGATTAATACAGTAACTACCTAGATCTAGAAACATTGACTTCATTGCTTTGTTTCAGGGTAGACTAGGTAGACCATAGACTCAACTTTGGTACCAATATTTTACTCGGCACCCATTCCACTATACCCTTTTCCCTTTTTCGTCGCCTCCCGATTTGCTCATCCCCCGCTCCATCATGCAGCCCTTTAGGCGGGAGGAACCTTGAACCATGCCCGAAAGTAGCGACATACTCTCAGGCCCTTGACCTGATCTGCGTCTTCCCAGCGGGAGCTTCCCTAAAATAGCATTGTGGCGGTCGTTTCTGTTCCCTTATGCCCAGGCATTTTCAATGTTTGGCCCTGCACGCCCAGTGTGGCCCAGGCACATTTTCCTTGTACGATGCAGGACCTGCAGACTCTGTCCATCAACTTGGGGAACCATTGCGCCAATATATATTCGCGGCCTTCGTCGTCCATGTTGGCGGGTGCCCTCACCCAAGTTTCGTCTCTCGCTCAACGTTCCCTCAGTTCGGTACGGTTTTGACACGGTACGAGCCAGCAGCTCTGCCTTGGAGATTTTCTGATCTCTGTACATTCGCTATTATACATTCGCTTCAACAACGCATCCATGCTCTTTACTCACTTAATAGGCCTTGCGGCCGGACTCGCCGGCGGAGTTTCCGCAGCCTGTAGCTCTGCGCTCAAGATCGATGACTTTTCCAAATGGTCGAGCAACACCAACAGCTTGAACTCTTGGACCAGTGGTGAGTTCTCCACAGCAAAATATATTTCCCAGGAGACAGCGCTTTCTGGTTGATCACGTACTGACGCCTTATAGACGATGGCTCCATGACTTCTTCCTCTGCCAGCGGAGGCGTCCTTTCGTTCAGACCAAAATCAGGCTCTTACTTTTACGAGACGTTTGCTTGCCAGGCTGCTACGTCAAATGGCTACAATTCTGTCCAATTCACAATCAAAGGCCCTGCCAGCGGCTCTCTTACTCTCGAAATACAAACAAAGAGCTCCTGCTCCGCTAGCTCTTACACCTCATATTACTACAGCGTGACCGGACTCCTTGGTAACACTCAAACCGTTACTATTCCCCTCAGTTCCTTCAATGGCGCCAATGGCAATGCTGTCACTGCCTTTGTCTGGTCAGGCTTCTCAAGCACTACAACTACATGGCAGATCAGCAACGTTCAATTCGGCTGCGGAGGTTCTAGCGGGATCTCAAGCACCCAAAGACCGTCTTCTACACTTGTGACAGCTGTCTCCTCCGTGAGATCCACGCTTGTTACATCTGCCCTGCCCTCCGGTACCTGTGCTCCACTTGCTATCGACGATTGGGCTTCGCAATCCCGGTTGACATTCTTGTTCTACAACTCGCTGATGATGCCCACTTCTGATGATGGCACATTTAAGTCATTGGAGGTTAACAAACCTGCAAAAAATCGAGTCACTCTTACTCCCAAAGACAAGAACTCATACTTCTATACCCAGCTGGGCTGCACGAATGCTAAGGACAGATATGGCGGTATCTCTCTCCGCATAAAGGCCCCGGCTGGCACCACATTATCCGTGCAACTCGAATCTTCGGCAAGTTGCGATCCTGCCTCCACGATCGTTGGTGGCCAAACCTCTACCCAGCTTGGCTGGTCATTCGACGGAACCGAGAAAGTGTATACCATTCCATTCTCTAAGTTCCCGTCGGTTGACACAAGCAAACTTGTTACACTATTTTTCTCCCAATTCTCTCAAGCAGTTTCCTTTGGTCCAGTGGCCTTCTACTGCGGAAACAGTGGCGCCGAGTACATTGTCAGCACAACGACTCCTCCTGCTGGCCCTTCTTCGACGGTTGCTGCTCCCTCAGGCACTGCTGCTGCTCTTGTCATCGACCGTTTCGCCACTGCCAGCCAGAATGCCCTTGGGTTCTGGCATGGTGGTGATGAGGGCATGACTCTCAACTATAATGGCGGAAAGCTCACCATCACCTCTGCCGATGCTGATTACTCGTTTTACACTCAAGTATCAGGATCATGCAGTGACTTTTCCAAGTACAAGGGTTCCTACCTGCACATTGCCTATTCCGGCAGCACTTCTTTCACTGTTGCCCTCCAACAGCATAACAGCCAGTGCAATGCTAACATTGCGCCATTTCCTGAGACCTGGGACTCTGCAGAGGCCAGCCGCTACGCCAAGGATGGGCACATCTACATCCCAATGAGTCACTTCAACGTCAACCTCCAGCGCACTATTGGTCTCGCTATTAAGGGATTCTACTCTGCCAGCTCAGTCACGCTTTCTGTGATCGAGATCGTGCCTTCTGTCCCCCGCGGCTGGACTGTTCCCAACAAGCTCGAGACTGGTGACCTCGTCTTCGCCTGCAAGCGTCCTAACTCTTTCGCATTCGCCATTGATGATGGATCCCCAGAGTATGCGCAAGAAGTTATGAACATTATCAAGAGTGAGGGGATCAAAGTTACATTCTTTACCGTTGGAGCGCCTCTCCTAGACGCTTCTACCAACCTTACCAATGTATACCGCGAGATGGAATCTCAGGGTCATCAAATCGCCCTTCATTCCTTCACTCATCCTAAAATGGAGGGCCTTCCCGACTATGCCTCTATCGATTGGGAATATAATGAAGACATTAAAGCTGTCAAGAAGCAACTCAACAACCTCCACAGTCCCTATTTCCGCCCTCCCTTTGGCAACGAAGGTGCCCGCATGCGATCTCGCCTCGCGCAGTCTCTTGGCGAGAAGCCCACCATAACAATGTGGTCCGTTGATGTCGAGGACTGGCTCTGGGCCGAGACCGACACTCCAGAGGAACAACTCAAGGCATTCCAACGAGATGTTGACAAGGGCGGTAACTTGGTGGTTCTCCATTATCTCTACCCATCTACTGTATCCTACCTCAGGCAATTCATTCAGATTGCCAAAGCTACTGGGAAACAGCTGATGCGCGTTGACCAATGCATGAACGATCCCAACGCACCTCCACTATGAATAGGCAATCGAGCATCAACGCCTAAGATGGGGAAAAAGGTGTTGGATGGTGAGCGTGGAGGATGTTTGTTATTTAATGCGTGCTGGTTATATCAATTAATAATAAGATGAAATGAAAAATGAAAAATGTCATATCTCTACGCCCACCTCAGTCTCTCTCTCATGCATTGTGTAGCATGCCTTGAAATTCGCCACCCTAGTAAAGAACACGTGAAACCCCATTTTGAATCGCATCAGCTGTGTTGGTTGATGGACCTTCGCATTTGACACCTTTTGCTGACCTCGGCAGATGCAAGTCATGGCCACATAGCAAAGTCTGCTGGGATAATGTAGCTGCTTTCTTTGAAAATCAAAACCGAATTTGCTACCTAGGTATTTGTAACAATATCGTTTGGTGTACACAAGTAAAAGAAAAAGAACAAACGGCGAACTAGAAGTATAAAATTACGTAGATTGATAAATCACCCCAGAGTAGCTTTATTACTATAACAGTACAAAAGATCATACAATATACATTTTCCAGCACAGCTTATCACAGGAAAAACTACTAACATGTGTTGAACAAGATTTGTGGCTACCTTGAATTTACTAGAGCCATGTTATGCCACATCTTCTCGTGCTTCCCAATACACGATCGTTGTCTCTATCTACATATATCAAGTTACGGCTAGGGAATGGGATTGATCTTGAAATTTCCAGCGTATACCTTTCAGACTTTAAAGATTGATCCCATGGATGACTTGAAAAGACATATCCCCTTTACAGTTACCCTAGCATTAAGAATGCCAAAGGTACTCTGGGCATGTATTAGAACCGATTAGGCATATGCGCGAAGCGAGGGGACCATCTTGAGATCTCATAACACAGTGGAGCCAGGTTTCAGCCACCACCAGATTCACAATGCATGCAGAGTAGGTCCTTCTACCCTCTTCGTCTTTCAACAAGCTCCAGAGCCTTATTAGTTATCGCATAATGTTGACCGAGTGCTAAACTCAAATGCACCAGACGAATGACCAACGGGGCTTCTGTGAATATTTGCAGTATACATCTGCGAGCTGTAGCTATAATCGATGTAAATATTGAATTCTCAGAAGGTGGGCACAAAGTTGAAATCTTTCCCTTTTAAGAGTATGAATTATTATGTGATGTATGCATCTATTATCTTGATATAGTATGATGCCAAGTCCTTAATATGTTTGATCGAAGTACCATTTCGCGGCAATCTGTATGTGCGGGTTTCAGCCTCTGGCGTAGGATGGCTGAAATCCCTAACCAACTTGCACGCAGTGATTCACATCACCGTAGCGACTTTGGAGTATCCTTATTTCTTGTCCTCGACGGTTACAACATCGCCGTCCTCCTGATGTGCGACTTTCTCCTTTACAGTGTCCAAGTCGGCAACAACCACCTCGTCGCCGAAGATGTGAGCAATCTCTTCGAGTGTCTTGCCCTTTGTTTCTGGGAATATGAAGAACACAACGATCGCTCCTAGCAAGTTCGTGCAAATAAAGAGGGAGTAGTATCGGTATCCTACATCGGCGAATGCGAGTGGGGAGACCTGGTTGAACAAAATGTTGATAAGAACATTGGAAATGACCGAAATGGAAGATCCCTTTGCGCGGATTGCCATGGTCATGATCTCCGGAACATAAATATAATGAATCGAGTTGTAACCGAGAGAGTATCTGCGAAACAGTCAGCAAGGTAAGTTCAAAGAAGCTTGAAGGGATAGGATGGGGAAGTCTCACATAATGGAGAAGCAGAATATGAAGGCGATGGTAAAGCCCTTAGCAGTTGTGTTGTCAGACTTTCCGTAGGCGCCACTGAGTCCCATTACGAGCGCCATGTCAATAGTCATCGCGAGTCCAGTGATCCATAGTGTCTTCTTGCGACCCCAAGTGTCAACATACTTGAGGCAAATGACGTTGGCAATGGGTCCAACGAGGCCGTACACACCAGCGAGAAGCGTGACCATGTGGCCCCTCATACCGAGGCCCTTGTACAGATCTGTCTGGTAGTAATTAATGACATTGATACCGGATAGCTGGGTAAAGGCCTGCACGAGGACAGCAAGCAAGACTCTCTTCCTGTTACTCTTTGTGGCGAAAAGATCCTTCCAGCCTGCTTGCTGTTGGCTTTTCTCAAACCGAAGCTGATCACGCATCTGTGTGAACTCAGCACGGAAGAATGTATCATCGCCGTCGTTTCCGTGAAGCCGCTTGATCACTTTATAAGCTTCTTCGTCGCGCTCCTGCTCGAGTAGCCAACGCGGGGAGTATGGAAGCCAGAAGATGCCGAGGAGAACGATGATAGCGGGCAGACACTGGAATGCGAGGGGGAATCGCCATTGAAACTGCCCATGGGCATAGGAGCAACCAAATCCAACCCAGTTGGCGCAGGCAAACCCGATGCCGACAAACTGAGCATGAAGACCAGAGATCATACCACGCTTGTGAGGGGGGGCAATTTCTGAATTGTAGATTGGGATGGTCATGTCTGCCCAGGTTAGTTCAGGGAAGTAAAATTGAATGATATAGCAGAGCTTACTCATGATTCCAACAGCAAAACCTCCAATGATACGTCCAGCGATAAGCATACCAATGTGAACAGCAGCAGCTTGTATGATGCCAGCAATCAGTGCAATCACCGCACCGATCATGATAGTCCGCTTTCGTCCCAGGTAATCGGCAGACCATCCCGCGAAGAAGACACCAAAAACAGATCCAGCACCGAACGTGCTAACGAGAGCTCCTTTGATGGATGGAGGGAAAGGTGCAAAATATTCAAGGAAAGCCTTCTGCGCAATCGTGGTCGAAACGATACCAGAGTCAATACCGTACAACAAGGAACCCACTGCTGCAAAAAGACCACATCCCCAAGTGTATGCGCTCACGCGCGGATGAACAGAAGAGGACATCGGAGGAATGAAACCACAGAATCGTACAAGTATCGAGATATCAGAAGGTATACAAAAGACCTGTGTTTGGAAGAGATGGGTTGATCTCCAGCGATACGATATTCTGCATGATTGAGACTCCCATTAGTATTTATACATCGTCCCGCTTGGAGTCCCCGGATTGGACCATGCTCCCCAGGTCTTCTTGCATTTGCGGAGCCTTTTTCTCGTATGTTGCCCGACCCCTTGGGACGCTTTGCGTGACTTGGAAGGGATCAGCTAAGCATGATTCCAAGTCATTGGAGCTGGCTAGTCCTAACTCTAAGGGGCTTATCGGGTGGTGTACCGAGTAACAAGCGAATGATTGATGGAATTAGGTTGGGATCGTTGTGTAACATTCAACCGCTTTAGCCAGTGGCAATCAGAGTTTTGTGTGGGAAAAATTATTCTAAGACCATCCATCAGGGTAGTGTCTGGTCTCAGTGTTCTTAGACTTTGTTTAGTTTCAGCAACGATTGTTATCGACTGAGGTCAAGACCCAGACTCACGGGAAACCTTTACCCAAGCTGCCTCGTACCCCACGTGGAGGTCACACTTGTGTCTATTTAACCGGTGTCTTCACGTGTATCCTGTCCATTTAGCCGGTCCCTCTTGACAGTAGCGACTTTTGTCGGAGCCATTTCGGAGCCTCGCACTCGCATTATCTTACTAAAACACCTTGGAGGGACCCGCCACTGCCCGCTTCTTTCACGGATTAAACAATGATTGGACGTTAAACACTAGATCTTGCTCGTATTCGAAGCAGCATTTTGTGGAATAGGGCGCGCGACTGCTATGATAATCCAACCGGTGCCGGTTGACATCCCCCGATCCCAATGATCAAGTTGGGAAGTCTTAGGGTCGTTAGTTGCAGACAATTGGTAACATGGAGGGTTCCTATAAAATGCTATGATATCCATAAAAGCCATCTTACGACTGGCATATTGTCAGCACAAACAACATCATGGTCAAATTCTCCCATGGGTGCTGGCATCCAGCGCCTAACACCATCATAGACTGGGCGGTTGAGACAGTCAAAGCTCAAGCAAAAGAGGATTCGTTACATTTTGTTACGGTATGTAGCTCGATATCATACCATAACAGGAACTACAATTGTCTGATACGTGCAATGCCAGGCTTCAAAACCAATCAATTTCAGGGGAGACACCTTGAACAACCCGACTTTGACACACCACATCAGCTCTCCCATCGACGATGTTATCTACCTATCATCCACACATTGGAGGCAACAGAAGAGTGTCACCCAAGGACCGAATTATGAGTTGTTTCCAAACGGGCAACAGAAGCATGTTGACTCTGTTGATACGTCCAAGACCGACGAAAGCCTAGTTTTCAACGTAGGAGATCTTTCGGCCACGGTAAATACTCAGCCGAAGGCGTTTGACCTCAGCTTTCGTCACAAGAAACGACAGTTGACTAGGCTGGGATGGCGGTCAATTGGCTACATCAAAGAAGACACAACAGCTTTGCACCCGAAAGCTAACTACACGGACCCAAACAAGGGTAGGCGATGGGTAACATATCAATTACAGCTCGGTGTCGGGGAGAAGGTGTATGGCCTCGGCGAGCGCTTCGGCAATTTCATCAAAAATGGACAGGTAAGCACCATATTACAGCAGCATAATGCGTGCACTACTGACAAATGTAGACCATCGACCTCTGGAACGACGACGGTGGTACCGGATCTGAGCTCACTTATAAGAATGTTCCCTTCTTCATCACATCCGCCGGTTACGGTGTGTTCATTCCCACCTCAAGCTTTGTGTCTCTCGAGATTGGAAGTGAGCGTACTACGAGGATCAACATTGCTGTTCCAGGAGAGACTCTGTCCATGTACCTGATTCATGGAGCAACACCGAAGGACATCATATCCACCTATACCAAGATTACCGGAGTTCCCGCTCTCCCCCCAGCATGGACTTTCGGGCTTTGGCTAAGCACATCCTTCACCACCAACTACGATGAAAACACTGTGAATACGTTCCTCGAAGGTATGAAGGAACGCGAGATCCCTGTCAGCGTTTTCCACTATGACTGTTTCTGGATGCCAGGATTTGAATGGTGTGATTATGAGTTTGATAAGGAACAATTTCCAGACGCGAAGGGTCAGCTTCAACGGATGAAGGATAAGGGCATCAGAGTATGCGTTTGGATCAATCCTTACATTGCCCAAGAGAGTTCCATCTTTGACGAAGGCGCTGAGAAGGGCTATTTCATCAAGCGCGGGGACGGAAGTGTTTGGCAATATGATTTCTGGCAAGCTGGCATGGGCTTTGTCGATTTCACAAATCCTGACGCTTGCAAATGGTACCAGGACAAACTTCAGAAACTTGTCGACATGGGTGTAGATTCCTTCAAGACAGATTTCGGTGAGCGCATACCCACCGGAGACACTGTCTATTTCGACGGGTCCGACCCGGAAAAGATGCACAACTACTATGCGTACCTGTACAACAAGGTCACGTTTGAGGTTCTGGAGAAGAATTTCGGCGAGCACAAAGCAGCACTTTTTGCTCGCTCTGCGACTGCCTGCTCACAGAAGTACTCTCTGCATTGGGGCGGAGATCCTTACTCCAATTTCGAGGCTATGGCGGAGACACTTCGTGGTGGACTCTCGCTTGCACTGTGTGGATTCGGATTCTGGGCTCACGATATTGGAGGATTTGAGGGCAACCCAGATCCTGCCTTGTTCAAGCGCTGGATAGCATTCGGACTTTTCTCTTCACACTCTAGACTTCACGGAAGCGCATCATTTAGGGTAAGCATGGCCATGAGCCTCTCCAAGAAGCCCTTGAAGCGAGAATTAATTTGTGATAGGTTCCATGGCTCATCGATGAGACAGAAGAGGCCTCTAAAGTCTTGAAGCACTTCGTTGGGATTAAACACAAGCTCATGCCGTACCTCTACTCCCAAGCGATTGCTACACATCAGACCGGTGTACCAATGTTACGCGCGATGTTTCTCGAGTACCCAACAGACCCAGCAATCTGGTACCTTGACCAGCAGTACATGTTGGGCGATAGCATACTCGTTGCTCCTATCTTTAGTGAAGATAATTCGGTCACGTACTATCTCCCCAAGGGCGAATGGTACGGTATCCTTGATCAGAAGATTCGGACCGGACCCGGTTACGTGACCGAGTCGTTCGATTTCCTCGGTCTTCCAGCCTTGCTGAAGCCAGGCGGAGCCATTGCCATGGGCAAGGGCGGCGATAAGGTCGAGTATGATTGGGCCGATGGCTTCAAAGTGTTGATTAATGTGCAAGATGGTATGGAAGTCTCGGTCAATATCCCTCATCATGAAAACTTAGGGGAAAACGCACTGGCTTTGAACATCAAGGCAAGCGCTGACAAGATCTCTGTGGACGTTCTGGAGGGAAAAGCGAGCAGCAATTGGGAGATAGTCGTCGTCAACAAGAAGGCTATTAAGGCTGAAGGTGGGGAGATCAACGGTGAAGGGGTCGTTTCAGTAACCCCAACAACGTCAAAACTCACCATTGATCTGTAGATGCTACTTCAGATTATGAGATAAATGATCAAAATCAGATTTCACGCTATGAAATCACAATTATGCAAAGCAGCAGTCGCTTTAGTATGTTCAACAAATAAAGCGTTAGTGAACCTATGCCTCGCTTACATGCCTGACATGCAACCCCAGTACGCTATCAGAGAACGCAACAACATGTAAGATGTAGATGAGTATGATTACATACTAATGCTGATACAATTGTTCATAAATCAGTGTTCTTTTCAGTATCCCTTTTCAGTCACAGAATATGTACAATCCCAATTTGCCCTGAGTCCCACGCATAGCTCGTTTATAGTGTAACACAACTGTTTGCGCTGTCTTCAAGGAAAACGCCACCGTAAATTTGGCCTTCGTTAAGATTCTTCTGGTGGTAACCGCTATTCACCACATCGGACGAACCCGTAGGCTTGCGAAGTATACCAAGCTGGAACTGCCCGGCCCCCTTGAGATCGACGTTGCTTGGACCAGCAACTGATTTCAAAGCAGCCTGGCCAACGGAGTAATAGATCTGGACTTGACTTTGAGATAATTAGCTCTTGAATTCCTCTGTAGCGGTTATACATTTCATTAAAAACAGATCGCACAACGTACTTCTTATCGTAGTTCAGAGTGATAGCGAAGTTCTGCCACTCGGTCTTGTCAATGGCAACTGAATAGAGGCTGTTGCCGTTACGGTCAAGAATCTTAAATTTTTCCTTATCGGCAGCAGATTTTCCAATAAGTTGGCCTGTCTGAAATTGAATCTGGTTGGAGGAGTAATCGGCAGCCTCGTGCCAAACGTTCTTGCCCTCATGTTAGGTTGACTTTTTAGACAGTGACTTTGAGACGTACCAAGAACTCATGAGTAAGGTTTAAAGGACGCGCGGCATCCTGCTTGACACTGAAATGGAGAGTCTTTACGCCCACAGTTCCGGGCCCATCCGCTGCATCCTTGAGAAATTGAAGGCCAGCTCGTCTAAATCCGTTTTGCTTCTGGAAGATGCTCTTGTCCGATACTGTGACTTCTAATGAAGTATATTTATCACCATCAAATCGAGAGGCAGTGCCGTTAGGAAACTTTAGAATTTCAGACCACTTGAGGTCGTTTCCTTTCACATAGTCGGGATTGTATATGGTGTTTGTTGCATAGGAATCGAAGAAGGAGGGGGCCGTGCCAACGGGAACACGTCCATCGAAAACGATAGGGCACTTTACTTCAGCTGGGGGTACAGCGGCCTGCAGAGTTGGTGCTGCTAAGCTCCTGCCTGCAGCAAGTAGAATTGCTGCAATGGATTGTCGGTGCATTTTTCTTGTTGCGCTGCTCAGTGATTGTGACCAAAGTTGCAAAAGTTAGAAGGATGAAAGACAACTTGGATTCTTAGGACCTTTTATACAATCCTCGCAATGTTGCATCTTCACAGATACCTGTGCTTTCTGTGTGTATATTAGTATACTATACCGGGAATTTGAGAACCCCGGGCGGACAAACCGGGCGGTCTAATCGCTGAAATATGCGTTCCATCTTCGGCGAATTAGGGATGACCAATGGCGAAACGGGGGATCTCAGAAAGAAAGTCCCATAGTGATGTTATTTAAACAAATTGGGCAAGCGAAGTATTGACCATAACGTGATCATACATGTCAATGATGCACATGCAATATATACGGAACGAGCTTGTTTTGATGCTCCATGAACCCTGGATCGTGAGGCCAAGCAGGGGTTATCTAAATTGAGTAATCGGTCCGACATGCCGAGTTTAGATCTCGTTGTCTCAGTAGAATAGCAACATTTCATGAAGAAGGGCATGTGGAATCTACATGGTGGTGATAATTGGCGCTGTAGCTGTAGACGTTGCTGTGTCGGCTGGCTCTAGCATACGTGTCCGTAGTTACAATGACAGCCGTGTTTCCAGCATTGAATGTTATTTCCCTAAGAACACAAGAGGCTCCCTTGACCCTAACCTAAATTTCAAGTGTCTCACAATATGCTCATTTAGTATTCGCGGAACTCATATCGGCGTTACTAGGAGACGATCGCAATGAATAGAACTTTCCGTCGATCTAGGTAATTTGTACTTCCAAAAGCTGCTTCCAGAACTCGGGGCTCATCCAACGACACACGTATTTGTGATCATCAAATATTCCATACAGACATCTAAAGGCACATTGGATTGACAATACTGATTTTAGAACGTGCTCCCTTTCGTGAGTTTTCTTCTCCAATTCATGCGTCCGTTTGAATCCTGGGTGGCCGTTCTTGTAACCCTCAATTCTGACTTAGGGATTAATAAAGCACCTCCGCTTTCCCTTAGCCTCTTTCTCATATCCTTTTCCTCCATTCCCAAGACCTCTTGGCCTAGTTCTTCTCTGATAGCTCCAGAGATATCCATGATGCTCCTAAGTAGTCCAGGCCGCCTGCCTCTTCTATACATTCTACTTGAATGCACAGTGTCCAACCACATGCCAACCATTATACATGCCCATATGAAGTTGAATATGGAGACCATAAAGAGGAATATGTAAGAAAATCCCCACTGATATGTATCGTTGGGCTTACATGAACCATGCGATAATATGTATTGCCCGGTATAGATGTCTCCCTGTCGAGCTTCGTCGGAATAGAATTGGCGCCTAATTCTGTTTGATGTGGGGGCAGTGACGTTCGTGAGCCAAGTGACGTTGAGTGTCGGACTGTCTAGATCATAGGCGTGTCCCCCAAAGCGCCAGATGCTTTTTTTGTTAAGAGAGAATCTCTCCGTTCTGTTCAATCCTGTCTCCACGCCATATCTCGGGTTTTCTCGCCCACGAGGAAATTCTTCTATGCTAGAAGTGTTTTCCACGTATGACCAGACTGCGTCCATTAATTCACTATCGCCGATAGTGACGACCAAAGGTTTTTCATAACCAATGCGACTGCTGTCTTCAATCACGTAGTATACTGGTAGGTCAAGCACACTATGCAACTCGATCAAGTCCTTGCTGTAACTCTCAATATATGCCGAATCGGTTGTAATGTAACCGGTCATTGCGGCCATCAAGGTGGGGAAACTCAACACATAAAATGTGCTTAGAATCATGCTCAGCAAGGCAAGCCAGCGGAAGAACCGTAACCAGGTGGGTTGGCCAAAGGCAAGGAATTCTTTCCCTAGCACACCAAGTGTAGAGATAGTGGTAGTCTCGAACGCAACGGCCGTATATAACTTGTAAGAAGTTAGATGTCGCTCAAGATGGAAGAGCAACCATTCGTTGAAGACTCGGTAATTAACCCATGCAAGTAATAGCTGCCCCCCTCTTCCAACAATCAGGTCCCATGCGATATCGATGACTTTGACTTGAGTAAAAGTCATGGAACCGAAACTCAGATTTGGCGTGAAAAAATATGAAGAATCCATGATTCGCCAGGTTGCGCCCTGCGTTTCGCTCCACATGCCGTTGGGGTAACAGTCACGTCCTTGAATGTAGCCTACCGAGGCTTCCTCCGCAGCTGTTGCTAACACTATAATGGGTGAGAGGGCGAGGGGCAATGAAGCAATGACAAGAAATGCCTTCCAAGGAAATGGTGAGATCTTGTCAAATAACGTCAACTTTGGAGATGGGAAATGCTCTTGATTCTCATGTGATCCACTCATGGAAATGCGAGCGTTCGACGCCATGTTGAGTAACTGGACGTCACTTTGGCAGTCGTCGTGACGATCGGATCGCAGTGTAGTATGCTTCATAGGACCAAATGGTTGCGGTCAGGGGCATCGCGAAATCGGTGGGGCTGCAATGACAGTCAAGCCAACTGAGCTGAATTGAAGAAAGAATGGACGTGAGCGTTCGCAGTATACCAGTAGACTTGAGTAATGACGACAGTCATCAGGATACAATTGATGATGGCGACCTAAGTTATTGTAGCGCTACAAGTGTGTGTGTGTTTTGATTGCAGGATTGCCTTGAGTCCTATGGTGCTGCACTACTGCTTCGTGTGCGCGTGTACCTAAGGCGGGCGGCCAAGAGAGGCGCAGCTTCGCCTGCCTTCCCCAGGTTGGCTGGTTGGCTGGTTGGCTGATTGGCTGATTGGGTTGTATCTTGTACACATTCAGACGATTGGGCATATTAATATCGAAACTACGAGTTTGTAGAAGAATGACAACAGCGATGACGACACAAGATCGTAGATCATTTCACTTGTTGTTCGTTGTAGATACCCGAAATCTACTTGTTTGTTGCCATCGTAAGGACGGTCGCATAGTAGCAGGACGGGCGTCCGCTGTGCAGACCCCCGGTCTGACGAGGACGATCTGACGAAACCAATCAAATCATCGCACGCCTCCGGATGTTTCAAACATGTCGCATCCGATTGCGAATTGACTGATCATACAAGTGAACTTCTTCTGAAGACCTACAGGCATTGCTAGGTATGCCTACATTTTGATGGGACCGCACTCTGTTGTACAACCCGGGTTCTATGAATCGGGACTGTAAATAGACGAAATCATATCACCGAAGTGCAAGTATATCATGATGTGTTGTTTCCCAATATCTCGCTTCTAGCTTCATGTAGCCTTATCATCATTATCATCATTAATTCATCTTACTCGCAGACGCTGAAATACTGTCAATTTCTCTACATTCAAAATGCCATCTATCTCTACGCTCGTCGCCCTAGCGGCCCTCACTACCACAGCTGTTGGGCAATCGACAGCGACAGCTACACTCTTGCTCCCAGATTGGTGTGTAACGCAGTCACAGCCTGCCGTTACTATTCTGGGTGCTAATTCCCTTACCACCTACTCTTATTCATGCTCAACCGATACTGCAGCCATGTCATCTGCATCAGCGAAGGCATCAAAACTCGGAGAGTCGGCTCGACAAAAGGCGAGCGAAGTGCAAGCCTCTTTGGGGGTCACTGAAGCCAAGAACCCAAGGCCGACGGACGATTCTAGAGATAATATTGCTCGATATGCGCGCGGCCTCGTGCATGAGCGAGACAGTTCGTACGAATGTTATGGTTTTGATGCTTTCGACGCATGCATTCCTTGGGAGATCACACAGGGCGAAAGCTTCTGGGCTGTCCATTATACCGCTACCGATGTTGGTGGTGTAGATCAAGAATGTACATTCGGAGAAGGAGGAGTACAAAACGGACCGGCTACATGTACGGCCTCGGGAAGACTAGATCCAAACATATGGGGGGACGGTGATGGTTCACATACTGAAACGTTCGCAAAAACCGAGGTTGATGATTTCTATATTCGCAATACAGTCGTAGCGACATTTGGCAGTCAAGCAGCTGGAACTAGCGGTGGTGGTAAGTCTTCTACTTTGGCAACTTCTCGGGTCGAGCTGACCAGAATAAAACAGTATCCGGTTCAATTACTCCCGCTATTACGGGAACCGCCACGGCTACGGGAACCGCCGCTGCTGTAAACGTCGAGAGCCCGGGGCTTGCTGCTCCAAGATCAGTTCCTACGGGAGCTATGCTCATGGTGGCCGGAGCAGGAGGCATTCTTGCTGCAGCCATAGCCCTCTAAAGCCGCTACATCTTCACATTTGCTTGGAACGAGACTGGAAAGTTTTTCCTCCGAGATCGTGTACTGATATGCCGACGGTGTTTAAAGTTTTATTTCTCTTCACTCGTAGCAGAGCTACGAATTTATTAAGACTTCAAAGTCTTGGTAGTTAGATTATTAGGCGCTGCTGTTGCATGATCCAAGCAGCTTCGCGCCGGCGTCATGATTACTGTTTTGTGTATGTTAGATTGGAAAAAATCAATATATGCATTAGATTCCTGCTTACTGTTTGCATGATCAAGCTGACAACTGCTTGGCCTGTGATGCATTTCTGGGAGTATCCAGAATTTCACGAAACAACTCCGTCTACGTGGAAAGCAGACAATACTGTGTCATCGTTGCAGGACCACCTCGTGTTCTTCAAAATTGGAATCTGTGAGCGAATCACGGAGCCATTTTCTATCACTCCATGGTGAGATGACTGCGAGCACCTTTCCCTTGATTAGTGCCAAGGGGACTGGGCCGAACATTCTACTGTCACGACTCCATTCAAGGTTATCACCAGCAAGCCAGCAGTGACCGTCCGGCACTCTGACCAACTCCTCGCGAATTCGGCTCTTGACTAGCTCGGCCTCTTCTATATCCTCTCCGCTTTTCCCCGGGCTCACCACAGATACATAGTCTCCAGGCATGCCTACTATACGCTTTGCGCCTTGTGCTTTATCAACCATCGGATGCGCATATACGACTATGTCGCCGACTTTCAGATTTCGACCCCGACGATGTAATTTCGAGACGAGGATTAACGGATGGGAGCGATATGAGTGCGGAATAGTTGGCATCATGGAAATTCCGACAGTGCTTTGTACACCAACGAAATATCTTGTTATGATGTGGAATGCGAGGAAACCCTGGGCGCTGCGCACCAGAACGCCTGGATTTGTAAGTGCTGTGCTTTGCAAGAAGCTATAATGACGATGCGATTGACTAACCAAACATTGTGAGCTCTTTGTGGCCATTAGGACGTCCCGAATGGTGAGGCTTGTGAATTGCAGGAAATTGAAAGCCCGATCTTAGAGGTCGAAATCGTGAGAGGAAGCCGGACATGGTTATTCGTGGAGGCGGCATTGCGGTGGAAGTGATATCGTTTCGACAGGAAGGAGCGACCAAATGCAAGAGGCAGGATTGCTTCAATTGCTACAAATGAGCCTGTCGAAGTTCAGCGGCATCATTGTTCTGTGTTGTCGTAGTCAACTGTCGAAACATGTAACTCACTACGTCGTATGAGGTACCTACTAACAAGGTGCTAACTACGTGACGGATAGATGGCGCGTGGCTTGCCGCCAAGCATTTTACATCCTAAGTTCATTCCAAATGGTGACCTGAGAAGCACACACAAAAAACTCACCCAATTCACAGGCCGAACAGTCATGGTTTAAAAGGCATTTTTTGAAAACGATTTCGTTTCAAGTATCGGAAGTGATTGCCGCAAGCTATGACGACCATTCGAGGTCTTAAATCGACCGAATCCGCAAGACCTAGGTACCTTTGTGTAGCAATATTGGCCTTTAACTGTGAAGGGGAGTACTGATTTTCGCAAGGCCTGCTCCAACGGGGTTCAATATTCTAGGAGGCTTAGAGAATGCCATAATAGGTGCTGATTTTACCCTCTCTTCCCTTTGTACGCATGTACTTTCACTTCGGTCCTCGCGCCTTCTTGTCGCTTGTTGTCTCCAAAGTACTTGTAAGGGTATCCGTATTGGTTTAACCGCCAACCTTAGAGCTTATTGAAACCTATCACGACCTCAATCCTACAATCATCGATGAGTTACATGATGACCCGTCTCCCCTGGAGTTTATGCGCTATGTCTCTCGGAATAGGCCATTCGTTGTTCGAAAGGGTGCCAGTTCGTTTCCTGCCTTCCAAAAATGGAACGCGGACTACCTCAGCTCGACAATGAAGGACCTGCCAGTCAAGGTCGCACGTACACCTTGTGGTAATGCCGATTCCGTACTTCCAATCGGGAATGAAGGCCATGTTTTCATAAAACCCCACGAGATCGAACAGCCGTTTCGCCATGTCCTTGAGAAGATCCAGGAGCAGGAACTGTGTCCTGGTCGTTTTGCAGGGCCGACGTGCTACGCTCAAACGCAGAATGACAATCTGAGAAATGAGTACGCTTCACTCTTCGACGACGTACCCAAGTCCATACCCTTTGCACGTGTCGCTCTAGAGAAGGAACCTGATGCAATCAATTTTTGGCTCGGCAATTCTCATTCTACGACAGCACTCCACAAAGACAACTACGAAAACATATACGTCCAGATCATAGGCCAAAAGCATTTCGTACTCCTTCCGCCAGTTGAGAGTCCTTGTGTGAACGAGAAAAGCCTCCTCGCAGCAACATACAAGCCTCGAGATATCGAGTTATCCGAAGAAGACCTCATTGTACAGATTGATGAACCGAAAGAATACGTCCCTTTTGCTACCTGGGATCCTGATGCTAGGGAACAGAATGGAACCACTTACTCCCCGTACTCTCGGCCGCTGAGGGTCACGCTGTCTGAGGGAGACATGCTGTACCTGCCTGCTTTGTGGTATCATAAAGTATCACAAACATGCTCATCGGAGGGCATATGTTGTGCGGTCAATTATTGGTACGACTTGGACTTCAGTGGTTCGTTCTGGGCGATGTCGAACTTTGTGAGAGGGGCAGGATTGGTTAGTCTGCAGCAAAATTAAATGGCAGGAAATCTAAGTCTGGAAGAATAATTCAAGGCAATGCAACATAGGTACTTCGAATTCTATATGGGTATAACTTTCGCAGGACGTGAACAACTAACTGAGAGCACTACCTATGTGACACGTTGACCTTGAGGCCACCAATACCTCGCACGCTACCCCATACACTTTCACTAACCCTTGGGGGGAGTTTGCGCCCTTTTAGGCGTTGATCAACTAGCCAAAGCCCTACCACGAACTCTTCTCTTCGTAATCGGCCTATCCCACGGCCATCCACCAAGTCCCAAACCTCTTCCAGCACATCATCGGCCAATCTGCTTCTCGTCCAAATTTCTTTGGTAACGAGATTGCAAACATCGTTGGTGGAATCATCCTCCAAAGCTTGCCGTGCTCCTGTTTGCACATAAAGTCCTTTGTTCGCTGCCCAAACACCTTCGTAGCGTTTTCGCTCACGCTCAGTAATCGAATCGCGCCAACGTTTTCTATCTCCCTCGTGGTGCTTGTTCGGGTGTTTTCTTCGCATCCCCATGACTCTAGTGCCCTTCTTCCTGTACTTATCGCCTTCATCTTCATCTGATGATGACGAGGGTTCCTTACGCAAAGTGGTTCGCAACTTGCCTGTTGGTTTCGTGGGTGAAGGCGACCGATCTTGTCGAAACGGCGAGTGGTGATGGTGATGTCTTTGAGCTGGTATTGGCGTGGTGGATGTCGACGGTGGCTTAGGAGAGGCGTTGCGAGAAGATGCGAGTGCAGCGCCAACAATCGCATTTGAAAGAGACTCTCCGGTCATGTGTTTCGATATTATTTTCACAGATTCGCGTTGATAGTTAGAGTGATATATGGTATCTGTTGGGGGTGATGAGGCGAATGTGGAAGATGGACGCGGAAATTGCTCAGGAATGTGTATTGAGGGGCTGCGACCACCTGAAGAGTAAGGTTTCGGGGGACGGGATGATGGCTTCATTTGTGGTTCTGCTTGCTCGCCTTCAACTTTAGGCTGCCTTGACCTTCGAGGAGGTGGGAGATCAGGCTTGACTTTCTCGGATACTTCTTTGTTTCGCGTTTCGTTTCGCTCTTCATTTGGATCCTGTTCCTCTTGAGCAGATACAAATGAAGCAGGCGATGAGGGATCCTCGTAGCTCGCCATTGACATTGAAGTTGACAGGCGCCTGGCAAGTGAAGCGGGGGGTGTTGTATCCCCTGCAAATGACCTGGATAGTTTACGCAACCCCTTGGAAGCAGGCTGTGGAGGGGGTGGCGATGCAGTAACCGCCGCCGATTGGAATGTTTTCTGCACATTGGGAGATTCACCTCGTGAACTTTTTCGCAGCTGGGGAATATCTGCTGTCATTTCTCGAGATTTTCTCGATAGAGGTCCATCAAGCATGGGCTTTGGCTTTGGCTTTGGCCTTGGCTTAGGCTTGACTGCCGGAGGTATTTCCCTGTCTGTTCTCTGCACCTCCATCTCGGGTTGTGGCTCGGGAGGCAATTGGATTTTACGTTGTGGCTTTGGAGATTTGACAACAGGCGGTGCTCGGTGTGAAACTTGCAAAGGCTGTTGAGTGCGAGGCGTCTTGGGAGCATTTCCTTCGAATAGGTTCATGAGAGAGGTTGTGGACGATGCAAGGTTGTTATCGGCCGGGGAGTTCTTATGTATCGACGAATGCGCTGGGCTGACATTTGGCTTGGTCGTCATTTGTTGCTCGGGCCATGGTGGATGATTAGAGACCTTCGTATCTAGTTTTGATAGGACATGGCCAACATGGCCCGCGGAAGGGAAGATATCTTGCTCGTCCATGTTGTGTTCATCCAAGTTGCGCGTTGCGGATGCTGGCGGAACAGGTTTCATAGGGCTGTACCTTGCGGCAGCCAACTTCGCAGCAATGTTCGACGGAGAGGACGTTCGATCGAACAAGTTGTCCTCAGGTAAACCCAATGTGCCAGAGCTATTGGACTTGCTGGAAAGCTGCATTGGAGATGATGTTGGTCTTCCCGCATTGCTGCTACCAGTCCAATCCCTCTTTAATGGAGTGCTGGCTTGTGGAGGAGCCTGGCGCGGAACCGATGTGCTTACTTTGGTTGCAGCAAGCAGTGCGCCATTGTTTCCTCCTGTATAGGTGTTGATTTGCGGCTTAGGCTTTACCGGCGGTTTGGAAAAAGCAGATGACGCGCCCCGTAGAGCTGCATCGCGCACATTGAATTGTGTGTCGCCTGTTGTGTGGTGGACCTGAGGAAGGCTGCGGGTATCAGATCCGGAGGTCATCGAGACCCCATCGGACTTAAGTAGATGGGCTCCAAAGGCTTCGGGGTCTGCTCACTCGTCGCTTTGTGGGTAAATTGTCAGCACGAGTGCAATGGTCCAAGAGACGACAAGCTGGGCTGACAGCTATAAACGATCGAAACAATACTGAACGAGGTAGAAGCGGAGATTCAGGAGAGTGCAGGTACAGGTGTAGTTAGGTGCGAGGCCTGCGTAACATTTGGCTTGCTCTCTAAGCTCGTGCCTGGGATGTAATACGGGCTATTCCATTTAGAGATTAGCCTTGAACAACAGGTGACACCGCGACCGCGTTTGAAGGTGATGGATGACAGCTGCCTGATCGTCTAGCAATAGTTACCTAACTACATCTGAACAGTTGGAAAGCGATGCATGAGGTACTCAGTATATAAATAGGTGCCTGTAGGTTACCTACTTCCTAGATATCGTTGAGAAAAAGGAACTGAGTTCGATGAATTGAACTCCGCCTACCAGCATCATGTCCAACGATTTGAGCATGTTAGATGCGGATGCCGCAAAGGAGCAGAAACTCATGTATGGCGACGATCACGACCTCGACCAAAACTATCCAAACCGGCCTAAGAATCTACACAAGACTCTGCCGTTTCATTGTCTGTTCACCGAGCTGTTCAATCCATTACTCGATGCAACCAAAGCCCGAAAGCCCGTGGGTGCACGTCGGCGGCAAGGTCCTAGTGGGCATTCAACCACTTCGCCACAGGAAGCGAAACGCAATATCATCGAGCGATTCGTGGCCAACTGGCGCAAACAAGTAGGGAATGATTTCTACCCCGCTATACGGCTCATAATACCCGACAAGGACAGAGACCGAGCAATGTACGGCTTGAAAGAGAAGGCAATTGCCAAAATCCTTATCAAAGTCACCAAGATCAACAAAGACTCCGAAGATGCTAAAAGTATGATCAACTGGAAACTACCGAGCCGGCTTGATCGAGCTTCGTCATCTGCGGGAGATTTTGCTGGCCGCTGTTTCGAAGTCCTGTCGAGAAGGCCGCTCAAAACTGGCGTAGGAGATATGACTATCGCAGAAGTCAATAGCACACTTGATCAGCTATCCCAGGTCGGTGGCGAGGACCAACAAACCAGCATTTTCAAAAGGTTCTACCGAAGGATGAATCCGGAAGAACTGACCTGGCTCATACGTATCATTCTGCGCCAGATGAAGATTGGAGCCACCGAGAAAACCATACTGGACATTTGGCATCCAGATGCCGAAGTTCTCTTTAATATCTCCTCCAATCTCCGTCGGGTCTGCTGGGAGCTATACGATCCGGATCTTAGGCTAGACGGTGACAATACAGGAATCACACTTATGCAGTGCTTCCAGCCACAATTAGCAAATTTCCAAAATAAAGTTGGCTCGTTCGAGAAAATGGTGGCCAGGCTAAAGCCTACTTTGGAGGACAATACCTTTTGGATCGAGGAGAAGCTTGACGGAGAACGCATTCAGCTCCACATGGTCGAAGATCATGATGCACCTGGGGGGAAACTGTTCGGTTTCTGGTCACGAAAGGCCAAAGACTATGCCTATCTTTACGGAAAGCATCTCGAAGGTGAACATGCCGGCGCACTCACGCGGTTCATACAGGAAGCTTTCGGCTCAAATGTGCGAAACATCATCCTCGACGGGGAAATGATCACTTGGGATATGGACATTGACCACATAGTCGGGTTCGGAACTCTGAAAACAGCCGCCATATCCGAAAAAGAGAATAGGAACGGTACGAACACAGGCCAGCGTCCCCTTTTCCGGGTTTTTGATTGCCTTTACCTGAACGACAAATTGCTTACCCCTTATACCCTTCGTGACCGACGCAATGCTCTCAAGTCTGCGGTCAAGGGTGTGCATCGGCGACTTGAGATTCATCCATACATAGAGGCCAACAATGCCAACGAAATTGAGCCTCAGCTGCGGAAAGTTGTTGCAGAGGCATCAGAAGGCTTAGTACTGAAGAATCCTCGTTCCATGTATCGGCTGAACGACCGCAACGACGATTGGGTCAAGGTAAAACCAGAGTATATGGATGAGTTTGGGGAATCGCTTGATTGCGTTGTGGTCGGTGGCTATTTTGGCTCTGGCCACAGAGGTGGCGTGCATTCTAGCTTTCTATGCGGGCTGCTTGTCAACAAACATGCTGTGGAAGGTGACCCTGATTTTGAGAAAGTTCACTCCTTTTTCAAAGTCGGTGGTGGCTTCAGCCGGGATGACTATGCCGCCATACGTGGTCGCACGGAAGATAAGTGGAAAGACTGGGATCAGAAACGACCCCCACATCTCATTGAACTAGGTGGGCATACGGAAAATCGCCAACATGAACGACCAGATCAATGGATCAGACCCAGCGAATCCGTGGTTCTCGAATGTAAAGCTGCCAGTGTAGAAGCGAGCGATAAGTTCCGAATGAACATTACATTGCGCTTCCCACGCTTCAAGCAACTCAGGACGGACAAAAAGTGGGCAGATGCCCTGTCTATTTCAGAGTTCATGGAGTTGAAGGCCGCAGCCGAGCAGGAACAGGACCAAAGAAACAAGGCGTTTAACATTGAACAGTCCAGGAGGAAGAGACCAAGAACTACGAAGAAACCATTAGTTGTTGCCGGTAGTGGGAACATTTCTGCGCCTTACGCTGGTCCCAGGACAAAATTATTCCAAGGTCTGGAGTTTTTCATCATGACGGACCAAACATCGCCTGTGAAGAGGACCAAATCAGATCTTGAAGACATGGTGAAGGCGAACGGAGGCAAGATTGTTCAACGGGACTCCGATGGAAATAATCTGGTCGTTGTCGCAGATAAACGCCTGGTCAAAGTATCCTCTTTAGAGAAGCGTGGGACGATCAGCATTGTAAAACCCATTTGGATTTCTGATTGCATCCAGCAGGCTTCTCTCGACACCAATGCAATCCCTTACGTACTTCCGTTTGAGCCAAATAGACACATGTTCTATCTTCGCGATGATGATCTAGAGGAGCTTGAAGCAAACGTCGATCCGAACGGCGATTCATACACGCGCGACCTTAATGACGTGGACGAGTTGCGAGATATGCTTGGCCGAATGCCCTCAAAGGATGAGAACGCTTTCAATCGCGATGAATTCATATCTCAGCTTGGATCGCATGCACATTCACTTAAGGAACTGCAGAATTATATTTTCACCAATATGCGAGTCTATTTTAGTCAATGCGAAAAGCCGGGTTGGGATATGAGCGTTCGGATTGCGTCGAATCGTATTGAATTTGGGGGTGGGAGAATTACTGATGCAAGATTGGGAGCCACACATGTGGTTGTTCCTGATGACGGGGCTTCATTGAAACATGAAAAAAACATGGACATCACAGGGCTCGCTCGCCTTGTTGGCCTGGCCTGGATCGAGAGATGTTGGTTGGAAGGAACCCGAGTTGACGAGGAAAGGTTTCAGTGGGGTTGAAGAGCTACCCGCACAACCTCGCATCGGAAAGCCTAGAAGGATGTAGCTAAGTATTCATCCCTAATTCAAATGCTATAATAGGTTCGTGCATCCGAATCCCAAGTATATGGAATCCCTTGAAATCGCCGCTAGATTCTTGTACGCGTTCCTTGTCGGTCTACCTTTGGAAATCATGGATTGGGCGAATGTGCCACGGACTTGTGCAGACGTCACGCCTATAGAACCGTGATGGGCTGAGACCCCTTTTTTAGGCCCAACTCAGAAGGACTTCAGCGTGGCCCATGAGAAACAGCAGATCAAATTGACCTTGATAAATGCAATCAAAAGTAATGTTTCATACGGAACGTGTCCGAGACGCGAGGTGCACGCCTGATCCTTCTCGGGCGGCCTTAACCCCCCTACCTTCACTTGACTCTTATAATGTCCACTGGTTTCTTCCTGATTTAATTGTCTTCTTCGCGCTAACTTCTGTGTGTGTCGCCCGCTCTGCTTGTTCCTACCGCCAACATCCATTGTCTTTGTCTTTTTCTCCCAGGTGCCCAGATATAAGCGCAATCGAAATCCCAGGACGAAGAACCGGACATATCCAGCCACTCCAAGGAACTCCCCTGAATAACAGCGAGGTCACAATGTTTCCCCTTCTAGCTTTGCTGTTACTATTACCGCTCGGTCATACTCAAAAAACGACGTCGACTCCCACCAAGGTGTCGGTTCTTGAGCACATATTTCCCCCATATCGTGGCCCAGCGAGTTATTTTGCATCCGTAGTTGCAATTGAGGATCAAATAACAACACTTGCGATGACTTGCTTGCAACCCACTAGCTGGCCTACACCAGATCCTCTCTCGCGAGATCCTTGCGACACCTCAAGCTTGGGAATCCGTTCTCAAACAATCACGCAGGGAAATGGGACCTGGGGTGTTGAGCATGGCACAACTCTTGGGGAAGAGTACTGGACTAGATGTCAACGCATGAGCGGATCATTAGGACCATCAGCTACAGAGAATCCCTTTGATGCCAGCAGCCTATACTGCTCCGCACGATACAGCGCAAGTGGCTTCCCTCCTCTAACCGAGGAAGGCGTCGCCAGAGTGAGATTTGGATTGTCTACGCAATTGGTCACGGTCACAGCAGGTTTCGATGTACTAGGAGAGCCCTTGGAGACGGCTTCGTCACGTACAGGTAGGATTCAGGTTGAGCGTTCCAAAGAAACGCCGCATTAACAATGACCTTAGATGCATTTACAGACATAGGGAAGACCCCTACCCAAGCTGCCCCAGTCACGACTGTGACGCTGCACTACAAAAACCAGGGGGGAAGAACAGAAAGTACAAAAACTGGCCAATACACTATCATCGCCGCTGTGGTTCTTTGGTTTATGACGATCTGAAGAGGCTTGTTTAAGTGCAAGCGAGAGATGTAAGCAAGCTGGCGCGCAGCTTCGTTTTCCCCACATAATCCTTGCTGATGGGGTTTATGATGGCGCCGAGTTAAAAGTACCTTCCTACTGAACCAACATCAAGACCTCCTCGGTTTTGAACAAACGGCCATTAAGCGGCCCGGCAGAATAATCATCAAGTTCGTCGTCGGTCACTTCATCTGCACTCTTTTCCCAGATGCCCATGAATCGTCCCTCTGCTCTTACGTTGTATTTCGCGGGTTTTGTGTTCGGCATCCAAGGCTTGTCAAATATCACTTCGGTGGACTCCTCCGTGCCTGGCATGATAGTCACGAGAGCGTCGCGTGGCGGCGGCATCTTCCTAGAGATCTTGATGATGTCAATCGAAACCTCCTCTCCTGTATCGGCGTTGTTGAGTTTGAATACGCCCAAGTTCTGGGCGAGAGGGTCTAAAGGTGTGCCCCATTTGAGCAAAGTGTATGTTGAAGAGGGGCTGTGGTTCTTCAGGGTTACGAGGATTGATGGTGGAGAGCGCGATATCTGTGAGAGCTTAAATTCGATACCTGGCACGGTGGTTGCGCTGGAAGAGGATGAAGAAGACATGTGGAAAGAACTGCCTGCTGGAGCGGTGGTAACGAAGTAGAGTGCACCAAAGATGGTGATGGCGAGCGCGGCGATAGCTGCGGTACGAGTGTTCATTGGAACTTGTTGTTACCCAGGTAACTAGTTATGTCGAGGCGTGTGGAGTGGCCGTGGTCGTGGTCGTAGGTCGCAGCCTACTCTGGAACTGGCGAGAGCGCGGGACAGGGTTGGTTTTATTGTACACCAACGCACAACTCACACAGTATCAGCGCTACATGGATAAATTCGAGTATGTACTCCGAAGACGATGGAGAACGTTCATTTGGTCAAAGACTATGTATGTGTGCATGGTAAATTGGAAGCAATCACCAGTAGTTTTAATAGGGAAATGTAACATGCCCATACTCACTCTACCGGGTAGCACCGTAGCACCCACTTTCAGCTGCCTATAATGGAGTTATGGCCGACTGCGGGGCCGTAAGGTAAGCTAGGGAGACAAGCCTGGGGCAATGGAACTACACATACGTATGTAACTACCTATGTAAATTATAAAGATACGTATGCATTCAGGGACATGTACGGAGTACCGTACATCTATATAGACTTGTATTCGTTGCAGCAGTGGTCGGCTATTGACTGTACTAATGCGTACAAACTCAAATGGACAGTGGCAAACGTTCTTGGTGCGTCTCAACTACGATTGTGGGGTTACAATATACTCCGTACTTTACGAGTAAGATAATATATTCACACCTAAGGCTAAGTCAACAACAGATATGGTGGGGCAGCGGTTGCGCCAGGGGTGACATGGCTGGATGATAGATCCCATCCCATGAGAGAGGTTCGTTATATTAATACCGTGGCGACAAAGATAATGCCATGCCGGGTCTCATGCGGATCGCTGCATTCCAACCCTCCGGCCTGCCCAATCTTGCAAGGATTGTGATCTACGTCAGGCAGAACAGAACATCGCAAGATAAGGAATGGGTGTTATTGTTGTCGCGTCAAGATATATCATCTATGATTTTTTCCAGTTTTCCTTAACAGTCTAGCTTGTCGCTGCACTATGAATTTTGGTCTCAGCGTTTCTAGCGGTCACCTTGAGAGATGCAACTCTAGGCCAGCAGCAAAGGACTCCCGGCATGGATCAGTAAATTGCTGGCTACAGATCTTGATACTCATGCCTCCACGCATGGAGGAGATCGGCCTTTTTAACATCTCATTAATTTGCAACACAGCTGCATCAAACCCGACCAAGCAATTGACTCTTCTCCTGCTGAGGTCTTGGACGAAATTGATGAGCTGTTATGGTGAGCGAGTCGAGATATTCATGTTTTGACTTCACTGTGAATCATCACTATATACCGACATCTTGAACTTTAATCGAGACTCCTCGATTAGTGTGATGCATTCACAGTTTAATATCTGGTGCTATGACACTCTAGAGACATTGACATTCAGCTTTGAAGTGTACATCGGTGCTGTGTAGACTGTGAGCGAGCCCCGTCATACCCTCGATGGTGTTAGATCCACGAAAGCGCTGTAAAACAAAAGGATAGTTGATAATGACAAGATCATGGAAAGGCAGCACGTACGCAAGATTATACTAGCAATCAAATTGATACCCTGCCAGTGCCAAGGCACAGGCGATATGCATTTCATGTAAACAGAGACAATCTACTTGCCGATGGTGCTTCATGCAGAGGAACATCCCAAAACGTCTATGAACGAGCATGTGTTCATTGGCGAGACATTGCCCTTCAGTTTGATTCGAAGTTTGAAGATCTAAATATGTGCTTGTACTCGAAGCATATTACTGGGATCATCCCCGCCTAGGAGAGAGAATCGTCCATCGTCACCGTGTTTCATACAATATAACCAATCCGAGTTGATGGAATCATGTCAACACAAACCGGAGTCCATATCATGTCGATCCCTGGCATGAAAATGGGCCTGTCCCCTGCTGAATTTCCAATTTCTACTAAATTGGCAATGCTTCATGATCTGTTTTATCCGTTGGTACTGGTGATGTTAGCGGTAGTATAGCATGTTACTTCCCGATGATTACATGGGCGGGAAGGGTTCTATAAAACCTAGATGATTTGCACTGTTGTTTTTGAAATGAATCTTTGCGTGTATTGATCTATCAATCCGGAAATCTCTAACCATTTTTTAACACCAACTCAAATTCCAGGACTTGGGTACACGTTCTGATCATGAAGGCGTTCATACAAGTATACCTTGCCGTGTACGCTACATACGCTTATGCAACACCTTTCAGCCATAACGAGCGTGGCACACCACTGGACATTGTACTCACTGCTTCTGGAAACACTGAAGTCAAAATTACAATCACCAACAATGGCGATAGAACTCTGAATCTCCTCAATAAAGGCACATTTTTAGACGAGGATACTTCTGTTGAAAAAGTAACTATTTACTCACCCGGTGGTGGTCAGTACATGACGATCCCTCATATTATGTCCAAGTCTAAGCTTAAATCAGCCAATAAATTACCTTTCGAAGGTATCAAGTTGCAGCTTCTAACCTCCGGATTGAAACCCAACAACTTTTTACGGCTCGCTACTGGCGAAACAAGAGAGCTCACTACCGAAATGGCCGCAGTTCATTCACTTGAAGCAGGTGGTGCCGTCGAAGTCTTTGCCGAAGGCCTTCTTCCGTTTGCCGAAGACGATTCGACTGAGCTTGTGGGCGCATTACCATATCATTCCAACAAGCTTTCAATGAATATCGATGGTTCAAAGGCAGCGTCCGTTCCAAAGGCAATTATCAAGCGAACAGTCGTCGGATCTAACTGCAGTGGAAGTAAATTAAGTAGCATTAGGACGGCACTCTCCAATTGTCAGAAGCTTGCCTCAGCTGCCGCTTCAGCGGCTTCTGCGGGGACTAAGCTGGACACCTATTTCAAGTCGACATCTTCTAGCACCAAGAGTACCGTGAGCGCCCGGTTGCGGGCCGTTGCTGCTGATTGTGGAGGATCCGGAAGTGCCACTTCGACTAATTGCAATGATCCTTATTCAGCCTGCTCCTCGAACGTTCTCGCATACACGGTACCGTCGCAAGATTTTATTACTTATTGTCCTCTTTTCTTCAACGAGCTCCCAGATCTGGCCTCTCAGTGCCATGGCCAGGACAAGGCCACAACAGTCCTTCACGAGGAAACACATGCGCCTGGCGTATACAGTCCAGGAACCGACGACTTAGCATATGGCTTTGCAGCTGCCTCACGCCTTTCTGCAAGTCAGGCTTTGAATAACGCTGACTCCTATGCTCTTTACGCCAACGGTAAGTTATGTCATATTCCAGTTATTATAATCTGAGTTCTAAGATGAATAGCAATAAATCTCAACTGTTAGCTCAAGATAATGTCACTCTATGGACTTGCTTCCGCATGGAAATGGACCACCTGATCTGCGCATAAGTAGGAGCATGACTGGTAGCTCTCGTGGATCAATACTTCGACCCTAAAGCCTCCCGCTCTTATCGTTCTTACCAGCTACTTATTGTCGCTAAGAGATATGGGCTCCCTAAATAGAATATAGCTCTTTATGGCATCAGACGAGGAAACAATTGCAAGTGAAATGTGTGTACGCGTGTAGGTATGCGCGTGTGCATGTGACTTCTTTAAAACGTTCACGATTGGAAACGAATCAAGATTACTGCTCCCAAATGCAACGATCTAAGCAATCTCACAGTGTGCGTCATCAATGAGCTCCAATACTAAACCTTTCTGGTAGTCTATCGATACGGCCTAGTGTGCGTAATAATTCAAACGCATGACCGTAACCACTTCATCTGTTCCGACTGGAGACTGAGAAGAATGATCATGATAACCTTTCTCGACCCATTCTGGGACATTCATGTATGTCACCCAGTTCAGCAGAGTTCATACATGATTGAAAAGTTCATTCGTAACCGCCCCGAATTTACGCCATCACACTATCCAAAGCTCGTTACTCGTACTATCTCACCGAAGATATATCATGTGATATGTCTGATGCAATGACAGCAGATGGACTATTCCTTGCGTTCTGATATCAATCACTACCAATATTCAAGCCAGCACACCAGTGATCCGCAACACAAGTCACCCTAGCGGATTCGACTTTACCAACAGTGCCAATTAGGATTCCACTTTCATCTTCCTCCTTTTTAATTCTAATTGAAGTCTCGCCATCACGGAAGCAAACGTAGTCCTCATCCTCCAATTTCACGGTACCGGTCGGCGTGCCCTTGGGTTTAGCTGCTGCGTCTGCACTTATATCGCTCGCGAATAGCTTGTCTCTCCAAACTTTAAGTCGCCATTTGACTCCTTCCCATGGTTCGTAAGGATCACTAACAATGGCGGATCGGTCAGGTTTCGGAGCTCGGTCATCTTCCTTCGTGGAATTGCTGATGGGATTTCGGAAGTAGGCAATCGCTGAGAATGCACGTTCCCCGGGAGAATCAGACCCGGATCGATTGTTACAGGTCACTAGATATATGTTGTGTGCGGATGCCATCGAAGAGGATTCCGTATTGCCGCAGCTGGCTAAGGGCAACCCGAACAATGAGCCAACGGTGAAGGACACCCAGAACACACAGAGCCGCATTTTGGGAACTTGGGGGGTCTCTTATGTTCGATGGTATGTGCAATGCGATTATTAATGGTTCGTAAGTAAACGATATAGAGACAGAGTAAGGTAAGGATCGCTGTGAATTCTGGGCAACACGGATTGTGAAGCATATTTTATACTTACACGACCCCGTACGCTAGAATGATACCATCTCTAGTATACAAAGCTATCCCCAAGTTGTCTATGACGATATTACTGATGTAAGCCTCATATGATTCTGCAATCATGGCCATATTGCACGTGTAGCCGAGATCATGCCTTCTGGGAACCGGATAATGTCAACGCTTACTCCAACTTCCATGCAAATACTTAGACTTTGGCCAGATGCGCCACAACATTTGCAATCCATATAGAATATCTCTAAATAGGGTCAGGACTCTATGAAGACAAGCTTTTCATGAGATGCAGCACCATTGCTTGCATGCTTGCAGGAAAAGGCTTCTATGGGACCCCACTATAGATCTGCCGATGTCACTCCCATTAGTAGTTAACGAAAGCACTAATCAGCTTTCTGAAGTTTTTAATAATGATACACATCTAATCGTCATATAACATCGAAATGTTCGTATTTCAACAATTCCATTAGAGGGTCTGAGGTCATCCTCTTGCTCCCTAAACTCACTGCACTGTCCACATTGTCTTTGCATAGCTTTCAGCTTTCAATGAAATGATGAAACTTGTGACTTGTAGTTGTTTGTAGAAAAAAAAGGCGATATCTTAACGTGGCTACTAGAAAGCAAGGACCGCAATAGCTCAAGTCGCGGTATTGTGTATCGCAATTTATTCTTAGGTACTATTGATTTCAATCTACCAGGGAGCATCAGGTAGGCTCGCTTACATGGTTTCGTTGTATGGATCCATTATGCCGAACTATTCGAGAGCGTGAGAATCTTCCAGGAAGTATGTTGAATACGAAATGCAGGAGTCTGTTTTACCAGCCATAAGACATACATGAGGGACATCAGTAGATTTCAATTTAGAAGTTGCAATTCTGGCCTGATATAATTTAGTGTCAATTTCCGTGGCTCTAGACCGCGCCATAAACCAAAAGCCCGCCCCAAGTTTATCTCGAATGGCAAGAGAGGGATGGTGGGTAGGGCCAAAATCTATCTGCTGTGACGGTTGAACCAAAGGCGTGGAGTACGTAAAGGTGTTCAGCACTTAGCATTTCCCGATTATGAGAGAGAACTGTTAATCTTACATTCGTAACCTCACCCTATGCTACAATTGTTCGTTGAGTTCATAGACTGGCCTGACAGTTCTTAAACGTGGATTAGATCGAAGTGGGACACCCAATCGTAGGATAGAAACACGCGGTTAATTCATAACATATCTTTGATTCTATGAGAGAACGTGTCAAGCAAAAACTGGACAAGGGGGATTCGACAGCTACGCCAATAATGTATGCAACCAGATGTATGACTTGGGGACGACAGCCCCATTAACGTCAAGACCTACTCGTACACTAGGTTTAGTGATACCACAACGTCGGTGATCATGAAATCAGCGGAGGTGTCAATAATCCTCCAGCCTTTGTAAAAGATTCATTCCCCTGACTGGAAGATAGTTCGAGTAGAAAGCACACTACCATCTCCGCTACCAATTCCGAGTCATCATCTGCATCAACGGCCTCAAGATATTCCTTCTTCGCGACTGGCCAACCCTGTGTCGCAAAATACTTCAGAACCTCGGTGTTGACAAATCTGTCAAATTCAAAATGACCTTGCAGGGTGAAAACCCTTCCAGGCTCGTATAGCCCTTGCACTGCACAATGGTCGGTACTCCCTAGATTCACCCATCGAGGAGGCAACGCATCAACATGGGGAATTTTGACGTGATCGCCATGGATGAATTGAAGGCGCACAACCTCTGGTACGGCAAGAGGGTTTTGGAGGTTGTCACTCCTTGGGGCATTTTGAAAAGATGAACGGAAATCATCACTGAGGGTGATGGCCTGCACACCGACCTCATGGCCGTTGGGGTCCTTCTCGGCGTAAATTCGGAATTCCTTCAAAAGGCTTTGGCCTATCAGCTGGTGTCCGAAGCAGCTTCCAAAGATCTTGACGTGTGGGTGATTCGCATATACGTCGCGGACGTAGCCATCGAGTTTTCGTATCCAGTCGAGATTGTCGTATGCCGAAGCCGCCGCACCGGTGATGATAAGGAGATCCACGTTGGATAGGCTCGGTGGATATTCGTCCAAGTGTACGTTGTATTCGGTGGACTCGATTCGTATGCTTGGAGCAATACGATTGGCAGCTTTCGTTAGAAGGTTTGCAAATATAGAACCGTAGGAGGGCCATCGTGGTTGAACGTTGGGGACTGGCACGTCCGCATTGAGCATGGCTATATGAAGCACTTGCCTCGCCATTTTCGAGACCCCGCAGTGCGATCGAAGCAGTAGATATGTACGAGATATTGTTTAAACGATGTAGACGAATAAGGGTCCTGATTATGGTTGGTTGGCATGGCTTCGCCAACGAAGGGATGGCATATTTATCGCCTGTGCCAGCTCCAAAATTTCCGTACAAGTTCCGTCTCCAACCGTCTGCCGGGTTAGAGGTTACGGCGCGGCCATGCGATAGCGGCCTCACCGTCTATTGGCATTCCCTCGTGGGCCCCTCAAAAATATTTCTGACAAACCAATATACCTAGCACTTTCCAAAAGGAAGTTTGTATTTTACTCTCGCTATTCCTTCTAAGGCGGTGATTAGTCTGGCGGTGGGAGCATTCTGTGTGAGGTGCAGCTGGATAGATGGAGCTCCGCACAACCAACACATGCCACCACATTGTGATTATTCGAACGTAAATCCGATTCGTTGGGTGAGGTGAAAAAAGAAAACAGCAGTAGGATCATTTTAGTAACTGTTAGTAATTTAAATTGATGAGTGTTAACTAGAACCCTAAGTAGGTACAGCATGTCCTCATAGTTACTTGCAATGACAAGTCACAAGGCGCGAAATTTGTGCCCACTTTATCCATCTATACCTAAAATGGACCAAACATCCCGACCTTGATGGCAATGGAGCCAAGAGCATCACCACGGGCTAAACAAGGTGGAATGGTTTTGAAAACAATCAGAAAATGGATTTTGGAAAGCCAGATTTTGTAACTCGTGCCCTCAATGTTGTACTACAACATACACGGCTGTTGCTATGTCTTTGGAATATGTTAGGGGAGTTGCCTGCTCCCAAACAATATACATACAACCTTGCTAGGTGCAAGCATTTCTAAAGCTGTTACTTACTGAAGAGAAGGTCCTTCCAAGGCTCCACTAGATACCTTAAACTTTAGACCTATCTAGAGACAATCTCCTTCTGAAAAGAGAGGAGATGCACATCCCGATGCTGGGCAACTGGCGGAGCCAACGATGACTACTGTGATTAATTGATTGATTGATTGATTGACGAGCCAGAAGGGCTGTCGTAAGGCTGAGACATTCACTGTGATTTTTATCCGCCTGCTCCAAGCAAGTCCATTTACATGTCCAAACCACCTTCACCATGCTCACCTGTGTTCAATCCAGACAACGACAGGTACATATTGGCATTCATAAGATTCGGACGCCTACAGGAACTTAGCGCTTGAAATAAGTGAACAGCGACTTTTTATCGTGTCCAACAGCCTCAACCTCTGGTGTGCTGGTATTTGACCGTTCTTCGGCATCTGGCAAGCTCTGTTCCTTCCCGAGCCTCGGATTACGAATGGTGCAGGCAAAGAAAATAAGCAATGCCGAGAGACAGATTGCTGTGATGCAGAGAAGACGCTGGACGTGTCTATACACGTCGATGACCACGTCACGCTGGTAAGTGCCGACCGGATATTTCAAGTATGTCATGAGCGGCGACCCATACCAGGCTAGGGCATCCTCTGCACTCAGCCGTTGCTCAAGCATACCGGGCACCACCTGACTCCAAATAGCACCAGAAACTGTGTTGCCCAAAGCAGAGCCAATGTTGTAGGAGGCAAGATAGATTCCCGTAACGACGGCGACGTCTGTATGATGTGTTAGCTGCATGTGGATGCATTTTTACGTGTCTGAGTTTTGAGTTGCACTTACGCTCATGTTTCGTTGCTGCTTGAATCGACGCTTGCGCTGGGTATGGGAAGAAGCCGCCAGCAATACCAAGCAAAATTTGTGCGCCAACGATTCCATTGTGGACGTCGCGCCCGCTTCCACCACGATAGTGGATCAGAAGGCCAAAAGCGACCATGAAGAGACAGGTGCCGAAAAGAATGAACGGTTTGAGCCTTCTCACTCGGAAAATCACCATGCCCAGTAAGACTCCGGTAATGACTGAAGCGAAGCTGTACAAGGAGGTGATGCGTGTGGCGGATTTGACGGACTCGTTAAAACCGACGATCAGAACGGTGTAGAGAAAGTCCCCTTGACAAGTCCATGCAAAATTGAGCATGACGGCAATTCCGATGGCGCCCCAGACCGCGCGATCTTTCATCAAGTGGAAGGGAAGCATGGGGTGAGGACTTCTCTTTTCCCAGATGACCCACACTGGGATTAGGAGAATGCCTATGACCAGCGGAGCAATGACCTTTGCCGAGCCCCATTGAGAGGCGGCCCCTCCAGCAATAGTGAAGGGAACCAAGATGAAACCGAACACACAGATCAGAAGGATGATACCGGGGACGTCAAGCTGCCAAAAGAGCGCCTGGACCAGGGTTTTGCCACCATGCAGCTGGTAAGGTGACTTGTAGTCTCGTAGCGCACCCGCCTTCTTTGCTTTCCGACCGACCCACCACAGGGAAATGATCAAGGGAATGGCGCATGCAGGGTAGATAATGCACCACATCCCGATGCCCCATCGCCAGGTGGTAGCCTTAAGGGTGGCTGCGCTTACATCTCCACTGACCCAGGTGTTGATGATGAATGGTAAAGCAGGAACATAGGAGAAGAACACACGAGAGCGCAGAGACGTGGTGTCAGCGATGATGACTTCGACAAGCAAGAGTACTGCCGTGTAGCCAATCTGGTATAGAACCGCACCTGCAGCGAACGATTCTACATTGCTACTGGAAGCCTCGACAATGGATCCTGCACAACGTTGGTTAGCTAGCCCTCAGATGATAGAATATGCACACATACCGAGCGTGTAGAAGAAGATAGATACGAAAAGGACTTCTACTCTGCCAAAGACGTCGGCAATCTTCGCAGCAGTGGGCTAGCAGTTGGTAAGTATGTGAATATACTAGAAGGGTTAAGGTAGGAGTAAGGGCATTCGTACCTGGGCCGCAGCGGCTACTACAGCACGAATGGTGTTGATGGTAGCCAAAGTTGAATGTGTGGCGTAAGATGAGGTTGCTTCAGGCTGGAGTAATTGTCAATTTCCTAACACATACAATGCTAGAGAAGCAGAGAGGTTGAGAGATAGGTACCTGATAGACATATCGAAGTGTACCGTCCAAACCATAGGCATACGCAATCAGGAATACGCTGAAGAAGATGGCCACTCGATTCCAGAAAGATATATGGGCGGAGAGAGCCTCAATGCGAGCGACACCGGGAGATTGGCTTCCAAACAGGGGTTTGGTGGTGTCGCTGGTGGGGCGATCAACATCGGGATCGGTTGGTGAGGATGGAGCTTTCTCGCCCAAATCGGACATGGTGAAGGATGCAAGTACAGAGTGTGTATGTGGGTGAGAGGTGCACAAAGTCAATCGAGAAAGTGTGTACCTCTATCCTTTGTAGGATATGCCAAGCGTGGCACTGAGAGAGGGAGACTCTGTACGATTGAAAGTGAAGGGCGAGATGAGATAGCGAGCGATGGGGTGAGGTGAGGGTGTGGGTGGGTGGCAGGAAAGAGTTAAAAGGTGATTGGGATGGGATGGATGTGATTGATTAGATAAGATCGAGTGTGGAGGTCCCCGTCGGATCGAATCAGATCGGATGAGAGGGGATCAAATCAGATCAAATAATGAATCGGGGTTGCCGATCCGAGGACCAATACAGGTACGCTATGCTACGTGCGTAGCTAGGCTAGGCCAGGCCAGGCAAGTTTAGGAGGATGGGAGTGAATTGTGAGCGGACGAGTAAGGAGGGACTAGGACGGAGAAGATGGAGAAGTAAATGGGTGAATAGGTGATGTAGACAACGAGATTGTCGTCTTCAAGAAGAAGCTGATGAAGGGTTTGGCAGGGCGCTAAAAGAGGGTGAGGGTGAGGGTGAGGGTGAGGTGGAGGTGAGAGGTGAAAGGTGAGAGTAGAGTTCTGAGAAGAGAGAGTGTGTGTGAGAAAGGGAGCGAGGGAAAAAAATCCAAGGGGAGAGATGGGGTCCTCTATCGGGCGTTGGCAGTACTCGTAGTTGGTTGTGGTGGTGGCGGCGGTCGGTGTGGCCGTTTGTACTCGGTGGTAGTGGTTGGTTACAAGGTATGGTACTCGTAGTTAAGGTACGAGGCAAGGTAAGGTAAGGTAAGGTACGAGTAGTAGGGTCTACTTAGAACTCGTTCGTCTGTTGTAGATGTATGGGTACCTTGGTGTGTACCATGTAGGTGCAAGAGGAATTCCGGGATTCAAACCATTCTTACGAGAGCACTAGGCAAACGCGTTGGATCCTTTTCACCACCTACCGATAGTCGGGAGAGTAACTCACACTGTGGAACGATCAATATCTTGCAGCTAGTATATCTCTATAGTTATAGCAAGAAGCGATGGCTGATATAGTAGGACATCTACTACGTGCGAGGTACTAGTACTCGACATGATTGTTATTGGTATGCGTCTCGTTAGTCACGAGGTACGAGTAAGATACTGACGAGGGACGAGGGACGAGGTGCAAGTAAGAAAGAGAGCGATGATATCAGACGGGACAAGGCGAGCGGGATGCGATGCGATGCGATGCGAGGGAACGCAATGTGATGTGGTGGTGATGTTACGCCATGTGGGGGAGAGGCGGGAAAATGGCTTGGTGGCGCATCGTCATCATACCCTACTGGGTGTACCGGTACGTACAGGTAACTAGTTACAGACCTGAGCATAATCTTATTGTAACCTGCTCGTGTCACCTAAACCACTCCCAGTAATATTTGCAGATCAGATCTGATTACTACTAGTACCAAATAGTTATGTACGAGTATTAACTACCCTATCCCTCGAACTACGAGAATCTCGTACTCGTACTTGTAAGTTGTTGTACTACAAAGTAAGAAGAAAAACTACGACAATCGTTTAGAACCGGTAACTATCCTTGTACCTCATCGTAGTAACTACTGGTATATCAATTAAGTACGGGCGAGGAAAGAAAAATGTGACCAGAAGTGAGAAGAAGACTTCTGACAAAAGTCAGTAGGTATGTGATGGCACACGTCATGCCAAGGGCTAAAGGAAGTCGATTTTTGATATTTTTGATTTTGCCTCGCCCTACGAGTAGTCTAGTACATTAGCGTGCAATCATACTCGTACAATGACATTAGGTATGGTATTACGAGGTACTGGTACCCTTCCTACAAGATAGTGTCCGACTCAAGTTTTTATACTAGTACAAAGATTTATTTTCCAATGTGCCACTTTTTCCCCTCTCTTCTCCATATTTTCACTGTCTACACATGACTATATTGTTCCTCGAAGACGGTCTACTTTGCATCGGAGCGTCCGGGTTGTTGGACCACGGATCATACAAGATTGTGCAGACCTATCTCAACAAACGCCAATCCTCATCTCAGCATTGCTTTTCCTTCCAAGACCAGGTACGAGCAATGGAAAAGGGTCACATAATCTCTCACCTTCATTAAATCACGTGCAGGCCGCCTACTTATCTCATGGGTACATGTGTACCTAAGTAAGTAATACTCATATGTCTCTTCTCGTAAGGGTTCTGTAGTTTCCTGTTGTTTTGGATATTTTCAATGGGCATGATGCTCTACCATACTTCTGTTAGTACTTGAAAAGGTATAAGTTTCCCAACCAACAAAATGGCATCACAAGGTCGAATTGGGTCGATATTCCA